AGATGACTCCTAAGGTTCAGGGGGCCTGAAAAGGTACCTCAGACATGAGGGTCTTCCTGGGTTGGCTGTCTGTTTCCCAAGACACAGTCAGCACTGGAAAGGTGAATTGTCATGTGCCCAGCAGCCCACAAGGACAGAGGATAACTCTGACTTGCCACTAACCCTTCAGCCATACGCTCCTTTTCTTTTGTGTAAATATGTGGCAGATTTTTAAAAGTACACTTTTAAAGTGTTAAAAGTCCACTCTTTTTGTCCTGTTCTTTGTCCCTCGTCACCTGAATTGAGGCCCAGGAAACTCAGTCTCAGAACAAGCTGCTCCCGGTACCATCACTGTCTCCAGTGGCTTCTCCACCCTCATCTGTGTGTCAGCGTCTCACTGGTACATGCTTGCTCTTCCTTCCTTCCTTCCTTCCTTCCTTCCTTCCTTCCTTCCTTCCTTCCTTCCTTCCTTCCTTTCTTTCTTTCTTTCTTTCTTTCTTTCTTTCTTTCTGGAACTCGCTCTGTAGACAAGGTAGCCTTGAACTCACAGAGATCCGCCTGCCTCTGCCTTCCTAGTGCTGGAATTAAAAGTGTGCGCCACCACCACCTGGCTATCTTTCTTTCTTTCTTTTTAAATTTAAAATTTTCTTTTTGAGACAGGGTCGCATGTATCCCAGGCTAGCCTCAGATTTTTTGTGTAGCTAAAGGCGACCTTGACTACCCAAGGCCTGGGGTTTCAGATGTGCATCACCATGCTTGGATTCATGGGGCACTAGGGATTGAACACAGGCTTGATGTATGCTAGGAAGCACTGTATCAACTGAGCTGCATCCCCAGGCTCCAATTACGTTTTTATGTGTATGTGTGTATGTATATGGGTATGTGAAGCCATGGTGTGTGTGGTGTCATTCTCTCCTTTCTCCATGTGGGCTCAGGGATCAAACTCATGACCTCACTTGATGGCATGTGCCTTTACCCTTGAGTATAGTCAAATCCCCCTTTAAAAAGAAGGCTTATTTTTGTTGTAGTGAGGCTGGAGAGGGAACCCAGGTACTCTTGCGTGCTAGGTGAGGCTCTGCCACCAAGCCCAACCCCTATGCCCTTTTTTGACCAGAGCAGCCAGCCAACAGTGTACCTGCTGCTAACCACCCGGGTAGCACCCAAGCCCTTACCAACAAGCGCCATCTTTCTTGCTGTGTCTTACCGCCCACCGCAACAACACAAGGTCTAGCGACACATGTAGGCCGACTTTCCCAGAGGTGGTCCTGAGAGAGCACTGTGGACAGCTGGTGAGCACTGGATGAAAATTATACGGCCCAAAGAAACAACTTTCAGAACATAACACGGTGCAGTCATGTAACATGTTGTCTAATCTAGAATGTTCTCCTAATCTGACAATGATATTCTGCTGCTCTCAGCAGTCACCCCAACACCTCCCCAGTTTCCACCGGCACCAGCCAGCATCTTTGTGATGTGTGTGTGCTGGGCATCTGGGCTGCATGGCCTCATGTAGTATAAGTCCTCGGTGCCATGCCTTGGAGCTCATCAAAGCTGTGGTAGTAGTGCCCAAGTCCCTCCTATCATGAATGGGCCGGCGTTTGTCCCTGTCCCTCTCTGGAGGGGCATTTGGGTTGCTTCTGCTCTCACTGGGGAATCACAAGGAATACTGTTGTGAACATGTGTGAGCGCCGTGTGTGTGTGTGTGTGTGTGTGTGTGTGTGTGTGTGTGTGTGTGTGGTCGGTCTTGAGTCTCGGTATTCCCTTGAACATGTCCCTGGGCATGGCATGGTGGGCCCTGTAGTGACCAACATTTGACTCTGATGAAATCCCTGCATGTGTCCTGGTCATCTCTTATATTATTTTTCTGCCCACCTCCCTTTATGTCAGACAGGGTCTCTCTACAGAGGCCTGGCTGTCCTGGAACTCATTATATAACCTGCCTGTCTCTGCTTCCTAAGTGCTGGGGTTGAAGGTGTGCACCACCATGCCTAATTTTTCTCGCTTTCTTTAACCTTGTCATTGAGTTCCCCTCCCCCATTGTTGGACAGCCAGGAACCGACCGCCCACTGAGGTTGTTAGCTTCTGGTTTCTCCAGCCCCAGCACCTTCAGGAGCTCCAGGCCCCTGCCTCCTGTCTCTTCTCCTCCTGATCCTGTTTGACCTACAAGTGCCTGGCCCTCTGTCTACACACACCTTCCCTTTCATCTGCACCTGTTTGGGGGTGACGACCAGCAGCAGTCACCCCAGGGCCTTGCTACCACCTCCGATCCCTCAGAATGGAGCTAGGTGTCAGCATGTCAGTAATGGCTGTTGCTTATCAGCAGGAGCCACTGTGGCTACAAACCAGGGCGTCTGCCCCACCCCCACCCCAGGTTTTCCACCCCAGTGCTCTCTTCCTCCCTGTCTGTGCTTGAATCCCATGGTGCTGAGCTGTTGATTACAAACCGTAGTGCAGAGCAATCGCAATTTGGTAAATAGCAGCTCAGTTTCATTAAAGCCTCCGCGTGTAAAGGCTGTTTACATCCACCCTCTGAAAGCCTCACACCCATTCCCAAAAATGTAAATTACACGCTCTGCAGATGATATGGGGTTCGGACAGCCTGGGGATGGTCCTTCTTTCTCAGCATGGTACCTAACACTTAACCGCCCCTAATGGGCACCTCACCAATCTCCCAAAGCAGACTGCTGCTCGAGTGAGAAAACAGATGATTTTCCATAACTCTCTACCTACTACTTAACACAGAGGTGGACTCTCTAAGGAAATAGATAATCAGAGATTGACCTAAAGATAATTGACTCCCCTCAGAGTTCCCAAAGAAAGGTTTGTGGGAGACTCATGTATAGTTGACACTATGATTCTTCTCATATCAACAGACTTGTGTGTGTGTGTACATACATGTGTGTGCATGTATCTATGTATGTGAGTGTGTGCGTGTCTGTTTTCATTTGTACTTTGAGGGCTCATATATGTATTCAGGTGCATTTGCGTTTTTGGAGGTCAGAGGTCAATGGGCAGCTTCCTCAATTGCTCCCCACATCATATTCTTTGCACTGAACTTGGAGCCCACGGATCAGCTAGGCTGACTGGCCAGCTTTGGGGAGCCACTTGTTTCTACCTCCCCAGGGCTAGAATTATAGGCACCCGCAGCCACCTCAGATCCTCACGCTTACATGGCAGACACAGTACCTGGTGGGTATTTTAATCTTACATTCTACCTCATGCCCAGAGGAACTACTGCCAAGCGTTTGTTGAGGGCAGATGGCTGGGGAAGGGGGAGTAGAGGGCTCACGGGAGGTGGCTGTGGCCAAGTCCCCCACTGTACAACTCCAGGGTATGTGGCCTGAGCAGACAGACCCTGGGTCACACACCTCAGACACTTGGCTGAGCTCCTGTTGCCGGCGGCTCCGTGTCCTACGTTTCAGCCTGTGAACCCATTAAACAAACAGGTGCCTGCTTCCTGTGAGAATAGTGAGGTTTCCTTTTAAACAAGCTGCACAGTCATTCCCTGGTAAAAAGGAATTAAGGATGAGTTAATTATAGTCTCTGTTTTTACAGCCATTGCCAGTAGTATAAAGTAGCATAAGGTTGCCATGTTAATGCAACCAACCTCAGCACTCTGGCAGTAAGAGGAGGCCATGGGCCCATTAATTTTTAATTTTTTTATTTTTTTTGAGATGTGGTGTTGCTATGTTGCCCAGGCTGGCTCTAAACTCCCAGGCTTAAGTGTTCCTCCTACCTCAGTCTCTTGAGTTCTGGGACGGTAGGTGTGCCAATATACCTGTCTGGGCCTATTGTTTTGAGAGATTGAGGAGGGCAGCTGCCAGGCTCCTCAATGCTTCCTCCGTGTGGTAGGAGGAGGTATGTGTGGGTGTGGGTGTGGGTGTGTTTATGTGTGCCAATTGGAAGATCTAGCGACATCACTCTGGGGTTATGCTCACAGCACCTAGGGACACAGGCTTTGGTACCCTGATGTACAGGTCAGAAAGGAAATCCAGCGGCCCATCAGCCTGTCAGTCCTCTGGCTGTTTGCCTGTTTCTGAAACTCTGAGGCCTTCATAGCTTTTGTCCAGCATGGACAGTGCAGTTGGCTCCTCTTCCACTTCAGGAAGAATGTCAGAGGTTATATGGGTGGGCACTTGGTGTCCTGAGAGTCTGTGAGGACTGCCAGGAAAAGAAGCCATCGCTGGGTGGCTTGAGGGGGTGGGAGCCCAGGCTGGCATATGAGGTCAACAGAGGGGCCAAGGCCAAGAGGTTCCTGAGGAGTGGGTCTGGCCTGGAAGCTTAGAAGAGGCAACTTCAGATCAGTGAAGGGATAGAGATAACTTGAGGGTGAGGCCACCACAGGTACTCAGTACTTGAATATCCGTATGGTCAGGCTCCATCTTAGATGGCCAGGAAACAGGTCTCCCTATTTGGACCAGGAAGCTGCAACCTGAATACAGGGTCGTGATAGACAGGAGCCAGTGAGGGACAAAAAGAGGGTCCTGTAAAATGGCAAGGTTGTATCTGGAGGCCACTGTAAGGAAGGGCTAGCAGTTGTATGGCTTAGACCAAACTGCTTCTCCTCTCGACCTGGAGAACTAAACTCCAATAGCGGTGGGACTGAAGATTTACGAGTTCAATGGTTGAGTGGTCATCTGTATCCCTGGGTTTTCATTCCTAGCACTACCAAAAAAAAAAAGTATTTATAAGCCAGCTTTCTAGGAAGGGTCCTGCATCTCCTTTTCAGGGTGTTGGCTACATAGGTGAACCCCAGTCATCTGGCCTCAGGCCCACTTAGTCCACCCTGGATTTGCCTTAAATCAGGCCATAGCATTGATTTCAATACGTTCTCCTTCTAAGGCTCTGAGAAGGACCTGTGTCCTGGGAAGATTGCCTGCACCCCGTGTAGCAGGTCGCGGGCTAGGATACCTCACCCTTCACGCACCTTCCACCTCTGCAGGTAGTGTCCAGAGCTGAGACACCCACCAGGGCATGCTGACAGACAGAGCTGACAAATTTTACTCTTTCCACCCCTACAGCCCAACATTGGCCACCTGGGCCTGCCGCATGGGCCATCTGGAGAGAAGGTGGCTGTGGTAACGGTGGATGACTGTGACGCCGCTGTGGCCGTGCACTTTGGAAGTTATGTTGGGAACTACAGCTGCGCTGCCCAGGGCACTCAGAGCGGCTCCAAGAAGTGAGACACCTGGAGGGGAAGCACGGGGCATCCGCAACTACTCAGGCCCTCCTCCAAGTCACCCCTGTCAGGCCAATGCAGAGTACCTTGTTACCCTCTGTCTGCACTGGTGTCAGACCGTCTCCCGTGAATAGCATCTTCTCTCTCAGACCATAGAACCCGCAAGAATAAGTCCCCAGACGCACCTGTCAAGACAGGTCGGCAGGGCATACCTATAATCCTAGCACTTGGGAGGATGAGGCACATGAATGGAGATTCAGTATAGTATGGTCTACCTATAAATTCAAGACCAGCCTGGACTTAAGCAGTGAGCCGCCATGCAGAAGTCTATCTGAGTAACTTGCCATCTTCGTCTTGTCTCTTTGGGTTGCCAGTCCCTGAACTAAGGAATTACATGAGGTGGAAGCGGCTGGTTGTCCTTGCTGGTTTGGGGTCTCTCAGGGATTCTTTTAACTCAGGACGAAGAAATTCTAATACCCATATGCAGGGTTAGCCTCGCTTTATTTTCTTTTGATAACACCAACCTAAAAAGGTGAGAGCCTGCTCCTGCTGTGTCCAGATGATAGTTTGTGGGTGGAACATAGAACATTGGATTTTAGGGCAGGAGAGACAGCTCAGCAGTTAAGAGCATTAGCTATTCTTCCAGAAGTTCTGAGGTCAATTCCCAGTAGCTACATGGAGGCTCACGACTGTCTACAACTGTAGTACCATAGGATCTGATACCCTCTTCTGGTGTGCAAACGTACACGCAGATCAAACACCCAGACACACAAATAAATGTTTGATGTTTGCTTTGAGACAGTGTCTTCCTGTATAGCCCAGGCTCTCCTCCTCCTTCCAGTTCTCTGGTCTTGTTATCCTTATGACCAGGATTACAGGCTCTACGAAGGCCCTTGACCCTGAGTCTTTATCCCTTTTGAGACTCGTGTTCAGGGGAACATGATGAAGGTCACACGTCCTCACTTAACTTTCTTTACTGTCTTGGTGAAATGTGCCTTGGGTCTAGAGCCCTGCCTGGGACCTCAGCTGCCCCCTGCTGGAGCCAGAGTTCTGTTCTCATTACACCTTCTCCCTAGAGAGCCAAGGGACTGTGGGATGCTTCCCTCTACTGCAACATGGAACTCGAGGTGGTTGTTAGTTGTCCCCAAACGCCCATCTGTCTGGAAGTGATGGCAAGTGTAAGGACGTTGAGGCCCAGAGAAGCTGCGAGGAGCCACTAGTGACCCTGAAGCAGGGCCACTTCTGTCCTGACCGCCAGGCATCTGCCTTGGGCTTGCCCCTGCTCTGTGATGGAAGGCTTAGCAGTGGAGTCGCAGTGATGCCACAGCCGCGCCAGGCCCAATATTACAGAAGATGGCTTTCCTTTCCAGGTCGCTGGATCTGACTGGACCTCTGCTCCTGGGTGGTGTCCCCAACCTGCCAGAAGACTTCCCCGTGCATAGCCGGCAGTTTGTGGGATGCATGCGGAACCTGTCCGTCGATGGCAGGATTGTGGACATGGCTGCATTCATTGCCAACAATGGCACCAGGGCAGGTGTGCACAGCCCCTGGGTGTATAGGGCTAGCATGGTGCCCACTGGACATTTGTGACCATACCAGGGACAGAAGAGCTGCTTTACCTCCCAGAGAGTTCTTAAAACACAACCTATTTTGAGTGAGGACCTCTTGGAAATGGGTATAGAGCTTGGCTTGGTGGCCATGACCACAAGCCTGCAGTTTGTTGTGTTCCTGATGTTGGGATGCTGTCCGCTCATCTGGATACACAATCCTAAGATCTTGAACTTGTCACCAGGTGGTCAGATCAGACCCTGGGATGGCATGGAAACCCTGAGTCTCAGATATGGGTAGAGCAGAGAATTCTACACACCCCAGTCTGGCGTTCTCGCCATGCCCAGCAGATTCTAGGCTGGCTGTCTCTGACTGGTTACACATCCACGCATGGGTCAGTGCAGGGAGTGGCACAGTTCCTTAAGAGAAACCACCCTGTGGTCTTGAACGCAAGGCCAGACTATACCCTCCGCCCTGCAGGCTGTGCTTCTCAGAGGAACTTCTGCGATGGGATCTCCTGCCAGAACGGGGGCACCTGTGTGAACAGGTGGAACACGTACCTGTGTGACTGTCCGCTCCGCTTCGGTGGGAAGAACTGTGAACAAGGTAAGAATCTGTCCCTTTCCCCCAGACCATGGTGGTGTATCTAGGAGGGGGACACAGGCTACAAGCAGTTGAGGGCGGCTAGGATAAAGGTCCAGGGCCTGGGCCCAGCTCCATCGGATGTAAAGACAGGTGACCGTGAGGCTCAGAAGAATAAGGTAGCTGTGGGGGCACACCTGCGCTCCTGGGGTTCTCAGACGCCTCTCCTGACAGCTGCTGCTGATTGGGCCTGGTGATAGCATGAAAGACAACCTCCTGCCCATCTCTTGGAGATGCTACAGGGTTCACGGGGTATCTTAGTGTCTTTCCTGCTCTGTCATAAAATACCCTGACAAGAGAAAGTTAAGAGATAAAGGCTTTATTTGGCTCACAGTTCCAGACCATAGTAAGTCCATTGTGATGAGAATGCCCCAGCAGCGGAGCTTGAGAGAGAACTGGTGGTGTCACACCATCACCATAAGTCAAGAGCAGAGCAATGCATGCATGCCAGTCCCCAGCTCACTTTCTTCACCATACCAGCCATGATCCCCTGCCCAGGGAATGACGCCACCCATCCAACTGAAACCCAAAGCTGCTCCTTGTCCCAAGCCCCACAGGACCGCCCCGTGATTGTCATACATCCATCTAGGGTGCTCCTTGCTCACTTTGGATGCGTCTGGCAACTCTCGGGGCTTCTCTGCCCAGTGAGCTGTACAGAAGCCACGGTGGGCATCTGCAGAGTCCATTGCTGGCTCTTAGGGCACAGATACAGGTCTGAGGCTGGCATCTGTCCATCCTCACCTGGCTGGTAGCTGAGAAGATGCTCCCTGCCTGATTTCGGGAGGTGCCTGAGGCCTGGTCTGTATCTGCAGTTATGCCACACCCTCAGCGCTTCAGTGGCGAGAGCGTTGTGTCATGGAGTGACCTCGACATCACCATCTCTGTGCCTTGGTACCTGGGGCTCATGTTCCGGACCCGGAAGGAGGATGGTGTGCTGATGGAGGCCACAGCCGGCACATCTTCCAGACTCCATCTCCAGGTGAGTGTGTCTGTGAGCCACACAGGCAGCTGCAGAGCAGACAAAGGGGCTTCCTAGGATCCCCGTAAAGATATTTGCCACTCATCTACCTCCTCCTGGGCCTGCTCTGTGGTGGACGGAGAGAACACAGAGGGGAATTATGGGTAGCTCAGGCAGCAGTACCGTTGTGCCCTTCAGTATGAAGGAAGTGCAGAGATAATGTACAGCTAATGGCTCCGGTGGGGTTCCTTTCCAGCGCCTGCTTCCCTTCACTGAAGTCATAGAGTAGGGCGGGTAACCATGGAACATCTGGCTCCATGTAACTTGCCATAGACAGCAGCTCTGCCCTGCCCTGCCCTGCCCTGCCCTGCCCTATCCTGCTTGGAATTTGGCTCTTTTTTATCCCTGGCATTTCAGAGCTAAGGGCAAAGGGCTACATCAGGTGCAGCAAGTGAGCCTCCATCAGTTCAGACTGCAACCCCTTACCCCTATATTAGACCTGTATGCTACCGTACACCAGATCCCTGCCTAGAGGGCTCTTGAGGCCGCATTGCATCACGCCGCATGTGTGCTTTCTTCCTTTTTCCTCTTTACTATTTGACTTGGAGGTTGGAGTACTAGAACATTTTTCAGGGTGATCTCCATGCACCCTGTTCACACATTTGCACATCTCTTGCATCACAGACAGTTCCTGTGGAGCCAGAGGCACCAAGGGGTGATGAGTTACTGCCTTTGTCAGGCTCGCCTGGTGCTTCCTCACTGAGCTACCCTCGCCTCTCCGCCTCTTCACTGGCAGTGCAGTAGAGAGAGCCCGTATGCTATGCTCCCCCTGAGGTTCTGAGGTGGTTAGAATGTGAACCCACAGTCTGAGACTCACTGCTTGGCCAGGGGATTCCACCGAGCCTGCCTCTCATCCTCTGTCCTTGTGTCTCTGGCAGTTCCCATTCACACTGACTGGACAGATTCTCTTGTATAAACCATGGCCCCTGATTCCTGGGCAGGATCAGAATTCTCCACCTTTGGATCTCCTTGGATTTAACATTACTCCTGCTGTGCAAAAACCCCAGGGGATCAATAGCCACTTAGGGGAATCATGCCCAAACAGGGACTTAGTCTCAAATTTGGAGGAATTAATAACTGGGTGTTTCTTTCTTTCTTCCAGGCTTTTCCAAAGTATGTATATGTAAGCACATGCATGGGTGCCTATGTCTCTTTGTGTGCTTGCGTCTGCCAATGTATGTGAATGTGCCTGAGCATATATGTATGTGTGCATCTATGTGTACATCTGTGCATGTCATGCACGTGTCTGTGTTTGCATGTGTTCAGGACTGTGTGTATGTTTGTGTGCACATTTGTGTACATGTCTTTGAGTGCATGTGTGCCAATATGTGAATGTATGTTTGCGCATGTGTGCCCATATATGTATGTATGTTTATGCACGGGTGCATGCATGTCTCCGTGTGTGTCTGTATATGAGTGCATTTAATGGGCCCTAGTGCCATGAACTTCGTTCCTGTAGGTCATCCTCTGTCCCCCTTCAGCACAGTCTCTGCTACCTATCAGTCTCTTCCTTTCCTGAGGAGTCTGGCCACACCGACATGTGAAACACATAGCACTTCTGTCCCGAGATTACACTTCTAAAGGTAGTGGCTCCTGGAACTGGTGCCGATGGCCCCTACAGTCCCCATATCCTCACAGAGCTACGACTTGTTTCTTTTGCTTGCTGGGCCCTGGATTCTTGCTCTTCATTCCTAGTCAGGCAGTTGGGGTGGGTTGGAGATGGTCAGGAAGAGGTGAACTCTGAAGAATGTCTGAAGCTGAGGCTAGAGACTGTGTGATCTAGGCCGTGCGGGACCTGAGTCAGCCAGAGAACCCCTCCGTCTCCCTGGAACAGGGTTCGGCTCAGAGAGTGGGAGGAGATGGGACATCCAGAGCCCTCCCCTCTTCCAGTTCTCTGCCAGAGGCCACAGGGCCCCTTGAGAGATTCCTTTGCACTGGCAGAAAGAGGGTGGGGCCGTCAGCCCAGACAGAAGCCGTCTCTGGCCTCTGCCTGCCCACTCACCTGGGGTCATGGCTCCAGCACCCCACTTGGGTTGGGGGTGTTGGCATGTGCGTCAAGGGTAATTGCAGCTGTCATTGTTCTTCTCTCGTTAGCTGTAATTTCACGAGTTTACCTGCTGCCCCAGGAGCTCACTTTGGGCTGAACTTGGAAGCACCGTTCTGCCCGGGGAAGGCATTTCTCTGTGGGTGTTTCTCTGTCGGAACACATTAAATTGGCTGTTTTGAGTCAGGTGATGATGGGTGCTCACAGGCTGTCATTAGTGTACCTGTAGGAGAGAAAAAAAAGCCTGCATTCAGCAGGGTTAGTCCTGACTGAGTAGTTACCTTTGGGAGCTCATCCATAAGTTCAGGGACTGTAGCTAGGAAGACTGGGTGCACCAAAGATGGTCTCAAGGGGTCCTGTAGACCTCTACCAGAGACCACCTCAGTATGATTCCCAGTATGCCTGTTCTCCCAGGCATCTCAGGAATTTTCTGGTTGTGTTTTGTATGACATGTTTAGCCTGTGGCCTCCAGACTGCCCAGGTAACATTGTGATGCAGCCGTTTGAGTGTCCAAAGCCCAGACAATTTGGATAATTGCTGTCAGGTGCCCCAAATTCAGCTTCATTATCCAGTGGAATAGTCATGCTGTTGCTGGCACCTGTCTTGAAGTGGGTAGCCGTCCAAGATGGGCGGCTGCTTCTGTCTCTGTCCTGGAGTTTATTCATGGCTTCTCCTTTTGCTGTAGACACATGACATTTTCATTTTCATTGTTGATCTATTACTTTGGGGTTTTGCCAGCAAGGCTAGTGAGAGAGAGAAAGTACCTCACTGGCCCAGAAAACCTCTGTGAGCCAAAGGAAGCGAGATGTAAAAAGGTAAAAATTGCCTTCCGAAATCAGCTATTGGGTTTAGACCAAAGTCAAGAGGAAGCAGTCGTGACACTAGTCCTGCCCATCAGGGTTTCCTCCAGGGCCTGTGGAGTATTTGAGTTAGTCAGCATGAGGCACCATGTACTGAAACCTTTTGATACTGTTTCTAACATGGTAGAGGCCATACCACTTGGGCCCAGTGAGCTCAGTCCTTGGAAATGTGTTGGGGCTTGCTTTAAAGCCAGCATGCAGCCAGCCTTCATCAACATTCCGTGTGTATTTGAGAAGAATGTGTACTCCGCAGTTGTCAAGCAAGGAGATGTAGAGAGATCCGCATATGTTAAGACAGTGGTGTTAACTGTGTTTAAACAGACTGTGTCCGGGGTTGGAGATGTAGCACAGTGGGTAGATCACCTGACTAGCGTATACAAGGTCCTTGGTTCAATTCCCAGCACTGCCTAAACCAGGTATAGTGTCACACCTTCGTAATCCCAGCACTTAGGAAGTGGAGGCCAAAGGATTAGAAACTCAAGGCCATCCTGTGCTCACAGAGGAAGTTGGAGCCCAGTATGGGCTGTATGAGACCCTGCCTCCGAAAAGAAAAGAAAAAGAGAAAGAAAGAAACCAACCAACCTCTAAAAAAAAAAAAAAAGAAAAAAAAAAGAAAAAAAAACTATGCCATTTTCAAAGCTGGGTGTTTTGTTTTGTGTGTTTTTTGGTTTTTTTTTTTTTTTTTTTTTTTTTTTTTTTTTTTTGGTCTGTTATTGTGGCAATCTGCATCTGGACTTCGGTGCTCCCCTGTTTTCCTTCCTGGCAGGCTGGCTCTGGTGTCCTTATGAAAGTCCTTTTTTCTCTAGTGATGATGCTTGCCTTAAAGTGCTCTGTCTGCTTACGCAGCCACACTAGCCCTTCTGTCTATGGTGTCTCTGTCCTCCTTTTGCTTTTGTTTTAGTTTTTCAAGACAGGGTTTCTTTGTGTCTCCTTGGCTGTCTTGGAACTCAATTTGTAGACCAGGCTGGCCGCAAACTCAGAAATCTGCCTGCCTCTGCCTCTGCCTCTGCCTCCTGAGTGCTGAGATTAAAGGCGTGCGCCACCACTATCTGACTGTGTCCACCCTTTTTCTTTCAACATGTTCTATGTCTTTGCATTTCAAGTGTGTCATGTTCAGTGGATTTTAAATCTAAGTCTCATTTGGTGGGCATTAATCTTTACCTGAACATCTTACATAAGCCACAGCCCTGCTTTCTATTTTTTCTTCACTGTATTGAAATGTAGTGGCTTGGTCTTTCTGGAATGTTACATGGACAGCCAGAAACAAAAATCTGCTGGTCCCCAAGTCTGCCTGTGACTCTCATGACTGCTTACAAGTCTGGTTCTGACAATTCTATCATTCCTTTGGGTCTGTTCTACTATTCGGAGTTTTTAGACATGTTACTGTTACTGTGTCCTCAGACTTTGGGAAATTTTTATTGAACGCTAGGCACCGTACTGAAAATCTGGAGAGAACCAGTGTCCTTGTCATCTTGTTTGTTGTTGGTGGCAGCCAGGGGAATCATTTGCCCCAGAACATGTTAGTGCAGTCACAGAGTCAAAACCAGGCTTCTGTCCCTGCAAGATCTGCTCTGTTTCTTGTTTACTCAGTGTCTATGTCTCGCCCTTAAGCATCCCAGTGCTAATCCTTGAAGATTCCTGCCCATCCAGCTTGATTGGGATGGGAATTCTCTTCTCTTTCCCATGGACCTGCATGACCCTCTTCAGCTTGTGCTGCAACTGAGTCTTCAGAACCAGCTGGCGGCCCTGGGGAAGCAGCCCCTAGCAGACCTGAGGCTTCCTTCTCCCCGGCCTCCGCCCTCCAGCTCAGCCTTGTCACTCAGAGTGTCACACTGATGTCCTGACCCACCAAAGGAGGATGGTCCAACTCACCCAGTTCCCTGTCAAGTCAAAAAAAAAAGAAAGAAAGAAAGGAAAGAAAGAAAGAAAGAAAGAAAGAAAGAAAGAAAGAAAGAAAGAAAAAGAAGAAATCTCTGGCCATTCCTCCAGCTGTGTTAATCTGAAAATTTGACATTTATGTATTTCCTTCTTTAATTATTTGTGTGCATGTATGTGCTGTAGTGTGTATGTGGGGCCCAGAGGACAGCTTGTGGAAGTCAGTTCTCTCTTTCCATCTTGGGCATCTCAGGGGTCTAACTCAGGTCATTAGGCTTGGCAGCAGGTGCCTTTACCCCTGGGTCATCTTGTCAGCCCCCAGCTGCATTCATTTTCTTTTCTTCCTTTCTTTTATCTTTGTGGTTTTGCTTGTTTTTCGTTTTTGTCTTGGCTGGCCTGGAACTCACCGTGTAGACCAGGATGGCCTCAAACACACGAAGATTCACATGCCCCTGCCTCTCCCCTCAACTTCCCCTGCACTTGCCCTGCCTCCACCTCCCAAGTGCTGGGATTCAACGCCTGCACCATTGCACTTGACCTAAACCGTATTAATTTAAAACACTGTTCTAGGCTAGGTGCAATACTTGTGATTTTCGTGCATGTCTTTAAACAAGATTGGAGCCTGACAAACTAGAATTGTAGCTAATTGTTGGTATGTGTTGTTTCAGGGAGCAAAGCCCAGGTCTTACATAGCCAGGCAAGTGCTCTACCACTGAGCTACATCCCCAGCCAACTCTGTGTCTTTGTTTTCTTTTCTTCCTCTTTTGAGATAGTCTCACTATGTAGCCCACCTGGCCTGACACTTGCTATTTAGAATAAGCTGTCTCCAAACTCAGGACCGTTCCTGCTGTTCCACCAGGTTCTGGGATAACAGGTGGGCACCATCATGCCTGGCTCCTAATTTTTAAATCCGTTTTTTTTTTTTTTTTCCACGCTGGTGCCATGTCTAAACCGGTCCTCATGTCTGTGTCGTTAGATGTCTGCAGAATGCTTGCCATGCCAGTGCACCAATCACCTGGTGTGGCTCTCTCTGCCTTACAGATTCTCAACAGCTACATCCAGTTCGAGGTCTCCCATGGCCCTTCCGACGTGGCGTCCATGCAGCTGTCCAAGTCCCGGGTAACCGATGGAGAATGGCACCACGTGCTAATAGAACTGAGGAGTGCCAAGGAGGGCAAGGACATCAAATACCTGGCCGTCATGACCTTGGACTATGGGATGGACCAAGTGAGTATGCACTTGTACCCTCCTGGGAACCGTTCCTTCATTGGCCCCCAGGAAAGCACAGTGATGCCCAATGTACCAGCGCCTGCCGGGACCTTGGAGGTTTGGAGAAGTACTAGTTGGCATCCCTGGCTTTGTATCTTCTATTCCATGTATGCTGAGGATACTTCTGTAGTCTGGAGTTGGGCCCTGCCCACCTGGTGCTTCAGGTACCTTTGCAATGCTTTGAGTAGCATCTCATCGTCCAGCCCTGTGCCTGTCTGTCCCCACGCACAGATACCAGCACACCTTTCCCAGAAAGGGAAATAGTGAATTAAGCTGGAAAAGATGAGGGGCCTGAAAGGCTAGAAGACACAGACCCACATCTGTCCCAACTCTCCTGACAGCACCCTTAGAATGCTCTCTGAACAAGACTGGCTTCTGCAATTGCCAGCCAGAGAACCTGGCACATGCCAGAAGATACCCTCATGCTGAGAAAATGCCTCGGAGTCTTGGCTTTCTTGCACCACATTCTAAGAGTACATAGCTGTTGAGTTTAGATGCCCCTTGCTGGGGCTGGGAGCCGGCTGAGACCCGTGGTATTCCCATGGTAATACATGGGCCCCCACTGCTTGCCTGCCTCCTGTTAACCCAGCCCATTCTCTCAGCATGGCTCTTTGGGTGCTATGCTCATTATAGGGCAGGAAGGTTGCCCATGTCTTCCCCACTGACCACCTGGACCCCATGCCCTATGTGCCACATACAGCCAACCTGCTTCTCTCCAGAAGGCCAAGTGTTCCTTTGGAGGCTCTAGGGAGGTGACTTGTGTCCCTCTGCCTTGGTCTTTAGCACATTCCTCCCACTGGGAAGGTGTGCCCAGAGACCCCCGTGCTTCCCATTGGGAAGGTGTGTCCAGAGACCCCTGTTCCTCCCACTGGGAAGGTGTGTCCAGAGACCCCAGTTCCTCCCATTGGGAAAGTGTGTCCAGACACTTTCATTCTTTCTGTGTAGAGCACGGTGCAGATTGGGAACCAGCTTCCGGGGTTGAAGATGCGGACTATCGTCATCGGAGGTGTGTCTGAGGACAAGTTGTCTGTGCGCCATGGTTTCCGAGGCTGTATGCAGGTATGGTGGGCATGGCACTATGTCTTTTCATGGCTGGCTCAGGCCACCATCACTGCAGTTGGTATGACTCTTCGGTTCATTTTTAACAAAGGAAGGGCCATCTAGTAGGCACCCTAAACTTTAACTCATGTTTCCTGTTCACTTCTACCTTCCCCGTAGCTTTCTTTATGCCAGGATTCAGTCCCTACATCCCCAGCCTTCATCCTCTTGTTTCTGCCTTGGCTACCTGGTCCAACTTCATATCCACACAGGTGTCCCACAACTACCAAGGGAGGAACTCACGTGTCCCTTGTTCCGCTCACAGCCCCCTGCAGGGGACACAAACCACACATTCCTTTGCCGCTGGCCATGCTGTGTGACCCAGCACTGCCCATGTCTCTGGCCTCAATAAGAACTGTTCAGACTGGGAGAGAATTTGGGGGCTCTCTTAACGTCTCTTTACCTTTTGGGGTTCATCCAGTTCTAGCACTCTGGGACTGAGTCCAGCTGCCCTCACTTTTCAAATGCAGGGCGTGAGGATGGGGGAGACGTCTACCAACATTGCCACCCTGAACATGAATGACGCCCTCAAGGTCAGGGTAAAGGACGGTTGTGACGTGGAGGACCCGTGTGCCTCAGACCCCTGCCCTCCACACAGCCACTGCCGTGACACCTGGGATAGCTACTCCTGCATCTGCGACAGAGGTGGGGCCCTCCCTTTACACCATCATAGAGGAGCCTTTGGTGGCTACAGTGCATCTAGGGAAACTGATTTGGGGCATTAGCTTCCCCGGTCAACTCAGTGAGGCTATGGGGTCCTGAGCTGTCTTATGAGAAATGGCCTCTCATGCATGGTGGCTCACACCTATAATATCAGCACCTGGGAGGAAATGTCAGCCATGATAGGAAAACTGCTACAAATCTGAGGCCAGCTTGGGCTGCGTGGTGAATTTCCTGGGGGCTAGCCTGGGCTACCGAGGTAGACCTTCTTTCAACCTCCCTAGACCCCTCGGAAAGCAGAGGACCTTTCTACTGGAAGCAGACTCCCTTGCTTTTTCTTTCTTAGCCTAGAGAACATTTTGAGACTTTAATTTCCAAGTGCAGCTGGAGCACAGTAGTATAAAACTGGCACATCCTAAAGTCACACATTCACTGGTCACCTTTGGACCTGGTGGATGGAGACACACTGAGGCTATCCATCCAGAGCTCCCATTGTCCATGTGTCTAGAACAGTCAAGACATACACCCCTGCATCCACCCTCCCCTGGCCTGGGCTGGCTGCCTTCCATGTTTCCCTAATCTGTCTCCTGTGACCTGGAGGGGAGGCTGCTCCTCCGTTTTGCTGAGTGGCAGGAACCGTCGGCTTGGGGAAGCGTGGGATGCAGGAGAAGCCTTGAAGCAGAGCTTATGCTGGCCCTGTCTCCTCAGGGTACTTTGGAAGAAAGTGTGTGGACGCGTGTCTCCTGAACCCCTGCAAGCACGTAGCAGCGTGTGTGCGCGCCCCCAACAGTCCCCGCGGCTACTCCTGCGAATGTGGGCCCGGCCACTATGGGCAGTACTGCGAGAACAAGTAAGGGAGCCTGTGACACTGCCTGGTGGTCCCCTTGGCTTCTGTCCCCATCTTCCCTGCCTCTTCTCCCCTGGGGAGATACAGACGCCATCCCCACCCTGCCTCTCCTGTCTATGCCACACTAACCTGAGGCCCTCACTGGGATTCTCCTGTGTTTCTTTAAGACAGACGAAAACATGGAGAAAGCTATCATTTTAAACCACTTCTGTAGACAGAGTCTGGTTGGGTATATGGCCTTTAAAGGTAAGGATGAGGGCACAAACTTCTTTTGAGTATCCTTCATCTGTTACCTTCTTTTTCCATCAGAGTCGACCTTCCATGCCCCAAAGGCTGGTGGGGGAACCCGGTGTGTGGCCCCTGTCACTGTGCCGTCAGTCAAGGCTTTGATCCAGACTGCAACAAGACCAATGGTCAATGCCAGTGCAAGGTGAGAGGCCACCAGTCTGTCTCCACATCCCTTCGACTTGTGCCCAGCAATGCATGCACAGTATGACCTACATACAAACATGAGTCTACACACATGGACAGATACACCCATATATATATATATATATATATATATATATATATATATATATATCATAAACTTTCATATACACACGTTCACCTGTATTCAGATACACTTCTATATAAGCACAGATATCAGTGTGCACTCCTACATGTACATAGCCACACAAACATACATACACCCTCATATGCACGCATATAGATGTTGGGTTGTGCTGGGCAGTGGTGGTGCACGCATCTAATCCCAGTACTCATGAGGCAGAGGCTGGTGAATTCAAGGCCTTCCCGGTCTACAGAAAGAGTTTGGGACAGCCAGGGCTACACAGAGAAACCCTATCTTGAACACCAAAGCAAACAACCATATATTGGGTTGCTCACCTGTGCTCTGTGAACACTCCAGGGCCGCTTACATCTAAACTGGTTCAGACTGTCCCACTATGGGATCTAGAAGCCACCTTTAGTCTTTCTTCAGCCCCACACCCAACTGAGGAACAAGAGATCAAGGCATTTCTGTGCAGGCTGCCACATCTTTGGCATCAGCCTTGGTTTTCCTAGTCGGCTGCTGTCCTGCCCTTTTACCAAGCTGGCACTTAGTGATGGCAGTTTTTAAAATCTGGAGGGCAGGGGATATGGCTCAGAAGGTGGAGCTCACACACGTGGCATTGCACAGACCCTGGATTTGGTCCCCGGCACTCCCCTCCTACCGCCCTCCCCCGCCACACACATATACACAAGCCATACCTTGTCTTGGTATCCAGACCTAATGTGTGTACAGCATTGGACACCTGGTCTCACAGCTTCTGAATATGTTCCTGTGTGCTGTAGGAAGCCCCGCCCCCAACTGCAGGGGCCTTCAAAGTTGCCTCTGGAAGATTGCCATTGGGTTTTAGGGTAGCTGTAGTCACTCAGTAAGGGACATGCTGTCAAGGAGACAGGGTGAGAAGGAAGGAAATTGTCACCGTGGGCTGCTTGTGATGCTTCTCCAGTGTCAGTCTGGCCCCGAGTGCTCCACGGTGATTCCAACAGTGACACAGGCCTTGTGCCTCGAAACACTGTCAAGTTGAAATGAATGTGGATGAACGTGGCTCAGGCCTGGTCTTGCATGCTTAGAGGGGCCAATTGCATCTGTGGGTGGCAGGAGGAAGGAAGAGGCATGTTACAGCATTAAGGGGAAAGATGCCTACAGGTTTTTCTCATCAGAACTTAAAGTGGACAGGCAAGATGGCTCAGCTTGTAGAGGGCCTTGCACACTGGCCTGACTTCAGTCCCCGGATTCCATGAGGCAGCAGGCATGAACAACCCGAAAGTGGTCCTCTGACCTCCCGACACACCATTGTATTCACATACACATATGCACGTATGTACAAAATAAGCATATTGTTAAGTTAGAGAAAGTGTTTAGTTAGGTGTGGTACTAGATACCTGTAATTCCAGCACACAGGAGGCTGAAGCAGAAGGATCATGAGTTCAAAGCCAGCCTGGTCTGTGAAGGGAGTCCCTGTCTGGGGGAGAGGAGAGGCTTTGGAATAGTTTTGAATAGAGAACTTGTCAAATATGCACGAAGCCCTGAGCTCCATCCTAGTACTTCCAAGAAGTGTAAGAAAAGAGTTTTATTACATTTCTTTATTTAGTGTCGTGGTGCACATGGGGAGGCCAGGGGACAATTCCGTAGAGATCTCAGTCGGCCAGACTTGTGTGGCCAGCACCTTTACCCACCGACCCATCTCACTGGCCCCAACTATGCCTTTTCCAGGAGAATTACTACAAGCCCCCAGCCCAGGATGCCTGCCTTCCCTGCGACTGCTTCCCCCATGGCTCCCACAGCCGGGCCTGCGTCATGGACACTGGGCAGTGTGCCTGCAAGCCTGGCGTTATCGGCCGCCAGTGCAACCGCTGTGATAACCCCTTTGCCGAGGTCACCTCACTCGGCTGTGAAGGTCTGTTATTGTCCCCTGACCCCTTTCTGGTCACATTGCAGAGCAGACTGCCGTGTTTAACATGTGTGCGCTAGCATGTACATGCGTGTGCCTGCATATCCCTTGGGCTCCGAGAATCCTGGCAGCCTTTTTTCTGAGTGCTCTTGGCCTTCTAGAAACCTAGTCTTGGTGAGGCACTAGTGTGCATGGTGACTGGAAGGTGCGGGGGTGGGGGTCACTCTTGTCAGGAGCCTTTTGCAGGTGGGACGTAAGACTGGTGCATTTCGTGTACGGCTGAGCCAAGCTGAATGATGCCTTCCTCTGCCCTCAGTTATCTACAATGGGTGTCCCAGAGCGTTTGAGGCTGGCATCTGGTGGCCACAGACGAAATTTGGACAGCCTGCAGCGGTGCCATGCCCCAAAGGATCAGTGGGTAAGTCCTGTGCCTGGGTTTTCCTCGGGATAGGAAACCAGTCTCAGGCAGGCTGAGCATCTGAGCTTTTGAATGTCAATGCTGAAAGAATCCCATGGGCTAGAGAGATAGCTGCTTGATTAAGAACACTGACTTCTCTTCTAGAGGACCTGGGTTCAATTCCCAGAACCCACTTGGTGGCTCATAGCCATCTGTAACTCCAGTTCTGGGGGATCCAAAGCTTTCTTCTGGCCTCCCCAGCACTGGGCACATATGTGGTGGTGATGCACAGACACACATGCAGACAAAACACCCATACACCTTTAATTTGATTTTCAAATATGCAATTAAGAAATGTGTTGGGAGAAATGACATAGTTTTCCCCTCAATAGCAAGAGGCAGAACATGAAAGGGGCATAATGGATGAAAATGTTTTGCCACTCTGCCTAGGGCCTTGGCAAGTCATCTTGTTGTCTATGGTATTTGTTCTCTGTAAAATGGCAAGTAATGGTGTCTGTGCTGTCTCCAGTAAGCCCTGTGTGGAGGTCTTCAGCACTGGCTCATTGTCTCACAGACTTGCCCATGCCCACAGAGTTGCTTGTATTGCCGGGAACCCAGAGGGTCTGAGCCTATCAGGGCAGCTTGGGTTTCAGCATGAAAGATGAACGCATGTGTTGGCCCTGTCCTGTGGCTGTGACCTTGACTGACATAGCCCCCACCTGGACCCTCATCTGTGCTCAGGGCGAGGGCTGGCCAAATGTGTCGGGTTGTGGTGTTACTAGGTGGCCACCCACCATCTGAGCATGCTTTTGTTCCCAAGGCAATGCAATTCGACACTGCAGCGGGGAGAAGGGCTGGCTTCCCCCAGAGCTCTTCAATTGCACCTCGGGCTCTTTTGTGGATCTCAAGGTCATGGTAGGTCACAGGTGCCTCTTGGGGAGGTGCTATAGGGGTTGCATTTGGGTCATGTATGGCTCCCAAGAGGCTGTGAATCTGGAAGCAAGTGGAGAAGGGACAACCCTGGGGCTGCAGGGGCCAGGCCCACTTCCTTCACTCAGGTGAGTCAGGCTGGCCTCAAGTACATAGGTCTTCTGTCCCCTTGTTCTGGTTCTGTAGACACAGAGTCCTCACTGTCACCAAACTATGACATTGCTTCCACACACTCCCGCCCAACAGGCCTGCCCTTTTCTTGCTACTGTTGTCAACTCAGGATCATTTCTGGGTTTGAAATCTTTGAAGCACTATGAAGGATACTAAAAAGTAGAGAATTTCTGAATGGCGGGAAGGGCCAGAACAAATGAAATCCATTTGCAAACGTTGCCATTTCTTTTTTTTGTCCCAGAATGAGAAGCTGAGCCGTAACGAGACAAAGATGGATGGAGACAGGTCCCTGAGGCTGGCAAAGGCGCTGAGGAATGCCACACAGCGCAATGGCACTCTCTTTGGCAATGATGTGCGCACAGCCTACCAGCTGCTGGCCCGCATCCTGCAGCATGAGAGCCACCAACAGGGTTTCGACTTGGCAGCCACTCGGGAGGCTAATTTCCATGAGGTAAGAGGAGGGTGAACTTAGTGCAGCAGGAGTCGAGGGGTCAGGAGCTGGGCTCAGTTGGTGAAGCACAGTACGGGGGTCTTGTCCAGGCATCCCTTCATTTCAGGTGTGAAAAAGTCTCGCGAGGCAAGGGCAGACCACAGCTTTGCTGACAGCAGCAATGCTAATGGTTAGGGACCACTGAGTAGGCACAGCGTTCTAAGTGGCAAGTATTTTAGCTATGCATATTTTCTTACCCCTTGACAGATAAGGAAACTGGGGCACATGGAGCTTAGGGTTTTTAGGTTTTGCCCAAGAGCACAGTCAGAGAATGGTGAAGCCTAGGAATAGGCTCTTCAGCCTCCTACAGATACCTCCCTCACAGGCCCTCTGCTCCATGTCATTTAAGTCCCACATCCAATACCATGCTGAAGGCTGTTTCACACAAGCCCTGGTGTGGTGGGTGTAGATGTGGGGCATCGCCCCATAAGTATGTCCGCAACTGGCCTCGCCACACTTCCATCCCCAGCGAAGTACACTGTAGTTCCCTTCTCTGGTTTACCTGTGTGGTCCGGGGTCTAAAATGAAGAGACATCCCTGCCTATCTTTCTCCTTAGTGTCTGGGGTTGTCAGGGTACGCTCCTGGCGGAGTCTCTGACCGCCAATGTCTATTTGTAGCCCTGCTTTGCTCCCTCCTCCTGGCACGGCCCTCAGCCGGACACTCTCCTGGCAGTCTCTGGCCTCTGATGTTGACTCTGATGATGTTCTCCTGGCCCAGCTCAGTCCTGGTCAGCTCCTGGCTGTCTATAAGATGGTTTGCTCCATCTCAGTACCAGGCGTCTGAGGACAGAAGACCAAGTACCATTGTCTGTCTGTCTGTCTGTCTGTCTAGGATGTTGTCCAAACAGGCAGTGCCCTCCTGGCCCCGGCTACCCAGGCATCATGGGAACAGATCCAGCGAAGTGAGGGTGGCGCTGCACAGCTCCTGAGGCACTTCGAGGCGTACTTCAGCAACGTGGCCCGGAATGTGAAAAGGACCTATCTGAGACCCTTCATCATCATCACCGCCAACATGAGTATGAACTGACCTGTGGGAGGGCAGAACACCTGACCCCCGGGGACTTTGGGCATTTGCTGGCCACCGGCAGTGAAATGGGAGGGGGCACTCTGTAGAAAAGTGAACCGGCAGCTCAGTTCTAACCTCTAGCTGCTTCTTCTGTAAAACGGGAGAAGACGCCCAACTTGAAAGACATCTACAATGGCTGATGTCATTCCTGGGGCCAGATACTTCTGTGGAGGTGTCACCCTGGGGTCTTTGCAGTCCAACTGGCCTTTTAGACATCCAGGTTTGGGATTCTACATAGTGCAGCCTGCCTGGGGACAATATGCCCTCTCCCATTGACCACAGATGGAAGTACGTGCAGGAGGGACATGTGGGGATGGAGGTGCAAGCTCTCCCAGCCTGGGAGCAATCAGTGCTACTAGCACCCCCATGGTCCATGTTACATCCAACGCTAGTACACACATCTCTGGGCTTGGGAGTTTAACAGTCCTGATTAAAGCCCCTGGTTGGTAAAATCAGTTCCCAGTCTGTCTGGACAAAGCTGGCAAGCAGTCCCCAAGTCCTGAAGATCACCATCCCACAGAGAGTTCCCCTAACTAGGTGTGGGACCAGCAGCATGGCTGATATTGACCCTCTGAGGTCCCTTACCCCACACCACAGGCTTTTCCTCCTGCCCCTCACTCCTTCTACAGGTGGCTCAAGGGGCAGTGAGTCTTTTCTGAGGGGTTCGTTTGAGACAGGGTCTCACTACACATTTCAGGCCATCCTGGAACTCACTCTGTAGACCAGGCTGTCCTGGAACTCACAAATCCACCTGCCTCTGCCTCCTGTGTGCTGGGTTTAAAGGCATGTACCTCTATGCTCAGCTTTTAGCAGGCAGTCTAAAACAGGGTGGGATGATGTGAGGGGGCCCCTGGCACATACAGGCATGATTCTACCTCTTTGTCAGAGTGGTGGTGGCCAGCACCAGCTGAAGGACAGCTTGACGCTGTGTCCCATCAGGGGCCTGTAGGTGTGTCTACAAGGCAGAGAGCAAACAGTGTGAGTTCGTGCTACAGAGCTTGCTCTATCATGGTCAATTTCACCAACTCTGCCTCTGTCTCCACCACTTGGAAAGGCTGCGGGGAGATGGCACGGCCGGAAGAATAGAGTGGGGCAGTACCCTTCGCCGCCATGTTGTGGCTGGCCTTGCCCCTCATATTTCACCCCGCCAGAGCCATGCAGGACAGTGCCAGGTGCCACTGTAAAGAGCCACACTCTGCCTTGTGTCACCCTCGGGTGTCCTGTTGTGTGACTCTCAGTAGGTTCCCTAGAGACAATGGCTGCTGTGGAAGCAACAGCAATCATTTCAAAACCCGGGGTTCAAGAAAGCGCTAGCACGTGGGAGTGAGTCAAGGAATTGTCCCAGTTCTTGCAGTTGACGTCTTCGACAAGTTTAACTTCACCGGTGCCCAGGTGCCAAGGTTTGAGAGCGTTCGGGAAGAGTTCCCAAGGGAGTTGGAGTCCTCTGTGTCCTTCCCAGCGGACACCTTCAAACCGCCAGAGAAAAAAGGTGATGCCGCCTACACAGAAGTCCCTTGTTGCCTTGAGTGTCTCAGTCCTTTCAGGAGAGAGTGACCCTCTAAGAGTCCTGCGTGTACCCTGAACGAGTCGTGGAGCAAGCAGGACTGAGTGATGTTCAAGCATCTTCTATAAATACTGTGAGAGATTCTCATGGATGTAGAACCGAGCTCAGAACAGGCCCCATCTTCCAAGCTGTTCGGTTGTAGCTTCCACATACATGTGTTATGTTTGTTGAAAGCAGACCACAAAAGAGATTGTGTTGTGTGTGAGCTTAAGAGCATTAGCTATGAGTGTCCCTTGCATGCAGGTGTGCATATATTCTATCTATGCATGGGTATGTATGTTCCTGATGTGTATATGAGTGGTATTCTGTGTGTACACATGTGTATGTTGTGTATGCATTCAGTATGTGTATGTGCATGTTAATGTGCATGTGTGTATACCCAATATGTGTGTATGTGCATATATTTATGTTTATATGTATGTATTTTCAGAATGTTTGTATTCGTGTATATGTTAATGTGCATATGTGTATATATTCAGTATATATACATTTATTAATATGCGTATATGTAAAATTCCAGGTGTGCATGTGTATATGTATATATGTTTATATTATGTGTGCATGTGGTTATATCCTGCGTGTACACATATACTATGTGTACAGGATAAATATTCTGTGCATACACATATCCATATATGTATTGCCTACATGGTGCACAGGTAGACTATTCTTATGTGTGTGTACATGTGTCTGTCCCTTAGCATTGTTACCTAGAAGAGGGCTCTGTCTCTGTGACAACGTCACCTATCTGCTGCTGAGGCATGGTTCAGGGAACACTCCCATGGGGCATCCCATACCGTCTCATCCCTAATTCTCCATGGTCCTGCAGGTGGCATTTTATTATTGTGCCAAAACCCTAGGGTTGGCCAGCATAGTACCACACTGCCCACTTGTCAGGCAGCATGGTGTCTAGTAGGCCAGCTGTTAGGAAGGAGCCTCACTCAGGCAGGGAGTAGACCCATCCCTTCCACATCCTGATCCAGGGAACATGACATCATCTCTCTCTCTGTCCCCCACTGAGCCCAGGTGCTAACACTGTCAATCTTCCACATGATGCTGCTTTAGTGAGTTACATGACACTGTAGGCTTGGGCACCCCAGGTATGTACTTACATGGCCTCTCTCATGTACAGTTGAAAACATGTCCACATTTAGCATGAAGTTAGAAAGCACAGGGCACAGAACTCATGTGTGCAGAAGGCCCCTGTCTCCTCCTGCCGTTCCCAGCACTGCTCTGAGTGGGGGCGTTGCTAAGACCCCAGCCCCCCACCACATGACATTGTTGCCCCTCTAAACACCCCATCCAAAGGTGTCTGCTGCATCCCCAGTGCCTCCCACCCTCTTCAGCCCCTCCTCTTGTTGCTGTGACACTGGCCACTGGTCACTAACAAGTCCAACCCCAGTGGCCACTGTGCTACTTCCTGTCTGGGAGTTTGGAAAGTCTGTGGCCACAACTTCAAATCTTCGCAGCTCTTCTAGTGCATACCCAAAGGTAGAACTACTGGGCCACGGGCTGTTAATGTGTGGCTTCTGAGGAGACTCCGTGTTAGTTTCCCCCTGCCCGTTTTAAGAGTATAGAACCCGTTTGGTGACACAGCTGTCTGCCCTGTCCTCACACTCTGTTCTCCCACCGCAGAAAGCCCCACGGTGAGGCTGGGCAACCGGAGGGCTGCACCACAGACGCCACAGCCAGAACCCAAGGCTGAGAGAGAAACCTCATTCAGCAGACAGAGGAGACACCCCGACGAACCCGGCCAGTTTGCTGTTGCCCTGGTCATCATTTACCGGACTCTGGGTCAACTGCTGCCTGAACACTATGACCCCGACCACCGCAGCCTCCGGTGAGACCTGGGTGTAGGGACCTTGAGGGGACCCATTTCCCCAACACCCTTAGTCAAAGTCCTAATCACTCACTGTCACCCACAATAACATTACAAAGTGACCCTGGCCTGCAGTGACTGCCAGAGAGAGGTTCTTTGTCTGCCATGGCGCTGTGCCCTGGGATGGTGCATGCTCTTTGCTTTGGTTTGTCCTCACGTTTATGCCCATATGTTCATTATTATTATTATTATTATTTATTAAAAATTTCCACATCTTCCCCACCTCCCTTTTTCCTCCCCTTCCCCCTTCTCCCCTCCCCCTCCCTCTCTAGTCTTAAGAGCAGTCAGGGTTCCCTGCCCCATGGGAAGTCCAAGGTCCTCCCCCATCCATACAGGTCTTTAAAGGTGAACATCCTAACAAACCAGGCTCCCACAAAGTTAGTCCATGCAGTAGAATTAAATCCCAATGCCATTGTCCTTGGCTTCTCAGTCAGCCTTCATTCCCAGCCACGTTCAGAGTGTCCATTTTGATCACATGTTCCATCACTCCCAGTCCAGCTGGCCTTGGTGAGCTCCCATTAGATCAGTCCCACCATCCCAGTGGATCCTGACTTCCTTGCTCACGTTCTCCCTCCTTCTGCTCCTCATTTGGACCTAGGGAGCTAAGTCCAGTGCTCCAATGTGGGTCTCTGTCTCTATCTCCATCCATCGCCAGATGAAGGTTCTATGGTGATATGCAAAATATTCATCAGTGTGACTATGGGACAAGGCCAGTTCATGCACCCTCTCCTCTGCTGCCCAGGGAACAATCTGGGGATCTCTCCTTAGACCTGGGAACCTCTCTAGAATCAAGTCTCTTGCAAACCCTAAAATGGCTCCTTTAGTTGAGATATTTACTTCCCTGCTCCCATATCCATCCTTTCTCCCTCCCCCCCATCCCATTCCCCCAAACTATCCCGAATCTTCCCCTTCTCCCTTCTCTCTACCCATATGCTCTTTTGTTTGTACCAACGTGTGCCTCTGGGGGCTCTATCCTGTCCCCCATACCACACCCAGAGGCTGTCATAGGTTATACCTATGGGTTCATCTGCCCTCTGCTGGCCCAGTGCCAAGGGCCACTCAGCCAGTGTGCTGGATGGCGAGAAAGCTGCTGCACACAAGCCCTCTCAGCTACTGTAGTTTGTGGGTGCTTCCTTGTTCCCCAGTCCTTGTTGTTGCATCACACTTAGAGATGGGTGACTGGGTTCCGGTCTGCGGTCACTTAACCTGATTCCCTGTGTGAGCCATGCTACTGCACCCAGTGTCACCACCATATGTAATAGCCTCTGACATCTTACAATGACATGCTTGCTTTTTAAAGTTTCTAAAGCCTCCTTCTCCTGGAGGTGATAAGTCTCCCTGTATTATTTTTTTTTTTTTTTTTTTTTTTTTTTGCTTGCTTTTGTTTGTTTTTTGAGACAGGGTTTCTCTGTGTAACCAAACTACTCTGGCTGTCCTGAAACTTGCTTTGTAGACCAGGCTGGCCTCGAACTAACAGAGAGCTGCCTGAGTCTGCCTCCTGAGTACTGTGATTAAAGGCTTGCACCACCCATGCCTGGCTCCTTTCCCTGTACTCTTGAGAATACCAGCAGCGAGGCCCAGACCCTCCTGAGGGCAGTGCTGTGTGATCTGTGTCCGTGACCTGTGTGTCGGTTGTTCATCTGACCATGTCCTCATAGTGTCTGGACGCAGGTTCTCACACACAGAACGTGAATTAACCATGTTTATCCCTGGAATTGTCCCTCTCTGCCACAGACTACCTAATCGGCCCGTCATCAACACCCCAGTAGTGAGTGCTATGGTGTACAGTGAGGGGACCCCACTCCCCAGCTCTCTGCAGAGGCCCGTCTCAGTGGAGTTTGCCCTGTTGGAGACGGAGGAGCGAAGCAAGCCTGTCTGTGTATTCTGGAACCACTCGCTTGAGTAAGTGGGACCCCAAGAGCCTGTAAGAACCTCTTCTGCGAGAGTCCTCTTTGTATAGGAGGGCCTGGCTGAGGTCAGAAGGCTCAGTTGGCAGAACAAAGACTGTTTTCCCCTTCCAGGGCTTTAACAAAATAGGAGGCTTCCCCCATTTTGCCTTTAGAAGTGTCAGTGTGTGCCCACATGCACACACACATGCATGTGTGCTTAAGTCTGTGTGCACATTGAAGAATTATTTATATTCTTGTGGAAAAATATAGTCCTATACACACATCACAAGAACACGCACAAAGATGTGTGCACATAATATAGACATGATCCACATGCAACAATACATAGATACATACATGCATACATATGCAGGAATACATAGGGCATGTACACAGGTAGACACAATACTCACAGAGAAATAGGCATGCATACACAAAGTTCCCTCAAGGAGGCCGTGGCAGAGATGGGCTGCTCACCTATAGAACACTTGCAATATGGAGTCCACACAAACACCCATTTCTCTGCTGGGGAAGTCCTCTTGCAGGAGGAAATGGGACTCAGAGATGAACACATGCAGAGAGGCGGCAGTGGGGGTCCCAGGCTGCCCCCGCCCCCCATAGCAGGGTTTATTTGACTAGTTTCTGGAGCCATCAGAGATAACTCAAAGAATGAACAGATTCATGATGTGCCACACAGGGGTGCACCTGCAATCAAGGAAGGGAGAAGGTTGATTTAAAAGGATGTAAGATGCTATTGCCCTGTTCCTGTGTGACATTAGATTCCATAGCCAGTGACCTATCTGTGGCTGAAGCCAATGGGGTCATCACATTTGCTTTTTTTTAGTTGCAAGAGTCATGGGAGTTGCTGGGTCTTCGCCTCCTTGCCTGGCTCTTTGGGTCGCCCTTAAGTAGAGGGGCACAGGGTGGGACAAGAAAGTGCTGGAATAGTCTCTGTCACCAGGCTTGTCACATGGTCTGAAGTGAAAAGTGCCCTGCTTTTCCTCATCACAGGGAGCCTGGGATTCAGGGGATCAGAACCTGAGCCCTCTCTACATGCCTAAAGCTGGGCCCCCGGGGTGCACATCTGGAAGCTCCTCCCACAGGGCCATTTCCCATGTCATGGTCCCTAGGATTGAAAGGGGAGCTACCACATGAGTCTGTGCTGGGCGCCCAGGCGCATGCTTGGGCAGGAGCATTCATCTTCTCCAGCTCGGTACTTTCCAGTTTACAAGTGAGCTCATTTAGTCCGGGGCCTAATAGATCTTTGGCTCACAAAGGAGAGTGAAGGGAAGCGTTGGTGTCTGGTGTGTGGGCCCCACGGCTGCCAGGCACGGCTGGCTATTTGTTTGAATAATGGCAATTAGCAGTGGCTCTAGTGATCTGCCTCCTGCTTTGTGTTGCTGCCATGATCCCCTGAACTGAGCACCCCTGGCAAAGCGCGTCGACCGTCACACCCCATTTTACAGATGAGTAAACTGAGGATCAGAGGGATTATAGGACTTTCCCAGAGCCACAGAGGGCAGGGCCCTCGTAACAACTTGTTATTTGGGGCTTTCCATCAGTGAAACAGCAGCGCTAATTGGACCCTGGCTTCCAGGCGGCTCCGGTAAAACATTGCGCAAGGGGAACATGAAAGTGGACAATAGAGAGATGCTTATTGCCGAGGCCATTGAGGCTCCCAGTATGGCTGGTGAACAAAGTGGCTGTCTCGGCCTTGGCTGCTGCCTCTGGCCACAGGCTCTGCTGTCTTTGGAGTTTTCTGTCTCTGGCCCATAACCTTTGAACTTGAGAGGCGCTCATGAGAGCCGAGACCAGCTATGAAAAGGAAAGGAAAGCTTTTTACACAGTGCCAGGGTCTGTGAGGGCTGTGTCCTTGGTGACAGTGGCCATGGCCCTTGTCTTCAGTGTGGTGAGGAAGGGAAAAGGTTCAGGCTAGGAGCTGACAGCGAGGTTGTGACACTCGGCACTCACGGGTGGCTGTTCTCTGCACTTGGCTGCTCCTTCCCAGCCAGATCCAGTGATGTCAGGATGACCCCCAAGACCCTGCGGCTGGGTGAAAGCCCCCGGGCTTATCCCAGTGGTAGATGGGACAGGCTCACCCCTTTCTCTCTTCTCCACAGCATTGGTGGGACTGGAGGGTGGTCAGCCAAGGGCTGTGAGCTGCTGTCAAGGAACCGGACCCACGTCACCTGCCAGTGTAGCCACTCGACCAGCTGCGCGGTGCTCATGGACATTTCAAGGCGCGAGGTGGGCATTTTACGGCTGCTCGCCCCCTTAGTGAGCCTGGGGACTAGTCCCCATGGCAACTGGAATCCTCCCAAGGCCCCCATATTCCTTGTGTGTTGAGAAAAACAAATGTGCCTGTTGAAAGCTGTGTTCTGTCAATTGCTTGAAGAGGTGATGAGAAAACCTTGAAGCAGTTTTAGGGACCAGTAAGATGGCTCAGTAGATAAAGATGCCTGATAACCTGAGTTCCACCCCAGGGCCCCACATTGTGGAAGGAGAGAACAACTCCTGCAAATTGCCCTCTGACCTCCACCCATGCACTGCAGCATGCATTTGTGCGCACGCACACATATACAAACATACAAAAATAAATGTAATTTCTTTTAAAAGGGAAGGTTAGAACTGGACGTGGCCTCTAAGCCCTACACCTAGGAGGCTAAGCAGAGGATCGCTACAAGGTCAAGGTCAATGAACTACAAAGTGAAACCCTGTCTAAACAGACAACAAAAACATTTCAAAGAGCTCAGGCTTTAACTGTAAAGGTGTAGAAGGTGTCTTGGGGTTTCCATTGCTGTGATGAAACACCACAGCCAAATGAACTTGGGGAGGAAAGGGTTTATTTGGCTTATACTTTCACATCACGGTCCGTTATCACAGGAAGTCAGGATAAGAACTCAGGCAGGAACTTGGAGGCAGGAGCTGAAGCAGAGACCACAGAGGATTGTTGCTTACTGGCTTTCTCAGCCTGCTTTCTTATAGAACCCAGGACCACCAGCCCAAGGGTAGCACCGCCCACAGTGAGCTGGGCCCTTTCCCATAAATCACTCATTGAGAAAATGCCCCCACAGACTTGACTGTAGGCCAGCCATACAGGGGCATTTACTGAATTGAGATCATCTCTTCCCAGATCTGTCTAGATTTTTGTCAACGTGACTAAAATCAGCTAGCACTGGTTAATCCCCAGGCTCAGAAGTTTCTAGAATGTTACCGTCTCCCAGGGTAGGGTCCCCCAGCCAAGCTGCTTCTACCTCCACTTTGAAAGTCTCTCGGGCCACACAGTGCCCCCAAGGACAGAGGCATGAGGAGAGGAAGCCAGTGACAGGGAGATGATACCTCTGGTATCTGAAGCAGGTTGAGAATGTGAGTTGGCCATTGTGGTGTGATTGACGCCTGGGGTATAGGCTCTGAGCAGCCATGGCACACAGCTGTCACCGCCGTCTGGAAGGTACTGGATAACCTGTACCCAAAATGCCCAAACTGCCCAGGACTCTATAGTTGCGCTAAGTGTATGCCTGAAGACTCACAATGGTCAATCTCATGTATATTTTACCTGGAGTTTTAAAAGCAAGCCACATTAGTCACCCTCAGTAGTAAGAGACTGTGTGGCGAGGGCGAGAAGGACGTGCCAGCTGCAGGATTCAGGTGACTGTCTAGGCTCCAAGTGACCAGAGCTGAAATTCCAGCCTGTCAAGTCAGGACACCGAGGGACTTAGACCCTCACAGCTTCATTCATCGGTGCCTACCTTGTACCCATGCTCCTTGTGGGTTCCGTGTGAGGACCACGTGAAATGAGGCCACCATGGGTAGATGAAGACCCTCTCCCATGTATTAAAAGCAGCGAATGGGGCTGTGTCACAAGTTACCCAGTCTCCTTGTTAAGTGTCTGCTGTGACTGCTGGCTGAGCGGGGGAGGGGGAGACAGTACTACTGGAGACACATGGGGTTTGCATAAACTGAGTCCCCTTGGCAAGTCTCCATCTCAGTATTTGGATTGACTGTTTCACTCACTCCTGACAGCGGGATTTATGTAGGAAGGCTTTTTTTTTTTTTAACAAAAATGTTTTTGAGGAAGGGGTCTCATTATGTAGACTAAATTAGCCTCAAACTCAGAAATCTATCTGCCTCTCGATGACTGAGATTAAATGTCTATGCCACACTGGCTAAAATATATAACACACGGACTGGTAGCATTGGTACATCCCCCTGCTGGGCAGCTGTTGCCAACCATTTGTCTATTCCCAGCGTTTTGCTCACCATCCCAAACTTGTCCCCTGGTCCCCTGCCAGCCGTTGATATCTGATGCCCATCACAATGTTTTGTCTGTGTTGTTCAAACATCCACCAGAGCCCACTCCTCACTTCTCTCTAACCAACCCACCTGCAGCATGGCGAGGTTCTGCCCCTGAAGATCATCACCTATGCTGCCCTGTCCTTGTCCCTGGTGGCCCTCCTGGTGGCCTTTGTCCTGCTCTCCCTTGTCCGGACACTGCGCTCCAACCTGCACAGCATCCACAAGAACCTCATCGGGGCGCTCTTTTTCTCCCAGCTCATCTTCCTGGTCGGGATCAACCAGACTGAGAACCCGGTGAGACCACTCCCCTGGGCCCGCCACAGGCTTCCCTAAGTGATGTTACTCGGGCATGTTGTCACCTGGGTGTGCTGTCAGTCGTCCTGAAGCAGTGGAACGGTCCTTCCTGCCTTGTCAGGGCAGTGCGTTAGGGAATCTCTGGGGAGACCGCCCTCTAAGGGTGCCCATAGGGTCCTCCGAAGGCCGCACACACAGTGAAAGTCTCATCCTCTTAATATAGGCATTAGTGATTTCATAGGTGCTGTTCTGGTTCTGTTTCTTGATGTGAGGGAGAAAAAAAACCTGACAAAAAGCAGCTAAAGGAAGATGGGGTTTATTTGGTTCATGATTCCAGGACATAGTCTGTCATTGTGAGGAAGGCTGCTCGTCACTTCACATCCAAGATGATGTGAGGATAAATGCAGAGAGAGGATAAATGCAAGCATGGGTTAGTGCTCAGTCATATTTCTCTACTCTCATATGATTCAAGGCTGCCTGCCTAGAGAATGATGCCACCCACTGTGGGCTAGGTCTTCACCCATCTATTAACAGTCAAGATAATCCCCCCTGACAGACGAGCCTACAGTTCTACCTGACCTTGACAGTCCCTCATTGAGACTGTTTTCCTAGGTGAGTCTGGCTTGTGTCAAGTTGACAATTAGAAATAGCCATCAAGGTGCTGTCACGTGTGAAACCCCAGAGTCCTGTGGACTGCGGGAGCGTTAGTGGATAGTGGTGCCCAGATTCCCCACCCCTCTGTTTTCTCCGTGCCCATGACAGCTGAGGAGCAGCACATACATAGAGCAAGGAAGTGGTTTCTGGGGATGTGAAGGACCAAAGAGGAGAAAGGAACCTGCCGAGAGAGCAGGTGGGGAGGAGGAGGAGGGGAGAGGAATGTCAGGGAACCTTCAGCTGATATGATTAAATGTTGAGTGTTGGGTAGATTCATTGAATATTGCATTGGATCCTGGAGAACTGCATGGGCCTCAGAGTGTTGCAGAACCTCCCAGGGTTGCTAAATGCTCATTGAGATCATGCACTCCATGCTCTATGGGTCACCAGGGTAGAGTGGTACCCAGACTGGACATCTCCAGATGTTAGCGTGCATGCCTCCAGATGTTAGCAGGCAGTACCTAAGGAGGAAGGATATGGAAAGCAGTGAAAATTCTTACCTGTACCTATGCAGCTAAATCTGGGGCCAGCAAGCTCCCAGTGTTCATCAGCAAGGCCTGTCCAGGCACAACTATCTGGCACATACTCATCTCTGACACAGGTGATTGGTGGCATTTGCCACTGGTGTAAAGATAGCCCACGGGAGGGACAGTTGTAAGAGGCAAAAAGATTCACAGTCATGAGGTGTGACCGACAGTGCCAGCCTAGACAAATTCAGAGATCTCTGATCATGAGGCTAAAAGCAAATGGTTGTAGCAGGGACGGAGGCAGCTATGTAATGATCACAAGGGTCTACACACTGGGACAGTAGATGCCTGCTATGCTCTGTACCTAGTAAGACAAATTCAAAATAAACCTATAGAAGACATAAGTTCGAGAAAAGTTTCTAGAAATCTCAATGAAAGAAAAATGTTAATGAAAATACCATGTCTGACCTTGCAGACCATGCAACAGGTAGAGTGGGTACCAAGCCTGGTGACCTGAGTTCAATTCCCAGAACCCACATGGTAGAAGGGTAGAGCACACTCCCATCAGGTGTCCTTTTACGTCCACACGTGTACCCGTGGCACACATGCTCACACATATGCACACTCAAAATAAGTAAATGTAATTTAAAATAATAATTTACAGGGCATCATAAAATCAAAATAAAGAGTTGAAATCACATTGCTGATGCTAGAGAAAAGGTACTAGGGGCTAGAAAGATGGCTCAGGGGTTAAGAGCTCTTCCAGAGGACCTGGGTTCCATTCTCAACAAACACTAGTGGCTCACAACCGTCTGTACCTCCAGTACCAGGGATCCAACGCCCTCTTCTGACCTCCAAGGGCACTGCACACACATGGTGCACATACAGACAAAACATCCATATACATAAAAAACCCACTTTTAAAAAGAAGGAAGCCTGAAATCCAGAGAGCTAAGGGTCTTTAGCAAAAGAACACTGGGAGCTTGAGGAAGTTTGGAAAGGGAAGAATAAAGCAGAAAGTAAGAAAAAAGGAAGGGGATAAGAAGATAAATAGCCAGGAGGTGTTATTTGAAGGAAAAAAATCTCTAACAGGGAAAAAGAAAAGCACAAATACCAAACACTAGAGCAAGAAGACAGCTCGGAGAGTTTGGGGCACACATTTGAACCGTGGCTGAGTGGTCCCACTCTCCTCTGAGCTGAGGAAGGCTGGCACTGGGAAGGCATCAGCATCTGTATGTAGATACTGGAACCAGCTGGATTTATCTTAGGACAGACATGAAGGTGATTTAGCAGCATGTCAACCTATAAATGTCATTCTTGCCACCACACCTAAGGAATGATCCAAGTTTCCTTTCCCTGTTCGGACACAGGGGCTAAGGTAGCCCAGGTGGACTTGAGTCAGCCGAGGCTCAGCATGAACTTGAAGTCCAGACTCTCTGTCTTCCACCTCTAGATTGTGTTTAGGATTATATAGGCCAACGTGCCTGTACTACCTGACTTTTGTGGTACTGGGGAGTGAACGAACTTGGGCCTCTGGTATGAGGTCCTCTAACCATTAAGCTATGTCCAGCTCTACATTTAAGGAGAAAATATTTTTCTTAATGCAGAAAAAAATGATATTTTTTTAACACTCTTTTATTATTATAAACAAGGGGACCAGAAAAAAAAAACCTTTGGACAAACTAGAAAAGGGAACTCCTTAATCTAGGATCAGGGCACAACAGTGGAGGGCACAGTGGTTTTAGCTGTGGGCTTTGTTGTTGTTGTTTTGGTTTGGTTTTGGTTTTTCGAGACAGGGTTTCTCTGTGTAATAGTGCTAACTGCCCTGGAACTAGTTTTTGTAGACCAGACTACCAGCTGGCCTCAAACTCCTGGAGATCCTCCTGCCTCTGCCTCTGTGGGATTAAAGGCATGCTGGTTCTTAATGGTGGAGCCTGCCTTACCGCCATCTTTTACTCAGTGTGGGAGGAGGGCCCCAACAGGGCCACGTGTAGAAAAAATTTCAAAACTCTTAACAGATGGCCTGATTGGCATGTTAGAGTCCACAGAAAATTCTAAAACAACCTACAGATAAAACTTGGGACCAGTTCAGGGAGTTCAGCAGCCTGGGTGTGCAGGCAACTGCACTCCTATGCACTGGCCGTAACACCTAAATGTAAGGAACAGAGGAGAGGACGGTCACGTGTGCGCACCCCTATGAGAGCACATTAGATCTGGCTGTGAACGAATGGAGAGCCGGCTATGGCTGAGCCATACGTGGAGCCATACATAGAGCGAGGCTGGGTAGCTATTATAGTTCATTGGTGAGTGTGGCCTTTGTCCTCCGGGTGATGGGGCCCTGGGAGGGACAGACTGGTGTCCAAAGATGATGTCTGAGGAAAAAGGGGAACAACCCTGAGGAGGCAGCGCAGGTCCACACTGCTGCTGACTGTCCAGTTCTTGGATGGTCTGACGGAAGGCAAAATTGTGGGGCACAATGGAGTTGTGACTTCGGGTGGTCCCAGCTCACCAGCTGTGGTTTTTCATATTTCCACGTGAGAATTTCAAATATGTGAGGTCCCGCCCACTTGTTGGAAATTTGGGGAGGGAAGGGGATTGCAGGTCAGCCCAGCTCCTATGAGAACAATGTTGAAAGCTCACTTACAAGGTCCACCCATTAACCCCCTGGAGCTAAGAGGCAGATGTGTAAGGAAAGACGCTCTTGACAAATGGAGTCACCCACCGGGCCACTCAAGTGGAGGCAACAGAGTTGGAGTAGGTCCTTGGCCCTTGGTGCCACCTCCCTGTAGACCCCAAGGAGGCCTATGCTATGGAGACTTTTAACTACCCGAGGTGAGGGATCTGACTCTCCCAGTCTAAGTGTGATGCCTGCTCTGGACTTGCTACAGAACACTGTGTGTGTGTGTTGTTTCACACCAGTGGCTAAACAGTGACTGTCAGCCTAGAGTGTCACAAGTTCAGCAGACCTTCACTTGTGCGTGCAGTGAGTGACCCAGACTTTGGCGGGTGACCCTGACCTAGACACCATCACACTTGCAGTGGGCTCTGGAATAGGGTGGTCCCCTGTGTGGCACTGTGGCTGCAGCCAGCTGTTCCTTCAGCTTCACCCTGATCTCCCCGGGGTGCTACAGCTATGTCCACTTCCACATGGACTTGACTAGGGTCCCAGGGATACCGACCCAAAAGATGTGTCAGATGAGGTCATGTCTGCACAGCGCACTTCCTCCTGTGCATGTTACAGCATCCCTGGGTTGCGTGGCAGCAATGTGAGGCATGCGCAGTGTGACTAGTTGTTGGGTTGTACCGTTAGAGAAGGGTGACGAGGGAAGGATTCACACTTAGTGCAGGTGTGACTCTTTTTCCCTAAATGTTTACCATCCTTGGATGCGGAGCCCTTGAGCATAAAAATGTACATTCAACCTACCATGATTCGGGAATACCTCCCACCCCCCTCTACCTGGTGGCTGGTGAGGAGCTGGGCCAGGGAAGGGGCTATGTGAGACTACCCAGTGCCACCAGAAGGTTTCCGGGTAAGATGCAGGAATAGGTCCATTCCATGAAACAATCCATCAGTAGCCATCTTCTGTGTGCAGGCCGTATCATGCCCTGAGGTGCCATGGCAACCAGCCAGCACTCTGCTTCAACACAGGCCTGGTAGTCAAGGCCCAGAACAGAGACCAGGGCAGGAAGCGGGAGAGGTTGGGGTAGTTTTAAGGGCTCTGGGGTGGAGGATGAGTGGGTGGCAGCTAAACACAGTTACCCAGGGCACAAAGCACTGAGTCCAGGCATCGAGACTTTGATCTCCAAACCAGGCTCTGGGATAGAAGGGGGAAGAAGGCTGCCAAGCTGGAGTTCCCCAGCAAACACGGAGACCTTCCTGAGTGGCCAGAGCCCTCAGGAGAAAGGCCAGGCCCTGCTACCTCCTAGGTGTGGATTGTAGGCTGTCCTTGACCCACTGATGAACTTGGTGGCTTTCCTGCAGGGTCACAGAAGCACAGGGTTGGATCAAGAATAAGGACCGAACCTCCTCGCCACTTTCTGAGCCAGATAGTAGCCCTCACAGGCACGGGCACGGAGGGTTACCTTCCTCCACACGCATAGCCTGGGTGAAGGCTCAGTAAGCTGAGATTCATCTGGGGTCCTACAGGTGCACTTCTCTAAAGTCTGGATAGAGAAAAGTGCAGTCAATGGCTGCAGGCCACCTCCCTGCAACTAAGTACGGGGTGTGGAGCATTGTGAAGCCACTGCTCATGTCTGACTCAGCGCCTGCCTGGAATGGGAGCTTTCCATGCACCAGTGAGCACAGACCAGGCAGATGCATTCTGGGAGGAAGGTGTGCGGTGGCAGGAGCTTGGCATCGCGCCTGGGTTTTTATCTAAACTCACAGTCCTATCTTTGGGCGAGGCTGTTTATCTCCCAGAAGCCTGACAGGCTGAAATGATTTAGTGTGTGTTTGTTCTGTTCTGGAAAAGCAAGTATGTTTAGTGTAGACGTGTGAACACACAACCCCGCCAGGTCCTACTGTCAATTTCTAGCCCTTTTTTTCAAACGATGTTTCTTGTTTGGTTGACTTTGGTGGTTTTTTTTTTCTTTAAGGGTTTACTTTTGCACCATTTAAAGCCACAGTTAGCCAACTTTCTCACCCTCGTCCTCCATCTGAACCCGCTGCACTTCCCACTCTGGAAACGGCTATGGTGTGGGTTAATCCAGCTCAGGCTTGCCCCCCGAGGATGGCACTCTGATGCCAGCAGAGGGCATGGCCCAGCTGTAGCACAGTTTTGTCTTCAGCAGTGTTCACGTTCACAGAAGTTTCTTGTACTGTCCGGAGGAACTTTCTGGTGGGCACCTGGCCCTTGGAGGCTGGCCTGGCAGCAGATGGTGCTGTCGTGGCACCCATCTGTCTGTGCTCTGATGACCTTTCTCAGACTGCAGTGACCTGGTATTTGAACACAGCCACGTCTAATAAGAGGTTGAGCGGTGGCTCTGCTCCCAGCTGTGTGGCCCCGCAAGGGTGGTCTCCCCAGAGATGACACTGAGGCCCAGTTGCTTGTCAAGGGCATAGGACTGTACCTGTCGACCCCATCTGGGAGTGTGGTCGGCAGTAGGCTTTGATAAGGATGTGGCCAGCTATGAGGAGAGATGGTGCTTGTGGACCAGGGTGGAATCTGGCTGTGAGTCTGGCTCAGCTGGAGGAGGGTCAGTTGTGGCTGTGGTTAGAGGTGTGGCTCAAGGTAGGGCTAGCTTGTTCAAGCTGCCACCTTGAATAGGGCCAGATTCTTCCCCTCCCCCCTCTTCCAGCCTCATTTTCTACCCTGGCTGCCTTAACTTCCTGTTGGGACCTTGCTGTCACCTTCCAGCTGGCTGGCCTGGAAGTTCCATCTAGTGCAAGTCCCTGGAAGGCCCGTGAACGGCTGCCCTGGGCTCCATCTTCAAGTCCCATTGTGGAACACCTGAGCTTGGGTTTCCACCAATAGCCTTCTGGGCTGAACTCTGGGAGCCCAGCATCCCTTGTCCCTCCTCCCACCATCTTCTTCCTGGTACTGCTGGGTCTTCTGTAAGAGGAGCTGCCTTCCGCATGCCATCTTCAGCCAGCCCACACGCTGAGTTCTCATTTGTAGCACTCGGCCTTTGGCTTGCCACATCGCCCTGACCAGTTAAGGGCACATAGGTGAGACAGCCCCCTTCTTCCCAGGTCTTAGATCAGCAGAAAAGCATCAAGACATTGTTCCTACTGGACAGAGAGGGACCTGGAGGAAGTGGCCGCCAGCCCCCAGCTGTACCCACTGGCTGTAGGAACCATGTGGTGCCAGTTCTGGGAACACAGGCCGAAGTCCCAGCCTGGGAGCCGTTAGCCTGAGCAGGTGCAACTCCATAGTGTGTTCATAAAGCCTGAAGTTAGTATTTAGAGATTAGAATCAGCTCGCAAAGATACATTAGTTCCAGAGTCTCAGAAAGACTAGTGCTTGTGGGGCTGGAGAGATGGCTCAGCTGTTAGGAGCATTGACTGCTCTTACAGAGGTCCTGAGTTCAAGTCCCAGCAACCACATGGCGGCTCGCAGCCACTGGAGTGAAGGTGTATGTGCAGATAGAGCACCGTGTACATAAAATAAAAAAATCCTAAGAACACACAAAAAACAATAACATAAGCTAGGCTTGGCATGTCTTTAAAGAAAAAAGACTGGTGCTTTTGTCTTGTTCCTGAATGACACCCACTCTAGCTAGTGACCCCAAGCTGAGGAGGGGTCCTCCTGCCATCTACATCAAGAGACTGTCACACTCAGCCTCTCCTGCCGAATCACACAGGGGGAGAGGAGTTTCGCTGCCCTTTGGAGACACTGGAGACCCTGCCACTGCAGAATAGCCTGAGTTGGTTAATCTTGATGAGAAGGGATCAGTCCTAGGCTTGGGCCCCCTGTCTGTAGTTTCATAGGGTGCTTCCCAGCCTTCCCACCCCCTCAGCAGTCCCGGGGCCTTGGAGCCACCTGCTGAGCCTGCTCTCCCCACCCAGTTTCTCTGCACAGTTGTCGCCATCCTCCTGCATTATGCCTCCATGAGCACCTTTGCCTGGACCCTGGTGGAGAACTTGCATGTCTACCGCATGCTGACAGAAGTACGCAACATCGACATGGGGCCCATGAGGTTCTACCACGTGGTGGGCTGGGGCATCCCTGCCATTGTCACAGGTAAGAACACACAGGGCAGCTCTACCAGGGTGACCTGTGTTAAAATACGCATTTCCCCCCAAGCCATCTGTCCTCATTTCCTCCTTGCTCTCTACCTTTAGCTGTGAACAGAAGAGCGGCTACTCCCAGCCCATGGGGAGATGGGTCTCTCTGGTCAGGTGTGAGCCGCTGGGCCAGGGTATTTGGGGTTCTGTGTGCAGTACTCAATTGGAAGAAATTCTGCTCCAGTCACAGGATGAGGGGTGTGGGTGTGAGTGGGTGAAGAGGTGGGAAATGACTAGACCACCAAGGGGGAGGCCAGGGGTGCACGGACGGATGGATGGGCATGACTGTGTGATCAATCATCCTGTGTAACAGCTGAATGTCTTGGACCCGAGGACTACTTCATGCACACTTCCTCAGCTTGCCTTTTCTTTCTTTCTTTCGTTTTCTCAGACAGGGTTTCTCTGTGTAGCTCTGGCTGTCCTAGAACTCGTTCTGTAGACCAGGCTGGCCTTGAACTCAGAGCTCTGCCTCTGTCTGCCTCCCAAGTCCTGGGATTAAAGGCATGTGCCATCATGCCTGGTCTACGCTTTTCAATAACTATAGAAAACCACCTGTTGAGGAAGAGCCACACTTCCATTCACAACGAGAGGGCAAGAACACCCTTGGCGGACCCTGGTTGGGCATTCCAGGGATCCGGACACCATCTTCCAAGGGCCCTTGGGTTCTAATGCAACTCATTCCTGCTCCAAGGGACCTGAGTGGCTTTCATACCTCAGACATTCAGGCTGGGTCGTAGAGGGCGGGTGACAGGTGCTTCTCGTTGCTTGACAGAAGTGCCAAGGTCAGCTGTCATTAGGAGAGTAACTGACTGAGGAATACCTAGAAAATGGTGTTTCTTCCTCAGTGAAGAAGCCATCTTGAGGTGTCAATGGGAGGCCTCCCCAAGGGCCTGTTGAGTTCTGAACTGGAAAGTCATTGCTTCCTGAGGGCTTTGCTATCTATAGCCAGGCAGGTCACAGTTCCAGCTTACTTGTCAAAGTTTATTTTTAAAAATGTATCTTTTAGAAGACGATAAAGATTATGCCCGAAGGCCCTCAGGCAGATGAAGTTAATAGCCAAAGGCAGTGGCTGCCTCCTGGCCACAGGGAGTAGCCAGCCCCTGACTTAGTTTAAGGAGCTTGGATACATTTCCCTCTGGCTCCTTGATCTCTGATGAGGGTGGTTTGGGGTCTCTGGGGGACATGCCTGGCTGGCTTCAGTTCTCCTCCTGGGCCGGGGGGTGACCGGCCAGGACTGTGGCCCTCATTCTTCTCTCTCTCCAATACACACAGGACTGGCTGTTGGCTTGGACCCTCAGGGCTATGGGAACCCTGATTTCTGCTGGCTGTCCCTTCAGGACAGCCTGATCTGGAGCTTCGCTGGGCCTGTAGGAATGGTTATAATCGTGAGTGTTATGGGTGTCACCCAGGATGCAGGAGCTCAGGTGCTCCAGGGTGGGCTGGCTGTGGTCAGCAGTTCCTCAGGGTGGCCGGGGTTGGCGGGAAGGATGTACCTCAGAGTAACAGTCAGCAGAATTCCCGGGCTGCTCTGGAACCCTGTCTTTAGGCCCAGGTTCTGGGGCTTATTTCAGGCCCACTGGAATAACTCACCTGGGGCCAAGGTCTCTCGACCTACAACACCTCCAGATATGGATGCAAATATGCAGAAGTATTTGGGTGGTGAAGATCACCTTGGAGACAGCAGAAGAGCCCACTACCTGAAGCTGCTTCTTGTCTCCTAGATCAACACCGTCATCTTCGTCTTGTCTGCCAAGGTTGCCTGCCAGAGAAAGCGCCATTATTATGAGAGGAAGGGGGTTGTGTAAGTTGCGGCTGGATCTGGCTTGTGGGTGGGACAGAACACTAAGCCAGCCCCACCAGGCCGTTCAGCTGGGCCCTGAGAACCCCCAAAGACAGAGAGTACATGTTGGGCCGAGTCCCATAGGAAAGTGCCCATCATCCATCTACCTGGGCTGTTAGCGATAATACCCATCCCAGGGAGTCAGCCAGAGAGAGGGTGAGGGTAAGCCCTGGACCTCCAAGGAGTACAGCTGACGTGGATGTGGGAGACACAGTGGTGATTAGCCCAGTGGGTTCAGGCCCTGATAGGCTAGGCTGTAGGAACTGGAGGAAGAGAGGGGACAAGGGTAGGAGAGGGTCCTGAATTCAGAATTAGAAACGTTCAGTGTTGGGTGGCATCTGGCAGGTGGGGTGGGGTTGGAGCTCTCTGATTGGTTATGGTGGTGATGCCAGGGCCTCAGGACTATAGCCTGGGAGGAATATGCCAAGTTCTAGTATTGGGGAGGACCATCACATCCCATAGGATTAGCATGGTACCCAAGAAGTAGGGTGAGAAGAGTGACCATAAGGGACACAGGAGGGTGCCAGCGCCTGGGGGAGGGAGTTGAGTCTGACGTGGCGAGGGAGTGAACGGAATCCTGGCCCAGAGGCTGTAGCTTCCTACCTGAGTCACTTCAGCGCCAGGTTCCACTCTGACCCTAAGTCACATGGCCACGAGCTCTCCCACAGTCTCTGAAGGGGAGATGCAGTTGTGATCTGCTGTAACTAATGGGGTGACCGACACAGAGTGGGGAAGATGCTGGCCTGAGTCACGTTCTAGTCGAGGCCAGCATAGGAATTCGCTGGCTGTCTCTCTGGCCTTAGCCACTTTGCTCCCCACCACTTCTGTGTCTTCACGGGTCACAGACGCTAGCATGGCCTTGCGCAGCAGTCACTGGACCTCATGAGTCACGTTAAGGAACGTTGCAAGCAGTGGCTCACTTCAGAAGCTCATACTTCGTTTTTGTTTTAATTGCCTCACCTTCTTATGCCAACACCTCTACCCACATAGCCTCTGTCCGCCTGGTCTCTGGTGGAAGCTAGGGTTGGGGTGGGGTTATAGGTGGCGGGGAAAGATCTGCTCTCACAACACCCTCTCACAGCTCCCTGCTGAGGACGGCCTTCCTCCTCCTGCTGCTCGTCAGCGCCACCTGGCTGCTGGGACTACTGGCTGTAAACAGCGACACTCTGAGTTTCCACTACCTCTTTGCTGCCTTCAGCTGCTTGCAGGTAGGTGCTGGCATTCACCCCCTGGGGCCACTCTGTGACCTCTGTCCTGGGGCAGCTGCAGTGAGAAGGAGATGGGGGGGAAGCCTCCTCGGTAAGAAGGGGATGGGGGAAGTGTCCTCAGAGAGAAGGGGATGGGGGGAAGCCTCCTCAGCTAGAAGGAGATGGTGGGGGGAAGCCTCCTCAGCAAAAAGGAGATTGGGGGGAAGCCTCCTCAGTACTTGCACTTGCAGAGGAGGGAGCCTGTGTTCTCTACTTGTCCCAGCCCTACCTCCAGGCCCCAAGTCTGGCAGGGCATTGCCTTAGCTTGGGCAGGACAAAGCTTGCCCCGCCACACACACACCCCGTCACTGCTGGCTCAAATCCTGTTGGTGTTCTCAGGACATATGGCTAACCCTTTATGTTTCACACTGAGTGCTACCTAGTAAGTTTATAACATAAAGTTGGGGGCCCATGATGGCCCATAAGGCTGTGGACTGTGTTGCCCTATTGCTGGAGCTCCCTGTGAAGAAAGTGGTAGCCCTGCCTGGAGGGGAGGCCTAACGGGCCTCGGGGCAACTCCTGGATCGCATCAGTCGGGCTGCTCTGAACTGGCTTTCCTCGGGGACAGCCAAGTGCAGCAGCATCAGGACCCTGAGAGTCACGCTGACCTGATGCCCATCTCCCTCCAGGGCCTCTTTGTCCTCCTGTTCCACTGCGTGACCCACAGGGAGGTGCGGAAGCACCTGAGGGCAGTGCTGGCTGGGAAGAAGCTGCACATGGATGACTCAGCCGCCACAAGGGCCACCCTGCTAACGGTAAGAGACTCCTCCAGGCCTGGGAGCTGGCAGCACTGCTTATGGCAGGATTGGGAGCTCTGAGAACCTACCCGACTATGCTCCGTTCCATAGGCTTCATATCTTGGAGCCGACCACAAACTTTAAGGGCAGAACTGTCCTGCAAGTGTCCCTGTCCACCTGTAGCCCCACTCGCAAGGCCCTTGGAAGATATGGCCAGGACACATATCCAAAGGACAACCCGAAGCAGTGTCCATAGGGAGTGAGGTGCTCCCACCGTATGGGCCAAGGGATAGTCTCCCCATTGCCACGAGGCTCCAGTATGCAGCCCTGTCTCCCCCTCCCCAGTGCTGGCAGGGCAGTCAGAGTGCTATCATGGGGGCTGCACTCAGGGGCAATACCAACCTCTGGCTTCTGCTCACCAATGGCCTCTCACTCTTCCCCTTAGCGATCCCTCAACTGCAACAACACATACAGTGAAGGACCAGACATGCTCCGCACGGCCCTGGGCGAGTCTACAGCCTCTCTGGACAGTACCACCAGGTCAGACCTCTGTACTCACTATTGTCTTGGGGTAAGCAATACCCTGGCTGTGACGCCCAGTCTGTCCCCCATATACTGGCAAGGCTGTTTTTATCTTATTGCTGCTCATAGAGCATAAATGGGATTGTTTAGAGAATCTTCCAGAGCTCCCTGGGACCTTCCATAGTGTGTGCTCTGTGACACTGGCAGCCCATCGCAATCACTCAGGGACAGTGCTGAGTCTACCCCACTTCTACCCTATCTAGGGATGAAGGGGTCCAGAAGCTCAGTGTGTCCTCTGGACCAGCACGTGGTAGCCATGGAGAACCAGATTCATCCTTCATCCCTAGGAACTCCAAGAAACCTCATGGTATGGTTTCCCCTGCAGACACCAGAGTCCCTGGTCCTTTCTGGCCCTTCCTCCCCTTTCTTGACCCTCCATCCCTGAGGTAGTGGACTGCATGTACCCTGGAAGAGCATCGGTGGCCTCATGCCCAGCCGCTGTCAGGCCTGAGCTCCCTACTGCGCTCTCCCCTGCAGGTCCCGACTCTGACTCCGACAGTGAACTGTCGCTGGATGAGCACAGTAGTTCCTACGCCTCTTCACACTCCTCAGACAGCGAGGACGATGGTGGAGATGCTGAAGACAAATGGAATCCGGCTGGGGGCCCCGTCCACAGCACCCCAAAAGGTGAGCAGTGGAGACACAGTGGGCTATGGGCACACCTCAACTGTGACTTGCACCCTTCTAGGACCTATCCAGCAGAATAATAGCCACACAGGACAGCTCGGATTGGAAAATCAGGAAGTTACCCACACCATCTGCTGGGCAGAGGCAGCAGTTTGGGAGCTTCCACAGACTATCACTGTGGAGAGCTGGAAACGACATGCAATGAGCAGCCAGCCTGTGGTTCCCAGTATTGGGTGAAGCCGTGTGGCTCACATACCAGGGTCCCCAACATCAAGATGTGGTCGCAGTGTTTCCATCTTTAGCGTATTATGACCCTGCTAGTTCAGCAAGTCAGGATGAGGTCAAGGCAACTCTCGGGGTCTATCAGACCTGGTACGACAGGGGTGTAGCTGCAAGTCTAACCTAGTGTCATTCTTCTCTCAGCAGATGCTCTGGCCAACCATGTCCAAGCTGGCTGGCCGGATGAAAGCCTGGCCGGGAGCGACAGTGAGGAGCTGGACACTGAGCCCCACCTGAAGGTGGAGACCAAGGTCAGCGTGGAGCTGCACCGGCAGGCACAGGGCAATCACTGTGGCGACCGGCCCCCTGATCTGGAAAGTGGGGTCCTGTCAAAGCCAGTGGCTGTACTCAGCAGCCAGCCCCAGGAGCAACGGAAAGGTACCTCAGGAGGGCCCTGCTATGTCCCTGGAGCAAACCCTCATGCAGCACACGGGGCAAGGGCAGGAGTCCGTGTTCAGCAGGTTGGGGTGGGAGGGTCCTGTGGAGAATTTGGGTTGGGCCTGGACAAGTCAGTAAGAACCAGGTTAGGTGCAGCCACCTGCTCCACACCATCCATCCCCAACTGAGCCACTGCACCTGTGTCTACTTGGACTGACTTGGTGGCCACCTCCCTCCTCCCAGGCATCCTGAAAAACAAAGTCACCTACCCGCCACCGCTACCAGAGCAGCCACTGAAGTGCCGACTGCGAGAGAAGCTGGCCGACTGTGAGCAAAGCCCCTCGTCCTCCCGCACATCCTCCCTTGGCTCTGGTGATGGCGTCCGTGCCACCGACTGTGTCATTACCATCAAGACTCCAAGGAGGGAGCCAGGCCGTGAACATCTCAATGGGGTGGCCATGAATGTGTGCACAGGGAGTGCTCAGGCCAACGGCTCAGACTCGGAGTAAGTAGCCTGGATTCCAGGGTGTTGTGAGGGTGGGGCCCACCAGCTTTCCCCATGCAGGGCCACTAGAGGCCCCAGGCTTCCCCTCACACCTCTTTGGGAATGCCTGCCCCTAGATGACTTTGGATTCCATCCAATTGCCACGTCACTGACCCTCCACACGCCTGGCAATTCTTCCCACACACAGAGGCAGTAATGAAACTTCAATTTGAACCATCAGGAAACCATGAGGCACAGTCAACCCTTCAGACTGCCAGTCAAGCCCTCGGACCTTGAAGCAGGTAGGCCCTTGATATGAGGGTCCCTGCAACAGTAGCTGGCTCTACACGGAATGTTCAGATGGGAAGCTCTTGGCCCTCTCAGGAACTCAGGGCCCATCAGACTCTATGACAAGTGCCAAAGCCACAGGCATGTCTCAAGAGGGAGACACGGACTTCAGGCTGGCACAGCTCCGTCCTCAGACTGCAGACAGAACAAAAATGCTGCTGACCTGGCCACAAGAGGCCTAGACAGAAGCCACAGAGCCCAAGCTAGCCTTCGTGAATTACTATGCCAGGCCCTTCAGCCTGCCAGGGTTCAGATACTGGACACAGGCCAAGGCCCAGCTCACCTTGCAGGCATCTCCTTGCAGTACAAGCCTATAGTCACCAGCCTGAGTCTCTGCAAAGGTACCCTGTCTTAAATTGCTGTTTAAAGTTGTAAATACATATAAATCTGTCCTGGACTTGGAGAAGATGGGAACCTGTGTATATTTTACAATGTCCTGACTTTGCTTACACTGGAGCGCCATGTAATGGCATCTCATATATTGCCCAAGGAAGCCTGCACAGTTGTACTTGTGTTTGGAAGAATCAACACAGCTGGTCCCAGTGCCCAGGCAGGGAGGACAAGGGCGCTGACGCTGATATAGTCATCACAAACTCCTGCAGCTGCTTCCAGCCAGCAAGCAAGGAGTGTGGTGTTCTGCTGGCCCTCAGAACACACAACTGTGTGTGCTCAGCTCCGTGGATCCAGGATGGGACTGGCCTGTGAAGTGTGACTGCCATGGCTGGTTTCACACAGGGTGAAATCCCCACCACTCTGCCACTCCCACATCCTTGTGCCAGGACTACTCCTGATGCAGAGGGGCTTCTCTGGAGCAGCCCAGTCAGCTCAGTACTGCGGGGGAGAATTTCTTTGTCCCTGCTCCTGCTCCCCATAGGATCTCAGAGGGATCATGTTCCTGATTCAGAAGGACCCCTGAGGTCTTCCAAGATGTCACATTCCTTCCTGCCAATGTTCTACTCTTTCAAACTCCAGAGCTCTCTGGGCAGGCAGGGGCTCCGCCCCCAAAATCTGACCAATGACATCACTTTGCTTTAAGTGGCCAATTGTGCAGAGAAACAAAGCCACAGTCCCAGTTTTCAATGGTTAGCAAATTCTTTTTGGAAACTCACACCAAGGGCTACTGTGATCAGCCCGCCACTATGCGGCCAAGCCCAAGAGATGGGGCCCAGAGTTACTTCAGCATTCACTGCTGTTGAAATCGGGTGGACATGCGCCGTACAGCTGCTGGCGAATGGGAGAAACCAGGACGTCAAATGTGAGGACTTTCACACCACGCTGCACTGAGAGGTCAGAACTGCTAATGATCGACTTGTGTCAGAGGAAAGCCCACATGACGTGGTCTGAGGTCAATGAAGGGAGGCCCCAAGTGGCCTCTGAGGATGCAAGGACACAAAGAATGGAGCACAGGGAGCTTCAGTCTCCAGGAGTTGGAGCACTGTGATCGCTCCCAATGCCGCAGCTCCACACCACCCCAGAAGGTAGTGTTTTTAATTTGATCATAACTGTTACAAAAACAAAACAAGCTGTCAGTTTTAAACTGTTTTTATGACCTAAGACTACAAGTTCAACACTGGAGGTTTTTAACAAGTGTATTTATTACTGTTCAGCACTGGTGACAACACAGGTGAGACACAGCTATAATAAATTAAAATTTGTGGATTTGTACCCATGCTGTGCTGGGTGTTTCCCATCCCCTAAGGTGGCATGGAAGGGACTACTGAAGACGGCCTCAGGCTCTCGTGGGGTGCAGGTGGCAGACAGGCCCACGGAGTATTGCCATAATTTTCTATTCATGTGCATGCAAGCCTGCCATGACATGGATGGACTTGCCCAAGTTTTCCAACTCTTCAGCCTCTGTGTCTTCATCAAATTTGTGAATTTAAGGATCTAGAAAGTGTGCATGGATGTCTCTGCCAGTATTCTTAACCACAGAGTCATCATCATTCCAGCTAGGGAACATTAAGTGTACTTGTGTACAGAGACCAGAAAAGGGCATCTGGTGTCTTCTATTACTTCCCACCTATGAGGCTGGGTCTCTCCCTGTGGGATTTTTCTTTTGTTTTTTCAGCTAAACTGGAACCTTACCAGCAAACCCCCACTGGTCCTATCTCTACTCCTTCCGGAGATGGGGTCACAGGTATGTGCAGGCCATGCAGCTTATGTGGTGCTGAGTCCAAGCTCGGGGTCTCCTGATTGCATGGCAAACGCTGTAAACCACAGCGCCATCTTGTGGCAGTCTCCAAATCTGGCCACCTACACGGGGAACACTACAGTGACCTATTCAACCCTGTGGTGCTGCTCTGGTGCCCTCTTGTACTGCAGACCTGAGCCCTAGCAAATAGTCATGATGCTCACTCATCCTCTCCCGAGACCTACACTGCTGCTCACAATTCCAGTGCTCTGGTTCCTCGCTGCACCTACTGCTCTGCATTCACCGTCATCTCCTAGGCACGGTGGATCGGTGTTCTACCTCTCTGGCGCTGTACAGATCAATGACCTTAGGGTTCCATCCATTGTCTTTCTCTTGGCTTTGAGAACTCCAGTGGCATCTTGAGTTCTTTAGAGTCTGGGCCTGGTTAAAAACCCTCATCCTAACGTAGCCGCGACCTGGCTAGCACTATTTCCTAGCAGTGCTGTTTCCAGCCTTCATTTCTTAGGGCCTTTATCTTGATTCCTGTCCAAAAAGGTGAGTTTCCAGACTTTTAACCTCTGTATTGTCTCACACATCTGCCCAGTGGTGCTACCCTTGGGAAAAACGGGAGCAGAGTAGTGGGTGCCCTTTCCCTTTGGTCCATGGTCCCTTTCCCTGGGTCTCCACCTGCATGCACACCTCCCCACTAAAGGTCATCTTCCAATGTGTTTTTCCTTACACATGTTTAAGCCCTTCTGGAGTGACATGAGTGTACACTTCAATCCAGTGCCAAGCTGACAGGAAAACACTGGCTTCCACCTGGTGTGGGCACTGCAGGGAAAGGGTTATCTCATACATATCAGACTTCCAGACACGGAGTGGCCTAATGCAGACAACTGCCTTCCTTTTGGAGAGAAATCAGGCCCTGGGGAGAGGGGAAGGGCTACAGCTGAGGCTCAGTGGAAGGAGCACAGCCACAGCAGCTCACTCAGGCCTCCAGCCAGCCCCAGACACAGTGGTCAGACTGTTTGACAGACAGTTTTATTTAATGCTGTTCCTGTGCAGCCTCCGTGCACGGCACTGTGGAAGAGCAGCTCGCTCCATCAGGGCCCTGGAGGCTTACCCACCAGCCAGCGACTGCTTCTGGTGTACTGCAGCACCAGTGCAGAGATGCATGCTCCTTCCTCATGCTGCCCTGGCTCTGCAGCCAGCCAGCCCACTGATTCTGGCAGCACCAAGCCCATGACTGACCAACCTGCCCCCAGACTGCTCTAGCACTTCCTCCCAGCAGCTTGGCTTTGTCAGGGTGTGGGGTGCAGGCCTGAGCTGTCACTGGAGACCTCAGGAGCCACTTTGGTTCTGTTCTTGCCCTTCTGGAGTGTGTAGGCAGACGGCCCTAATCGTAGGATTTTCCCACTGCCAAGACATTCATCACCCTTGTAGAACACAGCAAACTGGAAAGAAAGAGGGATGGGGAGGCTCACTTTTGTGTCTCAGGCTCTAGGGCAGAGCTGACCAAGCACCAGGCCTAACGAGGACAGCAATGTGGAGATTCCCCATTCTACCTCCCGCTGCCCCACTCACCTGTCCCAAGGCAAGGCCCCGCACAGCCTTCACAGCTGTCACCCACACGGTGCCATCCTGGTTGAGTGTCAGCACACAGGGCACTGTGGGGAGAGTTATGAGATGGGTGTGGGTCTGCTTTCACTGCCAGTCACAGCCCTAGGCACAGGAACACCCAACATCCTTCCTGCTGGAGGAGGACAGACAGTGCCCAAAAGGGCTCAAAATTGCCCTGGCTATGGACATGACACCTCAGAATAGCATATACTGTAACTCAATCCCTCATACTAGGACCCAACTTCCAGCAGTTCTGACAAAACAACATTCCTATACCTTAGTCCCCTTTCTGTGGCAGACACAGGAGAAGGAGTTTTGAAGTTACACAGTACCAATGATGGGGACTTCCCGGTGTGCTCAAGGGCATACTGCCCAAGGACAGTCTGGTTTACTTTAATCCCAGGGAGTTTAGCAACAAAGGCCCCTTCCATTCAGTCACCTAGTGCCATCTGGTGGCGGAATCGGAAATGGCACTCCATCATCTTGTCTCTGACCAAGGCAGCAGGTGGTTCCTCAGCAATCCAGTGTACACGGTTGGTCCTGAGCAGGTCCCTGTACAGAGCTGGGTGGTCTACCTGGGGAGCCTGCAGGGCAGAATACAGACATTGTGATCCTTCGAGGGGAGCAGCCCTCATCCCAAAGCTCTCAGCAGGTATCATTAATAAGAACAATCATAACAGCACATCCATAACTATTTATAAACCAGCAACACTCAGCTGCATGCGACAGCCCATATGTGGAATTCATTTCATCAACTTAAGGGCTTGTTTATGCTGGTTTCCAGAAGAGAAAGGAACAAGAGAGAACAGTGAGCCATGGAGCAGAAGCAGAGGGCAGGTATGAGATCCCCACACCTCTCATTACTCCCCACCCTGCCATGCTCTGAAGATTATTTTCTATTCCTAGAGATCTGTATCTCTAGGATACAGATAGCCACACAACTGGCCTCTTGGAAGAGCCACATATCCCACCAGCAACAACTGGTTGAGGAAAGAAGGGGCTGAAGAATGCAGGCCCCCAGCCACCTGGGTGGCCGCAGAACTGTGAGGTTGGCCCTGGCCTGAGTAGTTCTCACACGCAGGACTGGTTCTGAAGTCCTTATTCCCATCACCAGTGGTCTCTGTACAGAAGAACCCAGGTGCTGCCTGTGGCGGAACCAGAAACACTAAGCTCTGAGATTCTGGGTGCTAAGCCATTGAGATCACCTGGCCCTGAGCCAATGATCCTTCTAGCTTTTCTCAGCAGGTCCATCTGAGAGCTTATGCTAAAGACACTTTAATTCAAGCCTGAGTAGACTTTTCCAGGCTGCTCTTCTAGAAGACTGTGGTGAAGTCTGCAGCATTGGGGTCTGTGGGTCCTCTAGCATCTCTGACCACACCAGCTGGCAGCGCAGCCTACCCCGAGTACGGTTCCCACCCTTGTACTTCTCAGAGCTGGATTCAGTGAGGGGTGGGGACTGCCATGTATGCACAGGCAGGATGCCAGCAGCACCTATTCCTCCATCCCCACCCAATTCATAACCCCAAACATCTCGACATTGTCAATCTCCTCAAAGCTTTTCCTCTTGGAGAGTTTCCTCCAGATCCTAGGGCAGACCAGAATGGCCCAGGGTCCTATGTGACCAAGGGCATGGCTTGGTCCTGGCTCAGCCTGGTTATAGCCTAACTACCTCGGCCCACAAGAACTTCTAGGACCCTCCCACAGAGGATGGATGGGAGGGCTGACTGGGACTATGATGACTTCCTCTCCACGAGAGGTCCTTACAAGGTTTCTAATCTGACTCTCATCCTCCTTTCCAAACCACGGCAGTTTCTCTAGGAATGGGTGCCATGACTGGTACATGGCCAGCACACAATGGGAGCTTAATAATACGTTATACAAAGACCTTACACCTGTCCCAGGAGCTATGGAGAGCTGGTCTGCTGCTCCAGGGTCTTGGGCTCTCCAGTGCTGCTTGTTTTACTGGCATACCAGACAGTGAAGGCCAATCTCACTCACCACAAGCACGTCACCTTTGGTGCCATCTTTCTCCACCACGTACCAGGGCTCTCTCAAGCCACTGATCTTAGCTCTCTGGCCCAAAGTATACAGGAACCAACCTATGAAACAGTGTTCCAGAGGGTACATCTCAGTCCTCATAAGTGGGAGGCTCTGGATTGCTATGAGGCATGCTGTCTTTAAACTGTGATTCTCTTGGCTTGAAGGGCTGTTAGCCCTAAACACACGCCCATGCACACGCCAACTAAGGTCAGGACTTGAGGGATATGACTAGGATGGTACTAAGCCTGGCACAAATGCCAACTCTTTAATCTGGGGGCTATGACCCCCATGGGGATACAGCTTGCAAAGTAGGTCTTGTGCCTAGTGACCACATTCCTTGCATCTGCACTGTATACCCATCAGACCACCTCGTCACCAGCTTTATCTCCTCAGGAATGCATGTGCCCTGGCAGAGGCAATCTGGCAGGACTCACTGTACCCTGGGCATCCAAACCCATGAGTCTCCTAACCGATGGCTGCTAGAGACAGCAGCACTGTCTCCAGAAAAGCCACTCTCTTCTCTAATATAACAGCCAGTTCAGCTGAGTCTCTCCTTACTCTCGGGGAGCCCTGCTCCCTCCAAAGGGGCCATATGTGGCAAAAAAACAACAACAAAAAACAAAAAAACAAAAAACCCCGGCACCCTGACTTTCCAGCCAGTTTCACAGATTGGGTTTGGACATTAAGTCTTAGGGGGCATGTCCCCTCCAGCCCATACTTCCTGTCCCCACATGAGTACTGTGCTGTGAGCACTTGTGACTGGCTCTCTCACACGCAGCACAGCGCAGGTCATGGTGGTCCTCTGTGATTATGTGAATAGCACAGCACCCATATGACCCCTCAGTCCGTGAGGCCAGCTCTATTTCTCCAGTGACATTCCTGCAGTCTACCTGTACTCCCATAACAATCAACAGCATACTTTTAGGAATGTAAAGCACACACACACACACACAGAGTCCAGTTCTGAACCTAAGAACTAAATATAAGATAGAGCATCACAGCACACACGAAGTTCCTGTCAGAGCGACTGTTAATGCCACATGTACCCACCCCAGCCTACTCCTCAGGTCCTCCCTGAGCCCTTCATGGGATGGACAGGAGCTAGCCCTGGCCTTGCTTCCCAAAGCTGATAGAACTCACCTTTATGTGTTCCCAGAACTGTATTATCCTCGATAGAAATAAACTTTCCAGGCCGAGGCTGCAAATACTGGAAGACAAGTTTCATCACTACTGGAGACCCAGGCCCAGCGCAGACAGCCACTCACGTCAGAGGACACTCACCTGAAGAATGAAATGCTCGAAGTTTCTTTTACCAATGAAGCAGATGCCCATGCTCTGAAACAAGAGGAAGGCCAACATGATGTGAGCAGAAGCCAGGCTGGGCTAGGAGGGCATCACCAGTGCCAGCGGAGAGCAGGCTGTGCTATAGGAAGCCCCAGAACTCAGCACAGACACAAACAGAACTCGAGGGCCTAGAGAATGTTCTGTCTTTCTGAGTTTGGCCCCGAAATGGATGCTATCATGTAAACACGCTGCATCATTTACAACTAGACTCTGTTGGAAAATCCATATGAGCAATACAGGAGAGCCAGGGTAAAAAGGCAGGAGCAGGAAGCAGGGGAGTCAGGGAGAAGACGGCTGCAACTGGCTGAGCCCAGCTGGGAGACCAGGCAAGCAGATCTCCCAGGACTGCACTGGGCAAGCAGCTCTGCCATTACTCCTCAGTGTGTGTCATGAGAGCAGGGGTCTGCCCCATATATTGCAGTGACTCTGTCAGTTCCTACCATGGAGAATGCTGTCAAATGAACCACAGGGAAGACGATAGAACAGATAAGGGACATTCTCCTTGGTAATGTGGACTGGATAATAAAGGCACAGCCATGCATGTTCCCAGAGGACTGGCATAAACAGTGGCTACAGGTGAAGCTGTACCAACCTCTAATCAAACCTGGATTACTGGGGCTTCTCCCAGGATCCCAGCTCTCCCTCCACAGGGGTTAACCTGGTTTCCAAGATGCAGTGTATGAGAGTCCTTCTACAGGGAGCTCTGAGAAGGTGGAGAGGGACTGTCTATTTGTTACTGTCTCCTTGGACAGGAAGCACTCCTGTCTCATGGGATGGGCCAGCATGGCTGTTCCCTGTCCACACTCACCTGGCTGGCTAAGCAAGTTACCATGTCTGCTGAGAAAGCAGTCGACCACAGCCGGCACAAGAGGTGGGAGGACGAGGTTGGCCTCAGCTGCTCCTCGCCTGCAACCACGCTCTGCGGCTTGGCCTGATAGGTTCCTAGCAAAAGCACCACCGAGCCCAGTCCTGCCTGTGCCATGACGACACGGGTGGAAACATTCACGAATCAATGGCAAGCCGCTCACTCCTACCTCTTTCTTCTGAAGAACATGATGGAGTCTATTCTCTGCAGCTATTTTCTTTACAAACTCTTTTGTTAATTCCCCCAGGGGGAAGATGGTTCTTCTCAGGGCATCCTGGGAAACCTGGCTGAGAAAGAAGGTCTGGTCTTTAAAGCTGTCAGCTGCTTGGAGAAGTTTTACGGCTGCCAAGAGTAAAGAACAAAAGTCATTGCAGGAACAGATAGTAACTCTTTGCTTTTAATGCCCTTCTGTGTGAGCAGTTACCCCCCCAGTCTGCCAGAAGCAAACCCATCTCAGAAGATTATGGGGAAAAAAATACCAGCATCGCTAATATACAGGAAATGCTGGGCATCTGGTTTATCTATAAGGAACAGCACAGGGAAGGTAGATTTTTTTTACATACAGAAACTTATCACTGCTTATAATTTTGATTGTAACATTTTCAAACATGAAACACAGAAACTTATCACTGCTTATAATTTTGATTGTAACATTTTCAAACATGAAACACTATATGAAAAAAATGTGCAGTGAGAAGCAATGGTTCTAAAATAAATCTAGTCACACCTGGGAGACTGGACAGACAGCTCATGCAGAATTATGCTGAAGTATTATCAGCAGTTCATCTGTCTATGAACTGCAGGCGTGTGACATGTGCAAAGAAATACACAGGGCTCTGGTCATCAGCCCAGCCACAGGGTGGAAACGGCTTTGCTATAGAGTCCAAACTGACGTCTGCCGCCAGCCCTGCTGTGGTTTCTCTAACTTTCTCCAGGTGACTGTAAGGAACTCCTTATTGCAGGTACACAGCCGTGAGTGACATCAACTTTAGACCGAGAAGGTGGCTGAGTAAATTTCCCCAAGAGACAGTTCCTACTCAGGCCAGGGCTGGTGGGGCAATGGGTGAATTTGCTTCTCCCACCCTTTCTCTCACACGGTGCTAGGAGACACCCCAGAGGGTATGTGGAGCACTTCACACACACCAGCTCAGTCGTGTGTGTGTGTGTGTGTGTGTGTGTGTGTGTGTGTGTGTGTGTGTGCACATGCGTCTGAGAGCTTGCCCACGTCAGTACATGAGTGTGGAAGTCAGGTGACAACCTCGACTGCTGCTCCTCAGGGTCACCCACTTTGCTTTCTCTTTTGAGATGGTCTCCCATGGGCCCAGAACTCATCAACTAGGCTAGACTGCCGGGCCTATCTCTGCCTCCTCAGGGCTGGGACGAGATGGACATGCCACCATGCCTGCCATTTTTACATATGTTCTGGGAATTGAACTGAGGTCATTGCCTTTACTAACAAAGCCATTTCCTCAGCTCTACACAGTTTACATACCACTGTACACACCACACACCAGCCAGCAGTAAGCATCATACTGCCTGTAGGTTTCCACCCGCTGGCTCTGATATCGCCTTGTAAAGGAGAATTTTTCCCATCTCTACAGCAAGGACTAAGGTCTGGTCCAAGCTGATGCAGGTGCTGAAGGCTGTTCTACAAGGTGAGCTGTTTCCCATTTCCGACCTGTTACTTTGTGGTGTACATTCTGTTCTCTTGGTTCTGAGTACTCTGTCCTGGATTCTTTTTGACTGGTTGTTTTTTTTTTTTTGAGCCTTCCAAGTGCTGGGCTTACAGGTGTGTCCCCACATCTACCTTCTGAGTTATTTTAAAACACAATGAAAACCTATGACTTTGAAACAGGAAGCTGGTAACATATTAACAAAGATATTAGAGGGAAAGAACAGGCCGCAGCTAACATCTGGTGATGCTGACTAGAGTTCAGCCTAGCTGCTTTCAGGATCCTGCCCTCCTATTTTTTCTGCCAGGCACTGCACCATGTTCAGATGAAAACCAGCTAGTTACAAGGTCAGGTCCACAACTACAGCCATTCCCTGAGCCCAAGAGCTCTTCGGCCTCTACTTGGATGCTCCCCTAGGACTCAGACCAAAGCCACAAAACAGCTTTGGTTTGCCTAAAATGCACACTGGAAACCAAGGCATCATAAAACTACCACAGGCAAGTCACTCAACACAGTACTTTACCATCTTAGGAGGGTCAGAACAAGTACGGACAGACAAAGGTGAGCATGTCCTCGACATGAGCAGATATATCTACTCGAGATGGGAAGTGACTCACTATCTGCTTGGGACCCTCTTAAAACCATCCCAATTATTACTGTCAAACAGTTCCCCAGATATATCTGGAAGTCCAACTTACCAACATGGAATAACCTAGATGATAAGTTTCTGATCCCCTTCCTCAGCTGGCTCCTGACCAGGGCACTGCAATGCTCAACCACAGGCCCTGGGGAAGCAACCTTGCTGCTACCTGTGCCTTTGCAAATCTAAACCTAAACAGACCAGCTAATAGCCAGGAGCACACGGAACTGGGTAGGGCTGTATGCCCAGCCCCTACTCCTGACATCCTAAGTATTCCTGTGCTCACAGAGATTAGAGCTCTGGCCATGCACATGAACTTACGATTTCTGACTTCAAATCGATTTCTGAACAGCCCATCTGGTCTCTTAGTGTGCTTCTGCTCAAAGACTTCTTCATCCTCCAGTGAGGTCCTTGCATAGTGGCCAGTGGCAACCGCATCTGCTCCTGGAAGGTTTTCAAAACACAAGGATCTAGTGTGAGACAAAGTTACTGGCAGAAACTGGAGTCAGTTGGGAAGAGGAATCTTAACTAAGAAAATGTCTCCATCAGACTGGACCAGACTTGACTTTCTCCATCAGATAGCAGACTTTTTTTTTTTTTTCCAGTGAGGGTCTCTCAACATACTGCTGGCTGTCCTGGAACTCACTATGTAGACTAGGCTGGTCCTGAACTCCCTCTGTCTCCCAAATGTTAGGACCAATGGTGTGTGCCACCATGCACAGCTGGTGGGTAATTTCTTGATAAATGACTGATGTGGGCAGTACTACCCCGGGAAGATGGTCCTGTATTGAAGAAGAAAGCAGGCTGAGCAAGCCAGGGGAGCAGCCAGTAGGCAGCATTCTTCCACGGCTTTTGCTTGAGTTCCTGCCTTGGCTTCCCCTGATGACAGACTGTGATTGGGACATGTAAGCCAATGAACCTTTCCTTCCCTAAGTTGCTTTTGGTCATAATTTTTATCATGGCAATAGAGAGTAAATTAGGATACCAGCCGCACCCTGAAACCTGCACAACTGTCAATCCCCCCCTGACCACAGAGCACAGGGCACAGAGGCCTGTGTGATAGCCCACTAAGCAGCTCCCTTCAGTTCCTGCATCTTTAAAGAGCCTTTCAAAAGTCAGAACCGATCCACTCACTCATCTAGCTTACTCAGATTGAAAAGCTTACCAGTTTCTTACAACACTAAGGAAAAACTGAAAACCAAAATAGTCAACAGTAGGAGGCGTGAATTCTGATGCTGCAGCCTGATGGGAACGGCACTGACAAAGCCCTGACGGGTAAGAGACCACACCCATGCAGTGGTAAGCAGAGGAAAGTCATGTCATACTGTCCCCACGACTTTTAATATACGGGAAAAAGGACAACCTCAGTCTAACCCCTTTGATTCTTGTGTGAAATCATAGATAAGCTACCCCTCTTTTACCAATGTCAGTAGTTTTGGTAAGTGTGCATTATTTTCACATGGAAGGCCCCCTCAACATATGTAATCTCTTCTGTCCCCAAAACTACCTTTCCACCGTGAGAAGTTCAGGTGTCGGTACTGCTGAGACTGACCTGGAAGCACAGCAAAGCAGACTCAGACCTGAGCAGCTGCACTGCTGAGCTAACACTGCATACAAACCACTCAACTAGAACCTTCAGGGACACAGCATGGCATCTTCTCATTGCTCGCACAGCATTCCTTAAGGACCATCACCTATACTGCAAGAAATGTGGAGCCCTTATAAGAAGCTCCACTCCCTCAGAGCCTAGATTTCAGGTGTCTGGCCATCAGTGGGGTTCTAGTGTGGGCTTCAAACACAGAATATGGACCTGGAGAGGCAGAGAGATGCTGCAACAGGGAACCAGGTAAGGTGTGGCACGGATTACACAGAGGACCACCACACTAGGTCATAGCTTGACTGACCCTCAACACAAATGCATCTAAAAGGCTAGGTGTCCTTTGGGCTCCCAGGGGCCACACTCTGGACACCACTGACTCCCAGTTTAAGCAGTAAGTCCTGGCCTGCTGCTCTGTGAGTGGTCTGCTGACTCCCATCTTGTGCAATCCTGGCTATGGTCAGACTGGCCTGCAGCCCTGTCCATGTGCCTGCCTACCCACCCCCCAGCCTACCTTCCACCGTCCCTTTCTTCCTTCACTGAGACAAAGTTCCACTATACAGGAGGGCTTAGAATTTACTATAAAGCTTGGCTGGCCCCAAACTCCCAACAGGCCTGCCTCAGCCTCCCTCTTACTAGGATTGCAAGTGCTTGCTATCACTTCCTGCTCAGCAGACACTTGAGAGCTCTGCTGTCTCCACCACACCCATGTTCCAGCTGATACAGGTGACAGGCAGGTTCCCATGCCTACTTCTCTTTACTGATGCTCTTTCTCGAGTCACTGCTGATTTAGATCTGAATCCTATTTTCTGAGAGTCCTGTGCTTAGAGTCCTGCCACTTTTTAGCCTTTAGGTCAGTGGCCAAACATACCTCCTCTCAGCTATGTGAGGCCAGCTGCCTGCCCATGATGGAGGGCACCTTCTCCTTGAATTAGAAAGTTCTTCTGAAAGACAAAACTGTCCACAAGGTTCTAGCTCCTGACTATGCCTGGAAAGCTATGATTTGAACACGCAGATGAAGAAATTCCGACTCCTTACCAAGATTGTCCACAGCATAATGATAAAAGCAACTGAACTTGATGTGCTTATTGCAGATGATGTCAGGGTTGGGAGTCCGTCCTTTCTCGTACTCATTCAAAAAGTCACTGGAAAAAAGGAAAGCACCCTCAGATCTAAGTGATACATCCCTTAAAAAACAAATAAGTTGCTTGTTTAATGTGGAATTTCTCTCCATTGTCCCCAAACTATACCTTTCTCCCCCATGAGAGCTTCATTATCAAACCATTTCCTACTATGTCAAGGGGCTTCTCAGAACTCACATATTTTAGTGAAAACAGGCTCAGATGTTTGAATACTTGTTCCCCAGTTGGTGGTGCTGTTTGGGCAGGCTTACAAGGTACAGCCCGGATGAGGAAGTAAGCCACCTCGGGTAGGTTTTGAGGTTTTAAAAGCCACCTGCCATTCCCAATTCACCATCCCTGCTGTTGCCTGCTGCCATGTCTGCGGCCGGCTGCTATGGCAAACTTGCATCCCTCTGAACTGTTAGCACAAACAAACTCTTCCATTAGCTGCCTTGGCCACAGTGTTTGTCACAACAACAGAAAATGCCCAAACCCTTGTGAGTGGACCAGGTACCATTCTAGAACTACACAGGACAGCAGCAACTCATTCCCACAATGCTCCTGGTAGCTTTGGGCATCATCCTTGATTTAAAGATGAGAAAATTGAGACTTAGAAAAATCAAATAAATTGTCGCCAGGCAGTAGGAGCGCATGCCTTTAATCCCAGCGCTCAGGAGGCACAGACAGGCAGATCTTTGTGAGTTCATGGCCAACCTGGTCTACAAGGGCTAGTTCCAGGACAGCCAGTGCTACGCAGAGAAACCCTGTCTCAAAAAAACAAAAACAAAAACAAAAATCAAATAAATTGTCAAAGGTCTTCTACGTGGAGTGGCACAGTTGAGACAAGGGCAACCCACAATGAACATGGCCTGTTATCTCTGCATGTGCAACCCACAATGAACATGGCCTGTTATCTCTGCATGTGCAACCCACAATGAACATGGCCTGTTATCTCTGCATGTGCAACCCACAATGAACATGGCCCGTTATCTCTGACATGTGCAATGGCTTCCAGGCATTGTCAGGATTCACCAGAGGCTAGTCTGGGTGTCTTTCTCTGCAGGAGTAAGTGGCTAGCCAAACTTCACACATTCCTGAGATAGAAGAGGAACATGTTCCCCTCACTGCTGCTCTTGTACCCCACATAACAGCCTCTATTTAAGTCTTCCTTAAAGCTTCTCAGGCCCCTACTCTTCCATGAGGCTGCCAGACCATACTTTATGACACACTATTCTCCATCCTCTCAATTAAATCATTCCTACAGGATGCTCACCACCATCAGCACCTTGGGTAAAGAGTCTATCACCAAGTAGATAGCCAATTCCTACAGAACAGGGCCATGATGTACAGACTTTGTATTCTTAGATGTAGCACAGTGTTTAGCATATAGTAAGCAGTAACAATTATGGTGTTTGGGCTGGACTGTGGAGGCAGAGGCACGTGGATCTCTGTGAGTTTGAGGTCAGCCTGGTTTACAAAGAGAGTCCCAGGACAGCCAGGGCTATACAGAGAAACCCTGTCTTGAAAAATTAGAAAAAAAGAAAAAGAAATAAAGAAAAAGAAACCTCTGGCAGGTGGGAAATATCCCAAGAGGGTGAGAAGGGTGAGGGTGCTGTGGGCCAGGCCGCTGGTGCTCCAACTCCAGCAGTCTTGGGCACCTCTGTGGAGAAGCACTGACTGTTTTCACCCTTCCTTGGAAAGACTCAGTACAGTAAACCCTGCGTGTGCAGTGGCCTGCGCTCACCTGAACACCTCGTTCCAGTACTCCTTCACGTAGGACACCTGATGGAAAGGGATGTCTAAGATCCGACAGACTTTATAAGCATCTTCACAGTCCTTGTCAGCAGCACAGACACCGTGTTCATCCAGCGAGTCCCAGTTCTTCATAAATACCCCTGTCACCTGGTAACCTGCAGTGAGGGTAAAAGGCAGGGCCATCTGTGCTCTGAGCAGTTCTGACACTCCATACCCTTCCTGCCCCGATGCCTCTGTATATTTTGGATGGCAGTCCACGCCTGTCCACGTGGCCTAAGGCCTGGGTTCCATTCTAGTGTAATCCCCATAGGCTCATCTTCCCTTTAATGCTCATGGCACTGCTAAGGCCTCCACACTGTAGTACACTGCGTATTGAAACTGTTTGTGTCCCCAAAGTGAACAAAATGAGCTTTCTCCATCCTATGTAGCAAAACAATGCCTAACACACAGCAGGGGCACATCAGATATGTGCTGAATGCCTGAACAGTGAGCAGAAACTCAAGCTATCATTCAACCAGATGTGATCTCACACACCTAAGATTCCAGGATTTGGGAGGTTAGGGCAGGAAGGTACTGAGTTTGAGGCTAGCCCAAAGCTACATATCAAGATTCTGTTTAAAAAAGAAAAAAGGGAAAAAAAAAAAAAAAAACCAGAGCCAGACAGAAAGCTCTAGGGTTAAGAGCACTTGTTGATACTCCAGAGGACACAGGTTCAATTCCCAGTATCCACACAGCAGGCATAGGCACGACCACCTGTAAGTCCAGTTCCAGGGGATCCAATGCCTCCTTCTGGCCTGCCTTAATACCAGGCGCACACATGGTACACAGACATACATGCAGGCATCATTACCATCCACATATTTTATGATCCATTTTCTTCTCTACTGTGACAAATACCACATAGGACAGCACTGGCACTGAGTCTTAGAAAACTCACAGAAGCTCAACCTGCATCAAAGCCCTGTCTCTCTTGAATAAGCTGAATGTAAGGAAAGACAGAGTAGTTGTATTAAAAGCTTCAAATAACACCCCCCCACACACACTCACACACCCCAAAAAAATTCCAGGGAACATTTTTGCTGACAAATGAAATGCCATGCCCATTAAGGTCCTACACACCCTACGGTCCTATAGGATGAGGCCCTCTTTTGCATCCGGAAGCACCTGACTCTGCTTTACCACAGAGATTAATCATGCTGGGCTCAGTTCTTGTTAACTTATTAACTTATTAATGAAGAGGCCTCCTCGAGAGCAGCGACGATCCAACCCTGAATCCCCAGAGCTACTACAGTGCCCAGTGCATAACGAGAGCTAAAAACTGACAAGTTTGTAGGATGAACAAACTCTACATGGAGCTTTAGCACCTCCCTATCCCCATATCAAATCTGCCTGATCAACTATCCCATAGAGAGACATACCCACATACCGGGGTGGGGGGGCGGGTAGGCACTTGAAGGTGGGTGAGCTTTCTAGGGAATGTGTGACAGGGTACCCCCTGCAAAGAGCCCTCAATGCCGAAATGAGAGGATAATGCTTTCCCCCTGATACGGCCATCAGCTTCTTCCATGAAAGAAATCCAAGGAAAGACAGAAATAAGAGACGCTGCAGCCTAGAGGGACAGAGCTAATGTTTTGGCTAGGTTTCTATGGATGTGATAAACAGCATGAGCAAAAGCAACTTGGAAAGGATTTATTTTGCCTTAAAGAGCACAGTCCATCATCAAGGGAAACCAAGGCAGGAACTCAGGTTAGGAACCTGGAGGCAGAAACTGAAGCAGAGGCCATGAAAGAACACTGCTTACAGGCTACTTCGCAATGGCTTGCTTGCTCAGTCTGCTTCTTTAGACAACCCAGGACCACCTGCCCAGGGGTAGCATTACTCATAATGGGATGAGCCCTCCTACATCAACCATTCATTAGACAAAAAAAATGCCTCACAGACTAGCCTGCAGGCCAATGCGATGTTGACATTTTCTGAGCGCCCTCTTTCCAGGGGACCCCAGCATGTGTCACGTTGACATAAAAACTAGCCACCAGGACTTATCTTCCTTCAGTTGTAAAATGATAAATCTGGACAATCATCTCCCAAAGCATGCAGCCACAGTCGTCATTGGAAACCTTCTAAGACTCACAGCTGCCTACTCAACACCAATTCCCTAATACCATGTGGCTTCACTACCTGGGGATTAACCCTCTCTACCTTACCCTGATCAGATTCTCAGCACTCTATCTATCCTCTGACTCCTGCCTGTGTTACTGACTCTGCCTCAGCTGCCAGCCCTTTGTAGAGAACTCCTACTGAGCTTCAGTCCCTGCTCAAGCACCTCTGCTTCTAAGCGTGGCTTCCTTCTCCCTTTCTCACCCAGCACACGTATGTATGATATGCCCATTCTCTTTGGCGTTTATACCTCTCCTTGCAGCTGTGATTATAATGTAAAAGAATCGCTCCTGCTTTCCAAACTCTCTCATATCGCATGGCTAACCCTTTCAATACATACTATGCCATTTAACCCTTCCAGACACCCCAAATTTAGGGTCATCCCACTTTATAGAGGGGTGCTTAATTAACGTGCCCAAATTCTGACTTGCCCGAGCCTTGGGGAAGGTGATTCACGGCAGAGGCTCCACGTGAATACGGAATGAAGTCGAAATAAGGGGGCAGGGAGACACAGCGGGAGGAATTTAGATGGGTAGTTGGTATCAGATCCGGCTACGTTTAGAAGTCAGGAAGAAATTATAGCCGTTTAGAGAAAAGTTTGTCATCAACGAAGGGGAAACACGAGTGATTTAGTCACCAAAGCAGGTGGCCGTCCTCAAGTGAGGCCCGCGGAGTCTGCAGAGGCCAGGTCTAAGGCCTGGATGAGCCCAGTTCCTGTCCCCAGTGAGGAACCCTGGCCTCACCTCTCCGCCGCAACAGCAGCGCAGCCACCGCGCTGTCCACGCCACCAGAAAGGGCGCACACGACGTGCCTCAGCGCCGACATCTGCCTACAGGCAACTCCTACCAGCAGCTTTCGGGCTGAGTCTACGCTACGCCGGAAGTCCGGCCTTCGGGGCGTCCTCAACTCTTCACCCGGCCGGAAACGTGCTCCGCCCACCCTGCGTTCTGCCCGCCTTCTGGTTCCGCGCGGCGGATTGGCTTAGAAGTGCTTTGCTCGTCGCGACCCGGAGAGGTCAGGGATGAACTGGGCGGGTCGAGCTTCCCAACCGCTATCCGCTGCTCCTGCTCCGCCTTTTCTTTTGCGCCCCGCTGTGCTCACCGGTCCTCTGCACCGGAACAGTCTCTGCTCTGGCTTGAGGTCCCAAAGATGTCCTGGCCACACAAGGGCGAGGACACCGTGTTGTGTCTGCAACTGGCTCCTCATGGTTACCGGCTAGAGGAACTGGACTGTCACCACGTTCCCACTGTATTCTAGACAGACTAGATTTCTTGAGAGCTGGCATCGGGTCCTCCCGGTGCAAATGCTTGAAGCTGCTGCAGCCACAGAGGGTGCAGAGGTCAGTAGACTGAACAGACTGGACTGTTAGTAAGGCTTTCCTAGCTGCTCGGTCGGCGTGTTGGAGTACGCGATGGGAGCATGGTTAGGAGGCCCAGTGAGCTGGGAAGGTTGAGCCACAGCGGGTAGAAGTTGGAGTCGAACCTAGTGCTGTGGCCTTAGAGATACCACAACTTAAGAGTGCACTTGGGAGGCAGAGGCAGGCGGACCTGTGGGTTCGAGACCAGCCTGATCTACAGCGCCAGTTCCAGGACAGCTTAGGATACACAGAAAAATCCTGTGTGTGTGTGTGGGAGGGAGGGGATGTCTCACAGGCCATTCTTGGAGGATGAACTCTGATAAGTGGATGCCTTTGGGACCTCAGCTGGAGCTGTGGCTCTTTCTGAATTCATTGTGGGGAGCCAGGCACCTGACAGGTGGTGGGTGGCTGCTGGAATAAGCTGGAAGATACATGTGCTGAACCAAAAAGCTGAAGTGGGGTGGGGGGAATAGGGTATGAGCAAAGAAAGTCAAGTAGGAGACTTGGGCAGGCAAGAGGGCAAGGGGTCATGTCTGTGAAGTGTCCCAGCCAAGGATAACACACAGGTCGGCCTAAAGTACTGGGACCTCCCTTCTTAGGTGTGAGCATTTAATATAGCAAGCCTCACTTTCCCTGCCAGAGCCAGTGATAGGACCAACCACAGAGTAGCAGAAGCCTGACGAACTTACAACCTACGTTGTCCTAGTTAGAATTTTTGTCAATTTGACCCAAGGTAGAGTCATCTTGGAAGAGGGAAGATCAATTGAGAAAATGCTTCCATTAGATTGGTCCTTAGGCAAGTCTGTGGGATTTTCTTATATTTTTTGGTTGTGAGCCTAGCCTTTAACAGCTGAGCCATCTCTCCAGCCTTTGGGATTTTCTAAGACTTTTAAAATTTATATATATGTGTGTGTGTGTGTGTGTATGCTTTATCTGCATATACACCTTTATGCCAGAAGAGGGCATCAGATTTCAACTACAGATGGTTGTGAGCCATGCCTGGTTGCTGGGACTTGAACTCAAGCTCTCTGGAAAAGCAGCCAGTGCTCTTAGCTGCTAAGCCATCTCTCCAACCCCTGGGGGCAGGATTTTCTTGATTAAAGACTGATGTAGAAAAGCTTAGATCACTGTGAGCAGGGCCACCCCTGTGCAGGTGATCTTGGGTTGTAAAAGAACTAAGCAAACCATGAGGAGCAAGCCAGTAAGCAGCATTGCTCTATGGCCTTTGCTTCAGTTCCTGTTTTGAGTTCTTAATCTAACTTCTCTTCAGGTTGGACTGAGTTTAAGATATGCAAACCAAATAAAAAAACAACAACAACAACAAAAAATCTTGCCTCCCCAAGCTGCTTTCAGTTTTATTACAATAGAAAACAAAGTAGGACATGCCTTTCTGATTAAACACATGGTTCTTAACTAACCTATAGTTCTAATAATCTGCAGTATAAGACACCATGGACCAGCTGTGGCAAAGGTGACATCATAAAGTGCTGTGTGGCAACAACACAAAAGGCATGTAAATCTCAGAAACACTGCCCCTAGCCAGTGGGCAGTGTGGGGGGGGGGGGCGGCACATACCTTTAAATCTTAGGACTCGGGAGGCAGAGGCAGGTGATCTCTCTGAGTTTGAGACCCAGCCTGGTCTACATAGCTAGTTCCAGGACATCTAGGGCTGTTACACAAAGAAACCCTATCTTCAAAAACAAAACAAAAAAAAAGAAAAAAAAAGAGGAGGAGGAGGAGAACACAGTCCCACAGAGGGATGCCTCTGCCATGAATGTTTAGTTATCTACCCATGTACCTCATGCCAGTCTCTTAAGCTAAGTCTCCAACCTGTGTCACAAAGCTGACCCTTTGAACAGCCAGCTTAGGATGTGTGAAGAACAAGGACTTAGGAAAACTGCCTTTGAGCATCTTCAGAGGGGAAAGCAGAAGGATTATAACACAGGCCACCAAACATCAGATGTCCTGGGAGACAGAGCAAGGCCCAGCCATATTAGGGAAAGGCACACAAGGGCTGAGCCAGAGCTAAAAGCCAAGTACAGACACTGAGTGAACACTACCAAGGTAGCCTGGTTATTATGGGTTAATATCTCTTCACCACCAAACACCCCTATAGCCTAAGGGAAATGCAGCCTAGCCCCTAATGAAAACCCAATACTTGCTTACTGAGTTCAATTCCATATTTTGTTTTTCCCATGTGAAAGGATTAGATCTGGGAAGGTGAGGGCACTTTAAACTGCTAATGCTCAGGATTCTAGAACTTACTGCCCACTGGGGAACAATCTTCCATCCCTTCAGGAAATGCAGCATGCAGGATCTATGTTAGATAGACGTACAGATGTGGCAATGCCATGTGAAACCTCCTCACTTTGTCCTGTTGATGCCATAACCATACTCCAGCTAGCAGCTTTGCATTCAACACATAACCAGGGAATGAGAGACCCATCCAGACTTCTTTCTCTCAACTGCGGACAGCGAGAGGCTCCAAACTGAAGCAGAGACATGAGCGGGCTCCACATAGTGCTTTCTGCCATCAGTGGCTTCCAGGTAGCTAGTCTTTCTGAAGTGAGGCTTCAAGCATGGGACTGGCTTTCCAGTGACCTTCTTCCCAGTGTCCTACATCATCTGGTTGGTGTGTGCTCAGAAGTGCCCCAGGGGAGAGATTGGCAGGCTCAGGGGCTATCACTTTGAAGTGACCCTCCTTCATAGCTCAGAGCAGCCGTGAAAGTTGTGCCCCTTTGACTACTGCATCAGAATTAGCCAACCATATCAACAATGCAGGTTATCCGGCCTGCCCTGATGACAGGCTGGTGTACCTGGGGTGGACCAGAGACTGATATTTATACCAATTTTAGTTCCCTTTATTTTTGAAAATTAAGGTTGGATAATGAGTCTTCTATAATGTCTGGAGAGACAGAAACTGCTCTCCATGTCCAAACATCAAGTGTGAAAATCAAGCATATTTTAATGTACTTTATAATTTAATTTAAATCTAGAATATTTAACTTTTCAAACAAATTTAAGTTTACAAACAGTCATTAGCTATTTTACATACAAAAGAATCAAGGCAGGGAGCGGGGCAGCCACAGAAGTAGATGCTTAGGTCCACAGTGGGAACCCTACCTGGGTGCCACTCCAGACACAAGCAGTGTAGCAGGCCTCCCCCCAGTCAAATACAATTCCTTCCAACATTTGTGTCTACAGCCTGAGGACCGGTCAGAGGTCAACCGCGAAGGACAGAAGGTGCCCTGCTCAGAACTTGAGCAGTGGTGAGTCCACATTTTCTTTGTCAGCCTCGGGGCTCAGCTGAATCAGTGGGGAGTCCAGGTCGATCAGCTGGAAGAGAAGGGATAGCAAAGTGAACACAGCTGTCTGGGCAGCCAACACACAGACACAAGCAGCTGCGGTGGCTGAGCCCAGGGACAGAAATCAACTCAGCAGAGCAGTGAGGCCACGGAGACTCAAGCACTGTGTCTAAGACTCTTAGACCCGCACACTCATAAGCACTGTGGGACCCTGACACAGGAAGCAGGACCATGTGGTGCTGGGGACCTGACTGCTCTCCTGAGGGAACCTCCAGGTCCACCAAGATGCCCGAGGGCAATGGGTGACCGCAGAGAAGCCAAGCCTGCCCGACATGAGAGTGAGACACAAAGCCTGTGAGCCCCAAGGGCACCATGCGGGGCCCAGGTCTGACAGCACCCTGGGCTGAAGTCAGTATGGATGCTCTGCCGCTTCTCACCTGCCCAAGCTCAGCCTTTGGCGGTCTCCCCACATTGTTTCTGGCCATGTTTGGAGTATTCATTATAAGGTCCATCAGGGGCCAGCTGCTGGGTCCCAAAGCCATGTTCGACTCAGGGGTATTGCTGAAGTCGATGAGAGGGTGGTCAGATAGGTCTCTGCCCCCTGCTTCAGGAGTGATGGTCAGCTGGTCCAGCTTGATGTCCAGGAGAAGATCCTAGGCAGGGCACAGAGAGAGGGAAAGCCTAGTACTATGTTGGTGCCCAGCAACCACCCTGGGAAACCAGGCTTTGCCTATGGCCTAGACTCACAGCTTGGAGCCTAAGGGAAAGGTTGGAGGGCACGCAGAGTGGGAGTAAGCTCCCCTCTGGGCAGTGCACCCCTTCCCAGAACTAGTAGGGAGGTTCAGCCTGCTCCCATCCCTAGCCTCTGACCCCAACCAACTCCCTTGTCAAACATTTCTTTAGTTCCCAGTCTTGAGTTCCCCCCGAGTCTGCTGGAACCATAGGCCCAGATATAGGAGGAGGAGGAAGGGAGCTATGAGTCCCTGTCTGTGGCTCTCCATGCATCTCAGAGGGCTTCCTCACTGCAATCAGCTCCATGTACCTTGCTGGGGCTCGTGTTTTCTTGAGTCTCTGCTTCACCCTGAGCTGTGACTGCGGTGGAGCCGTGGGAAGGAGGAAAGTCACTCTTTTCTGGAGAAAAGTCAAGTGCTTGAGGCACGGAAGATGGAGGGGAAGAGCTCTCATCAGAGGACAGGCCTTGGCCCTGCCCATTGCCGCTGCTCTCCTGTGTTGGCTCTGCTCTGGAGGGTGGGGGAGAGAAAAACTTTTATGATCTTCCTAAAATACCTTTCATCAGCCATGGCATGAAAGCAGTCTCTGAAGCAGCACCTGGCCCTGGGGCCAGAGGCCTGCACCAGTGGCCTAACTCTGAGAACACCCTCAACAGGTAGGAGAACCAAGCATTGTCAGGGCTCCTTCCACTTCTGATTCTATCAGTCTAGCCTCACACCTCCTGTCCACATCAGCCTTTTTCTCTATAGAGCCACTAAATTACACAGGAGGGGCTCTATCTCTGCCCACAGGCTGTAGCTAGCCCCACCCCACCCCCAGGCCTAGGTGAGCCAAGTGCCTGCCTGCCTGAGTGACCCTCCCCACTGCTCTCTCAGGAGACCTGGTCCTTCACTCTGGGCAGGTTGGAAGCCCAGTCTTTCCACGTGACAGCATGCCTTGCACTAATAGCCACACCTGGTATGCTGTGCTTCCCTCTAGCCCAGACCTCTCGGCACCTAGCACAACCCTAAGCGCCTGATGACTCAGGGCTGAATGAACGTGGCAACCAGGAAGAGCAACAATATCCACAAATCTGAACCAAATACCTTCTTTGTCATGGTTTATGGGCTTCACAACAACCCGAGAAGAGTTCTTTTCATATTATATTTAAAACACACACACACACACACACACACACACACACACACACACACACGCTGAGCTTTGTGCTTCATTGAGCTCATTTTCCTGTTTCTCCTATCTGCTGCCTGCACCTTCCCAACACAGGAGACCCCGAGGTCTGGGGAACTAAAGACAAAAGCTCACTCGATCCCTGCTTTTTACCTGACTGTTGACCTTCTCCTAGGCTCAGAAGAAAGTCGCCGGGCAGGCAGACACAGTGGGGATGCCAAAGCCCTGGGCATGGACTGAGGTGCCATTAATGGAAGGCCAGAGAGGCGCCGACTGGCAGGTGTGGGCAGTGCAGACATCCGTCTTGTGCTCACAGGGGTCCTCACACTGCTGGGCAGTTCTTGTGAAGTGGGTCCCAATGAGCACCTCACAGGAGTGCTGCTGATGACTCTGGTGAAAACAGGGATATCGTCAACAGACACTGAAGCTGAACGGGCAGCCAGGCAGTCTGAGCGGGCTCTGTTCTGAGAAGGACTCAGGCGTGAACCAGACTCAAGGACGCTGGGAGTCTCCATGAGACCTTGGATGAGTTCCAGGTTCCTTTGCAAGCAATGCCTCCACCCTGTCCCCCAGGTAACTAGAACACCCTTGAATATGGTGGCATTCATGGTATCATCCATGGTATCATCCACGGAAGAGTCAGAAGGGACTTAAGGAGATACTCATGCTGGTAGATTTTCTCTACAGAGACATCTGGGCTCCCGTCAGACTGTGGCTAAGAGGTGAACTGATGGTGGTTTTCACCTCTTGCCCAGTCAGCCCCAGGCTTATGAGGTCAAAACAGAGTTAGGGAACTCAGCATTTCCTAGCAGCACCCATGCCTTAACCACCATCTGTCCCAAATGTTACTTTGTTTTTCTTTTCTTTTCTTTTTTTTTTTCTTTTTTTTTTTTTTTTTTTTTTTTTTTTTTTTTTTTTTTTTTTTTTTTGGTGGGGGGAGGGTTTGAGACAGGGTCTCTGTAGCTTTGGTGCCTGTTCTGGAACTAGCTCTTGTAGACCAGGCTGGCCTCAAACTCACAGAGATCCACCTGCCTCTGCCTCCCGAGTGCTGGGATTAAAGGCATGTGCCACCACCGCCTGGCTTGTTGTTCTTAAACCAGAGGTTGAGTCAAGTCAATTATTACCATTATGGACTAAATGTTGGCATCCCCAAATTCTTATGTTGAAAGCCTGGCCCCCAAGATGATGACACAGGAGACAGGTCCTCTGGGAGATGATTAGGTCAGAAGGCAGAGCCTTAATCAATAGGATTAGTGACATTATAAACAAAGTCCCCCATACCATGTTTGCCCTTCCATGTGAAAACATGGTGTGCCGAGCAATGGACCCATAGACAATCTGTAGATGCCCTGATCAGGATGACCAGGCTTCAGAATTACACACCCGTTTAAATCCCAGATGCCCAGTACGGTGGCACAAGCCAATAATAGCAGCAGGAAAGGAGGAGGCAGGAAGATTGATTTTGAGGTTAGCCCAGTCTAGAGAGACACCACACACACACACCAGCCCCGACTCATAACTACACACAAACCAGGCGTTGGTGTGCCTGTTACAATAGCCTCAGATGTGATGAAGCAGCTCCAGGACATACTACTAACACAGAGCCCTGGCAGGCCTAGAAAGTCACCCACCAACTCTCCCATCCAAAGACAACTTCTATGTTCTTCAGAGTCTGGAAACAAACTTTAAACAGCATGAGCTGAAAGATGGGCTCCTACACAGAGCAATCCAGGCATGAGGGGTGCTCTCAGAACAAGCTCCCACCCGCTGCCAAGGGCCAAGCCCACTGTCCTACCCATCTTGCTATTGTGGACTGGAGCTTGTGGCAGAGCTAGCGGTACCCACAATAGCACAATAGTAGGGAAGTGTGATAGAAAGCCTGCACCTCAGAAGCTTGACCTGCAGCCCAGGTGGCACTCCCCGGAGCCTGCAGACACACAGCAGTTCTTAAAAGGCGAAAAAGGAGGCAAATCTGTCAGCTACCTGCTAGTTGGCGTCCAGGACTGTAGCCGATGAGTTCGCGAGAACTTTGGGGTCATACCATCAATTGACTCGCCTAAGAACACAAGAGAAGAGAGCCATGTGGGAAGCCTGGCATGTGCTCTTACCTGGGCACTCTCCTTTAAATGTCCCCACTTTCCCAACCGTCCATGTAAAGTACAGACAGAAGGTCAGATAAGACACACAAGGAAACCCTCATAAGACTCCAACTGAGCTATGGGCTGGGTCTGATGCTGAAAACCCTCTGAACCGTTATGCCAGCCCCTTTCCCAGCTGGCCTGGGTTTGAGTTATGTGGCAGGCTCATCCCAAGTCTCCTGCGCCTGTCAGGCTGCTTCCTGCATTCCCATGCACGTGGATATCGTGTGGATGGAGTCCCAGGCAATCCAGCGAAGCCTACCGTACCTTCACATCCCTGAGCTGCGGCATCCCTAGCTCAGAGACACATTACATACACTGTCTACAAGTGAGAAGGGTCTCCAGGTGGATTTGACAGGCATCAAGCAGAGTTAGAATTCAGTGTGGGCTCACCAGCCACTGAGCAAAGCCCAGCATAACCCAGATGGCCTTTCACACCACTGTCCCTCTACCACATGATTCTAGATAAAACACAAACCTGCCTCTCATGATCCTGAGAGTCAATCCGGGAACCCAAAGACCCAGGAGCCAGGACCTCCATGTATTTATCTGGCTGTCTCAGAAACCATGGGTAAAGTGGCTGTCACCAGAACCCTTGGCCCTAGCCACAAAACAGGCCCATCTCAGCAGGCCACGCAAGGCCAGCTGAGGCTCCTAGGTCACCACCAACCACACTCCCGTCACCCTCTGCACCCCAGCAGCTCTGCACCCACCCCATCATGAACTGCTCGAAGCTTCTCACCTCACTCCTCCTCCAGTCCTGCCCGAGCCCCCATTCTTCAAATCCATATCAAAGATTTGCCTGTGCCTGCGCCACCTCCCACCCCTGTTTGTAAAACCACTGTCAAGGTGATTTGATAAGTATTACCAATGAGGAGTGCAATCTTGGGGAGAATGCAAGTCTCCTGCCACCTCCACCCCAGTTGTCCTGGAAGCCTTGGCCTTCACTCTTATAAATCACAAACTTCTCTGCTGCCATTTCGTTCCCAAAAGCTTCTCATGTCACGAGAGTTTCTGCCTTATTCCCTTGGGCTCTGTGCTGGCTAGTTGTATGTCAGCTTGACACAAGCTAGAGTCAACTGAGGAGGGAACCTCAATTAAGAAAACGCCTGTAAGGCATTTTCTTAACTAGTGATTGATGGGGAGGCACAGCCCACATGGGTGGTGTCATCCCTCAGCTGGTGGTCCTGGATTCGGTAAGAAAGCAGGCTGAGCAAGGCACGAGGAGTAAGCCAGGAAGCAGCACCCTCCACGGCCTCTGCATCAGCTCCTATCTTCAGGTTCCTGCCCTGCTTGAGTTCCGGCCTTTGATGAACCATTACATGGAATTGAATGAAATAGCACCCGTACCCTGCAGCCTGCTTTGGTCAGAGTTTCAGCACAGCAACAGTAACCCTGAGGCTCCAGACCACTACGACTGAGCATGCTGCTGCCCCCTCTGCACCCTAGCAGCACCCTGCTGTCAGGAACCACTGAGTGTCTCACCTCACTCCTCCTGACAGATGCACACAGCAGGGCCACGGTGTCCTCATATCCTCTATCTACTCAGACTTTGATTGGGGAGGGGGGAATAAACCACCTCCTCCTCTTTCTTCTTTAACAAAACCAATGTTTGGGGCTTGCAGCGGGATCTGTCCCAGCTGCATTCTCAATACTGTCTTCCCTCTCTTCTAGGAGCTCAAGCGCCTTTCTGCCACGGGAACTGTACAGCATCATGTCTTCGGCCCGGAATGTTCTTTGGGTTATCTAGTGGCTGCCTCCTTACTGGGCTTCTGATCTCAGCTCAGCACTGCTGTTCCGAGAGATTACTCTGGCCAAAAGGACCACTCCAACTGTGACTGCTAATCTTTATTGCCAACTTGACATACGTGGGATAAAGAACCTCAATGGAGGAGTAGCTTCCATCGGACTGGTGCAGCAAAGGGCCCAGCACCAGAAGCTGCGTGGGCCTAGGCCTGGAAGCAGCATTCTTATGTGGTCTTTGTTCCAAGTTCCAGGTCTGACAGTGATGAGGAAGTGAAAGCTAAATACTTTCAAGGTGCGTAGTGTTTCTCACAGCAACAGAAGGCAAACTAGAAGTGTCTTAGTTATTCTACTGCTGTGAAGCAGCATGACCATGGCAACTGACAGAGGAACTCAGTTAATGTGGCTCACAGTTTCAAAGAGTCCATGACCACCATGGCAGAAGCATTGCAGCAAGGCAGGCAAGCATGGCGCTAGACCAGGAGCCGAGAGCTCATCTGAGCCACAAGCTTGAGGCAGAGAGGGAGAGCTACCTGGGAACGGCACGGGCTTTCAAAATGTCAAAGCTCACCCTCCTCCAACAAGGCCACTCTCTAATCCTTCCCAAACAGTTCCACCACTTGAGAGCCAATTATTCAAATATGAGTGTCAATGGCAGCCATTCCCATTCAAACCACCACACCAAAGCACCAGTTAGTCTTAGTCTGTCGCCAACCTTTCTTGTCCCACTGCACTGAAGATCTGAAAGGACACTTCCTTGATAGGAGCCAAGTCTTCTATTAAATGTAAACGTGCGCTGGAGAGATGGCTCAGCAGTTAAAAGCATTAGCTGCTGTTCCAGAAGACCCAGGTTCGATTCCCAGCACCCACATGGTAGTTCACAGTTGTGTATAATTCTGGCCTCTACACTAGGCATGGAATACACAAGGTGTACACATATACACTCAGGCAAAACAATCACACACATAAAGATGCTCAGCAGAGGCCTCAATCTGGGGTTATGTTTGGTTTGGAGGCAGGGCTTCACTCTGTAGCCCATCAGTCTAAAACTTGTGCTCTCCTGCCTCAGTCTCCCTAGTACTGGGATCACAGGCAAAAGCCACCATGCCTGACTTTTTTCACTGTTCCCTTCCCTGTTTCTTCTTCTCCTTCCTCCTCCTCTTCCTTCTGTTGTGTTTTTGTTTTGGAGGTAGGGATTACAGCTCTAGTTACCCTGGAACTCCCTATATAGACCAGGCTGGCCTTGAACTCAGAGATTCACCTTCGTCTGCCTCCGCTATTTCTTTCTGAACTTTCCACTAGAAAACGAAAATGATGAATGGGAGGCCAAGACCAACCAACTACGAGCTGACAGAGCGGCTGCCACCATGTGCAAGAGTCCCACCTTGGATAACGGGTTTTGGTGGAACAACTGTCTGAACACCACAGGCCAAGGAGAAAGCCTCCCATGCTGACCACTTGTGAAACCTTACTGTGTGCTCAGGGCTTCCTTGCTCTCAGGAGACTGAAAACCCTGCCTCTGCCGACCCCGCCAGTGTCAATAACTTTCAATGCTTCTCTTGTTGCTGATTCTCTCTTTCTATTTTATTTATTTTGGTTTTTTGTTTTTTGTTATTTTTTGTTTGTTTGTTTGGAGACAGGATCTTACTGTGTAGTCTTGGCTCATCTGGAATTTGCTTTGTAGACTAGGAAGCCTTGAGCTCAGATCCGCCTTCCTCTGGCTCCCCAGTGCTGGGATTAAAGGTGTCAGGAACCAACTCCTGTGAGTTGTGCTCTGAACTCCAGCTGTGTCACGGTGCACGCACACACCCACAGGTAAATAGAAATTAAAATCATTTTTTCAATGAAGAGCCTTCTATTTCTATTTGTGTGTGGAGGTAGGGATTGAATCCAGGGCCTCAGCACTAGGGAAGGACTCTGTCACTGAGCTACAGCCTAAGCTTCAAGATGTGCTTCAAATGGGAAAAGACACGACAGGGTTTCTCTGCAGCCCTGGCTGCCCTGGCCTCGCTCTGGGGACCAGGCTGGCCTCAAACTAAGGGAGATCCATCTGTTTCTACCTCCCAAGCACTGGGATTAAAGGCATGTGCCACCATCGCCTAGCCATTTTGTTTTTTTATATTGTCTCACGGTGTGCTCCTGGGTCCCAGAACTCATTATGTAGCACAAGCTGGTCTTGACAAAACAGGGCAGGACAGTCTTAGTGGCTGAAACTGACAGTGGATTGAGTTTAGGGGACTAAGGTACCAGAATCTGAGAGCCAGAGAACTGGAGAGAAGCCACACGGAAGAAAGATCTGGAGAGCTCTGTGGAATCTCCTGAGTGGGCAGATACACAGCAGCAGCACACCACACAGGGAGAGAAGCCTGAAGGTCAACAGGAGCGACTGCTGTGGAATAGTAGTTGAAGATGAGTTCCATTCGTTTATGCTGTGGAACGTCTGTTTAATGATGCACAGATGTGTTGCATTTGTCTAACTCTGTGAAGCTGTGTTACTTCACCCATCTAAAACACCTGAGTGGTCTAATAAAGAGCTGAATGGCCCATAGCTAGGCAGGAGAGGGATTAGCAGGGCTGCCAGGCAGAGAGAATAAACAGAAGGAGAATGTGGAAGGAGGAGCGAGAAGATGAGGAGAGGAGGATGCTGGAGGCCAATCATCCAGTCAGATAACAGAATAAGAAAGAAAAAAAGGTATATTGAAATAGAGAAATGTAAATGCCCAGAGGCATAGTTTAAGACAAGCTGGCTAGAAAAAAAGTCAAGCATTCATGAGAAGTAATAAATCTGTGCAAGTGAGTATTTACTGTGTGCTGGTGGTGGGTCCCAAAGACCAATGAGATAAAAAACAAAACAAACAAACAAAAAACCCTATAAGCTCCTAGAGGGTAAAAGGGCTTGGAAACAGCTCATTCCACCCAGCCTGAGTGGATGGAACAAACTAACATGGAGCTTAGAAGACAGCTATCTGGGCAACTCCCTCCCCACATCAGTGCCAGGGCTAGACCATTCCAGACGACACCCTTCTAGACCCATCTGTGAGAGGTTAAAAAGGCCAGAGTAGAGCAGGTTGGTCTGCGCATTCACTGGCTGCCAAGCTCAGACCCTTAATGAAAACACAATCCAGATGGTTATAAACAGACCCACAGAAGCAGAACCACCAATACCATCCTAACAGACTGACAAAGATCTAACCCACCCAGACAACAAATTAAAAGCCACAGCTCCAGACATAATGACCACACTGAAGACAACAGTGAGCAAGCAGCAGCCCAGGGGCTATGGCTCACCCACAAGAAGAATGGACACAGTAAGTGGGCAGAATACGCCTCGGACAGAATGTCAGAGCTAAAGTTAAAAACAGCACTAGAGATACTGGTAACCTCCCCAAATCTTAAAGACCAAACACACCCAGGACTTACCAACAGAAAACTGGGGGACTTTAAACAGGTTTGTATCAGTAGACACAGCCTCTGTCTTGCAGTTTAGGTAGGAGTCCTGCCGCTTTACGCTGCTCGTTTTATTCAGCTGAGATGTCAGGGTGTCAGGGCCCAGCCTTGGTCCTCCTTGTTCTGGAGTCTGAGGTGGTTGGCTGAGAGGAGTCAGGATGGAGGCCTTGGGCTGCTCTACCGCTGTCTGGGCAGCATCAGCCCCTTTGGCTTGTTTGCAAGATGCCCTGGCAGGGACTGCTGGCAAAGCCTGATGCAGAGAGGCGGGGCCTACTTTGCCCAATTTGCTGGAGTTCGACAGAGGCCGAGAGCTGTTAGCGGGCACATTTGAAAGATCACTGGACTTTGCTACAAAAGGAGATAATCAAGGCTGGTCACTCAAGTGTTCCCAAACACCTTAACATACCAATACACGTGCACGCACGCATGCATGCACACACGCATGCACACACGTGTGTGCAATATGACACCTCTAGAATACCTAACACCTTAACATACCAATACACACACACACATACACACACACATGCACGCATGTACGTGTGTGCAATATGACACCTCTACACGATCTACCTAACATCAGCCACAGGCAACATGTGCATGCCCGTTAGGTGATCACCAAAGTCAGGGACAGCAGGGTGCCCAGACCTGAGCTGAATACCAGCTAAGCATCAGCAGTTACTAAAATCTGCGTGTGCACTTGCACAGTTAAGCTCTCCTTCGTTCACTTCCTTGCTGAGCACAAAAAGTGGACAGTCTGGTCACTTGTCCTGCCCTACCCTCATAGCTGACAGGCGCTCAGGAGAGAAACTTAGGACTGGGAAGTTTGGAAATAGCAGTGGATAGCAAGGATGACGTCTGCTCAACTAGGAATGGACCCACTGTGGGCATCAACACAGTGAAGACTCAAAGTGAAACTTAGAGAATAATGCTGTAGCCACATCTACACCGTGTGTTAGTCCTACCAGGTCCCTTCCTAGTCTCACTGGGCTCAATGACTCTACTGTATACAACACACGGTGTCAAAGTTCTGAGTCAGTGAAGCAAGACTCGCCTCACAGTGCCTAGGCAGCAGCAGGAGCTTTCCTGATCATGGACTCATGGGCCACGGAAGGACCCACAAACGCTCCCAGACTCACAGGAACCTTGCAAGGCCAATGACATGACTTGGTTTAAAGGTAAGGACACTGAGTTCTGTTAACCACTGAGTAGCAGTCAGGACTTCAGATCAGGCTGATTCTAGATTTCTCACATCTGTGACAAGCCCTCACCACGATGGCAAAAATGGATATGGCCAGAATCCACAGGCAAACTCGAGAGACAGATGCATTCCCTAGCCCCTACACCACTTCACCACTGGGTGGCAGCCTTGTCTAGGCACGTTGAACCCAAGGGCATGTGCCCTAGATGACCCAGGCCGGGCTGGCCTGACTTAGCTAGCACCTGTGCTCTGGATATATGGTTAGTGGAAGCATCCATCTCTCCTTGGCACTTCATGAGTTTGTGTGCCTCCAACTGAAAGAAAGTACTTACTGGAGAAAGTACGCTGGGGCAGAAGGACAATGAGTCTCTTCCTACCCAGCCCTCAGTCCTTACCTATAATTACATAGCATCCTGTGAGGCCCAAACATATGGTGCGCCAGGGTTCACCTGACTAGCTGATCTGCTCACCTTTGCCTGCTGCTGGAGACACACATGCACCAGACGTGAGGCTCGAAGCAGACCCTGAGGCGGAGGATTTCCTCGTGAGACTGCTGGTGTAGCCAGGTGGCTTCAACAGGGTCTTCTTCAGCCCCGACTGAGAGAAAAGTTGAAAAAAAAATTAGCAGGGACTTTATTACCTACATACACATTCTTAAATCTGCAAAAGTAGAATTTAAAAATGATCTTTAGTGAGACTAGAGAGATGGCTCAGCAGGAAAGCGCATTTGTTGCTGTTGCAGAGAACCTGGATTCAATGCTCAGCACCACATGGTGGCTCACGAGCATCTATCACTCCAGTTTCAAGGGAGCTGATACCCTCTTCTGACCTCTCTGGGTACTGGGAACACACATGATACATAGACACACATGCAGGCAAAACACTCATGCACATAAAACAAAATCTAAAAATCTTGAAGTAACAGAGTCATCCCCCAGTCTCCGCGGAGCATGGCTTTGGGCACCCTGTGGACACCAACCTACATGGGTCCTCCACAAGCAATAGTGTAGTGTGATGGCTGCATGGAACCTACACACATCCACACACAGACTCTGAGTCACCCTAGATGATTCTAATTCTAATGTAAGACTGTGGAAACCGACACACTCACTCAACACTATCAAAAAAAGCCATCCGTGTTCAGTACGAAGGCAAATTCCCTTTTGAATAGTTCCAGTCTAACTGGATGAATCCACAGGAGAAGCCCATGGACCTGGAAGGTGGACTGTGTCTAGAATGTAATGTCCAAGCCTCTGCTAGAGGAATGGACAGGAGAGCTAGCAACACTCAAGACTGTGGGGCTCAACCTAGACCCCAAATCAGTCACTGTAGGCATAGCTTTTGGCAACTTTAATAAATGATTTCTAATAAGTAGCTCAGAGTCCCAGAAAGGTGACAGCCCAATGTTAGCTCAGACGACAGAACAACACTCACGTCTCCCGTAGAGGCTATGAGGGATCAGCGAGAACTGGTAGCCGGGAACCAAGCGCTAGGCTCTTATCAACCCACACAACCCAAGTGACAAAGCCAGTTCAGTGCACACTGCCAGCCTCTCTCCTTTGTAACCCAGGCACCTCTTGTGGATTGCTTCCAACTTTCCTGAACTGGGGTGTGTGTGCACGTGTGCACGCACTTACGCACATGAAGACCAGAGGACAACTCCACCCTTATTTACTTTGGATACAGGGTCTCGCTGAGTAGCTGTAGCTGGCCTAGAACCCACTATGTAGATCAGCTACAGAGATCCACCTGCCTCTGCCTCCAATGCTAGGATTAAAGGCATGCACCACTGCCAGGCTCAGACACCTTTTCCTTTTAAAGACAGGGTCTCTCTCTGACCTGGCACTTGCCAAGTAGGCTAAGCTGGTTGATCAGCAAGCAAGGCCCAGGGTTTCATCTGCCCTCCCTCCCCCAAATGCTGAGATTACAAGCACACACCACCAAACAAGACTTTTTAAATGAGTCCTAGAGATCTAACTTATGTCCACGCAAGCATTTATCAAATAAAATACCACCCCATCAACTTAATTCTTATCAAAATATACAAAACTGGCACCTTGTTGCCATGGAGGACATGTGGCAGTCCTGCAGCCCCAGCCAACTCACCTTGCTAGGAACGGGGAGGGAACGTTTGCCTGGGCGGCTCCCTCTACTAGCAGCATCTGGAGCGGTGCTGGGTTTGTCCAGGGGCACATCACTCTGGGATCCCTTCTGACTCGGTGGTTTCATCCTCTGAACACTAGTTGGCACCTCTTTTTTGAGCTGAAAATGTTAATTTGAAAGGTGAGGACTACAGCCTCACAAGGCCAGAGCTGGCACCACTGCTCCCAACCCCTGCCAGTCAATTCCTCCGCTAGAGTGAGGGAAACAGCACAGAACAACGACAGACTTGACCTCCCCACTAAAGCCATGTCAGATGGGGACAGGCGGCTCGCAGGAAGATCTCTGAGGCTTCTCCTCTGTCAGTGAGAGCTGGGCAGTGGTGACGCACGTCTTTAATCCCAGCATTCAGGAGGCAGGGGCAGGCGGACCTCTGTGACTTTGAGGCCAGCCTGGTCTACAAGAGCTAGTTCCAGGACAGGCTCCAAAGCTACAGAGAAAACCTGTCTCGAAAAACCAAAAAAAAAAAAAAAAAAATATCAGTGTGGTGGCACATGTCTTTAATTCCAGCACTCAGACACTGAGTTCAACAAGGCCAGAGAGCTACATAGTGAGACCCTGTCTCAAAAACAGACAAACAAGAGCCCTAGTGAGGAAGCTGGCTCAGTCACACATGCTCTACATGTTGAGTGCAAAGTCACCCTCTACCACAGTAACGGCTCAGCCGCGGTGAGGTTTTCTGGCCAAGTGCTGAAAGCCACGGTCTCTGGCCTGTAAGGCAAAGAGCAAATTCCTGACATATTCAGTGACAAGAGCATCAGGGAGCTACTCCATGTGTACACAAACAGCAAGGGCATCAGGAAGGCACAAGCGGCGGCTTCAGTGTGAGAGTGTAACAGCTATGCTGTCTCTTTAGCACTTCATGAGACATGAAGCAAACCGCCTGGAACACATACCCAGTGACACCGCAATTCTCACTAAAACGCTAGCCCATTATGCGATATGCCCCATTGTATTTCTCTGCTCATCAGTTACTAGGCATCTGAACCGACAACCATGAATGCTGCTGCTGCTGCTGTGAGCACCTATGTTGAGCTGATGCGGGCCACACCCACAACCCTGCCTGGTACCCTGCAGGTGCTGTGACCCCAGCCCTGCCCCACCACCATGCACGGATCACACACAAATCCTGCTCCATGTTCACATGTGCTGCTAGCAGATCCCACCCAGAGCATCCTGGACCCTGGGGGAACAGACATGGTCAGCAGAGGGCTTATAGATGGGGAAAGGGATGTGCAGAGCTTCACCTTCCCACAACCTCCCCAAGCCATTCCTTTTACTGCAGACCCCTATACAATGGCGCTGGTGCAGGACATCACAACAGGTGCCACCCTAGGACACCTTTACTCTGCATCTCTTCTCAGAAGCCCCCTCTCCCGAACAAGAACAGAGCAGGCAAACCTGGAAGCAAGCTGTCTCGGCCATCTGCCCTTCTGCCTACCCCCAACCAAGCCTCCAGGACCCTGAGTTTTCTAGAGTTTTCCGGTCAACTACCAACTTGTTTACTGTCACTTCCGACAGCTCACGCATGCAACGCCTGGAAAGAAAGGTATAAAGTCGCAGCCCCAGGGAACTAGAGCCCAACTTAGGGAACAGTACTTATCCAAGGGGCCCACGCCGGGCAGCTCCCCATCACTGTTCCCTGCACTGTCCGGATTCTGGCTCTACTCCCAGGCTCTCGAATCCTGAGAGTGGCAGGCCCTCCCATGAAGCTTCCACAGCAGGGCATGGGCTGAGGAGAGGCGGGGAGATGGGGAGCTGTGTCCCCTGGGCCGTTGCTATGTGTTTTGTCTACCTTCTCTGTGGCCAGGTGAAGAGGTTTTCCTCTTACAGGCAGAGCTCGGGGTGGCTGCAGCTTGCTGGTGATTCTCCTTGGAGGCCCAGCCTGATGTGGGGGTTGGGAGGTCCTTGCCACCCCTGGCGGCGGCTGAGAGGAGCAGGGCAGATCCTGGTTGCTCTGGATCTCAACAGGGCCAACTGGGACAGGGGAACTGAGCAGGGCTGGAGACGCCAGCAGCTGGGTCTCCCCCAACGGAGGCTGTACCCCTGAAACTGGCAGGCAGAATGTCTCTCTTTTCAATGACATGGGGCTTTTCTCTCTCTTCTGTTCTTTTTCAAAGAGACTTATCTTTAACTTTGAGTCTTGCAGAAATCTTTCCACGCCCTGCTTCCCAGGATTTGGGGGCTTGGCAGCCTGGGCCACCTCTCTTCGGCTGTGGCTTTCTATCTGCAGGGCCAGTAAGTGAGCTTCTTTGTACACCTCTACAAACTTCTCCCCGGTGAGAGGGCTCCAGGTAAGAGGGCTGCCAGAGGCTGCTGCAAGAGCCTGCTCGGAAACCTGGGTGCCAAGGCGCAAACTGGCAGCAATGCATCTTTCTTTATGTCCAACAGCCCCAAAAAAGACTTCATCATCTTCGTTTGCACTGCATTTAAAGAAAAGGATTAACAGCGAGGAGTTACACCAGCGTCCAGATAAAGGGCTTTAGTGACTGCATCTGCTGGGGGATGGGAAGAAAATGCATTCGTTTACCTTGAAGAAGACAAGGAAAGGTCGAAGTCAAATTTTTCATCTTCCAAAAGAACAATGTCTAGGGGATGGAGGGAAAAAGTCCACTGTTACTTGGGGCTAGGATAAGACGGGAAAATATCACCAGGTCTGCTGGTTTCACAGCTGCTGTTCAGTTTCACTCTGAGAAAAGGAAGAGATGGTGACTGGAGCTCGATCCCTTTTCACGGGGAACTCAAGTCCACCTCAGTCTCCATTTTCACTCTCAAGTTCTGAGTGTGCTGACCCAAACCAAAAGCACAGACACTTGCTGCTGTGACAGAGTCTACACATCGCCACAGAGCGTTCCGAGGGTTTCTGAGGGGGCTGGCTCACCTTCGGGCACAGGGCTATTTCCTAAAGATCACCTACTTCAGCTCCCCCAGATTTAAATTACAAGACACCTATCCATCCATCAACAATGAGTTCAAGGATGTGTCAACTCACAGTAGAGACTCAGTAAGTACCTGTGGACTACCAGTGTTCCTTGGATCCGTTCCCAGTCACTCTGCCCTCCACCCAGTCCATATTCCTAGCAAAGCCTTGGTTGGCCCAACTGGTGATTTGCTCCGCCTCCTCTAACAGACCAACAACTTACCAATCGTATTTAAAGTCTACTCCACTACAGGGAACCTATATGTGGTACTGTAGTTCAAAACAGAAAACTGTGGCTGATGGCGGTCATAGGCTCCAGTGGGGCCTCCACTGCTGTTGTACTAAACAGATATGCCTGGTAAGTTACCTCCTCAACAACAGTGTTTACGCCCATAGATTACTGTGGTGCCAGCCTTGGTCTGGGAAAGTTCTTGTAGTGTAGTGGGCATCAGTTACTGTACGAAGCAGTCTCACAAGGAGTCAAAGTGAAAAGGATACAAAACCTGATAAGATACAGAGACTCAGTGCTTAGTCCTAAAGGGAGAAAATAAATGTAAAACTGTATCAGTCCTCCAGGACTCAGGGAGCAAAATTACTGTCCACTAAGACTTAAGTTCAAAGCCCTGGGACCCACTAGACAAAAGCAGAGCTCTTTCCTGCAAGGTGTCTTCTGAACTTCTTTCTACAGAAGCATGTGCACCATGGCCCCTCCTCCAAAAATTCATAAATGTTAAGAGTTGTTTTCATTTCTCTTTTCTTTCTTTTTTGAGACAGGGTTTTCCTGTGTAGCCCTGGCTGTCCTGGAACTCAAAGATCCACCCACCTCTGCTTCCCCAGTGCTGGGATTAAAGGGGTGCACCACCACTGCCTAGCAAGAATTTCTTTTCAAAGAAAGAATCTGCCAGCTCTCATGCAGCAGAAGCAGATGGATCTCTGCATGATCAAAGCCAGCCAGGTCTACAAAGTGGGTTTCAGGCTACAAAGCGAGAACCTGACTCAAAAGACAAGCACAAAACAAAAAGAAATGAAAGTGGAGGAGGAGGGAAAAAAATGCAAAAACCAGAGGAAAGAGGTGGAGTGTGGTGGTACAGTGTCCTCTGTGCATGAGGAAGCTTGTTGCCATTCTGATGCCACAGCATCTGTGATTACCCACAGTAAATTATCAGAAGACTGAGCCCAGTAATGCCCTTCTGGAATTGGGGAAGGGGGCCCACGGAATTGAGAGGTACAAGAGGTTCCTCTGAAGATATGTAAGTGGTTTACGTTGCTGGGGGTGGGGACCCTATTCTTTGGTGGTGTAGCTGTAAGTTGCTAATGTCCCTGTGAGTGGCCCTGTTAAATTCATTAGCTTACCAAACCAGACTTGTTGTTCATTTCTTTGGTCTGTTGTGGTCTTCTATTCTATTTGGGGCAACTAGGAATAGCCTGAACTCCACAGTCGCACAAACAGAAGGGACCTACCTTCCTTATTACCAGCATCCATCTTAACCTCTCTTGCCTGGCTGGCCGAAGGTACGTCGCGGCCGTCTCCTCCTTCCATGAAGATCGCTGCAGGAAGAAAGGTGACCAGCGGGTGAGGGCATGTCAGAGGCAAGCCCCAGCTTGCTCCGTGTCGCCCTGACACAGTGCGCCCCGAGACGGGGTAACGGACTCCTGACTCTGAGCTGCAGAGTAGGCCAGGCAGCCCGTTCTCCTCGGCCTCAGAGGCGCGAGCCGGGTTCCCAACTCTCTCCACCTCGTGCTCCTTACCCCGTAGCCTTTCACTCGGAGGGACGAAAACCCAGCTGGTGTTTCGCCACGGGTTTAAATGCAGCGCTGGCCTTCGCCGGTCGCCGATTGGCCGGTTTGAACAGGGAGATGCTCTCGGTGCACCTTGGGAATTGTAGTCAGAGTGTTGATGTGCGCGACCAATGAGCACTCAAAAGGCACTCCAGGCCTCGGATTGGCTCAGCTCGGTGTCGGACACTCCCACCGGAGGTATCCGTGAGTCTTCTCCCCAGCAAACACAGGGAGGACATTTGCGTTCCGCCTGTGACTGTGCCAGCAACCAGGCTGAGGCGGTGAGGGCAGGGTATGGAGAATGACCAGGCAGCTAAGAAGCAATTTGTTTTACCACCAGTGCTTGTCTTCGCATCCGTGACATTTCTCTTGCGTCCGGGGACTCTCCCTCTGCAGCCTGAGGACTCGCTCCTGTACTCTGTTGTTCTGGCCTTCCCTCTCACCCCCACTGGATCCCCTGATCTTGGGCTCCCTGTTTCTGTAATCTGGTGAAGGGTGACCATGACAGAGCCATCCACAGCACATTCTAGCCGCCAGTATCAAGAGCCTTTGGATAGCACTGAACAGAAAGCTGACTTCAAGGTCGTTTAACTCAAGGAGGCCATCAGTTTACTTGTCTGCAGATTTTTGCCTATGCAAGCTGGCTTTGTTGTGCCCAAACTTGCTCACCTGCCAGGGATGGTGACCAGTTCAGTGTGACCTGCACTATAGGTAGAATTGTAAGAGCCAGGCTTTCTTGATTCATGCCCAAGAGGAAGGGCAGAACCGCAGCGGCAGGTGCATCTATGGTCAAAGCCTCAAGGGCTCTTGACCCCACTTCTGTGCCCCCTAACGTGTTAGGTCCCAGCGTCTGCAAGTTCACCAACACTTCTCCTTATATCATATCAATTCAAGTAGATGTTCAGTAAAGCATACCCCTAAATAATTCACGGCTTCATTTTCTGTTGGTTTTTAAAATATACTTTTATTCCTTTGTTGATGTGTGATCATGTACATGTATGTATACAGGTGCCTACACAGGACAGAAGAGGGTGTCACATCCCCTAGGCTAGAGCTTCAGGCAATTGTGAGTTGTCACGTGGATGCTGGGAACTGAACTCTGGTCCTCTAGAAGATCAGCAAGTGCTCTTAACCACGGAGCCATCTCTACACACACACACTTTAAATCCGTGGTTTGACCCTGGTAGATTCATGTCCTCCTCATTAAAGCCTATACACCCGCTTTTACAGGCAGGTATTCAGTGGAAGCCACAGAGTGGCTGAGTGATACAAAGTTCACACTCCCTGACCAGAGAGAAATCATAGCAGAAAGTGGTATAATACCAGGGGCAGGTACCGAGGGCTGTGGGGCAAATAGAAGGCACTGTCACCAGCCCACAGGCAGGGTGGAAGGTTTCCTAAAATAGGGAGCAAGGCTCCTGCTTCCTGGGTAAATCATGCATTATTTGGAATCAGTTAAAAAAAAAAAGTGAGGCTCCCAGGACTTTGGCACCTGTCCCAGGACCCTGGGTAGAGAGATAGCAACTCTTAATATCCTAAGACATTACACAATTTCTTGAAAATTAAAGTAAAAGCCCATCTCCTCAGGGCTCAAACCAAACCTAGCAGCTAGGTGATGCTCAGAGATGCCCATAGGAGCGAGTAGTCAAAGGGACCAATTAAATTATTTTAATGCCCAGAATCTACACAAGCCTGAGCAGAGTGAGCAAAACTCAGGGGTTTGGAGACCTCCATGTCCCCTGAGAGGCCTGCCCACCAGTCCATACTTCAGTGGGAACTGAAGGGACCCGAGGAGCATCTGTGCATTTGCACCTCCCCTTCCAGAAGACAGCACCAGCACTTCCAGAGGGGGATGTCCCTGCCACGGAAGCAGGAGATGGATTCAAACCTTGTGGTAGTCATGTCAGTGTTCTGGTTATCTGCCACAGCAGAGGAGCTCCGGGTTCGGGTCCCAGACTCACTCATACAAGCAGAATCAGAGGTTGGCCGAGGAAGCCACATTTCTCAAGCTCCACTCCCATGTGCAATTTAAAGAAAAACTCCAGTTGGCATCATTAGATCCCCTCGGGGAGGTATAAGCCACCCTTCCCTTCATCTCTGGGGATGGTGGCAGGTACAGTAGTCTGGGGCTGAAAACCAAGGTCACTAAAGCAGACCTCCCCCCCCCCCCGACCTGTAGCTCCATATTTCTATATGGCCGCCAAGCCATCAAGCCATGGCCACACCTAATGTGGGTCACGTATCCTGCCAGGCAGGCTGTCGCTAACCTAAGGAAAGGTCAGGATGTTTTGTTCCTATCTTTGTAATAGCATACAGAGCAGACAGGTAGTTGCGGACATGACAAAGGGCCATTCACCTGGTTACCTAGGAGACAGAATGCTAATGTATTTCACCCTCAGTTAAGTTATGGTATTAAGATTGTTTGGAGAATAAACGGAGGAATTCTTCAGGATATGAACTCAGGATTTCATGAGGGACCACTGAGAAAGAATCTCCCTCCCAATGAAACCATGTGAGTCATGTCTTTATTCCCATCTCCTCCACGCTGGTCCAGAGAGGGAAAAGTAGTTAATGTAGTTGGGGCATCGGACCTCGACACCCTCCCGCAACCCTACCCCCTCGCAAAAGGAAAAGCTTCTGATAGCTGGGACCCTGGACAGTTCACTGAAATTCTCCCCAGGGAAATGGGACAGCAGGCCCTGTGTAGAAGAGAAGGGAAACTAAATGAAAAGTTTTACTGTGCCAGGTGTGTGGGAGGTGCTTGGATACCTCCCGGCTGAGCTGGCCACAGCTCTGCCCTGCCTGCCTACTTGAACAAGAAAGTACAATGTTCAATGCACCTGCAAATAATGGCATTGCTTTGGTTCTGAAGGCTTAAAAATGCATGTTGACGGGGCTGGAGAGGTAGCTCAGAGGTTAAGAGCACTGACTGCTCTTCCAGAGGTCCTGAGTTCAATTCGCAGCAACCACATGGTGGCTCACAGCCATCTATAATGAGATCTGGTGCCCTCTTCTGGCCTGCAGGAATACATGGAAGGAATGTTGTATACATAATAAAAATGCATGTTGACCCTGAGAGGAATTCTGAATATCACCCAAAATTAACTTCTGTCCCCTATTTCCACCAAAGACTGATTTGGAGAATTCTACCTTATTCTCTGACTAGCAGGCCCAGCTATTTCCTAACCCTAACCCTGACCCAACCGGACAGTCAACCTAATGCCAGGAGGTTAGCACTGAGCTGTAGGCCAAGGACTGGGCCTGGGTCATTGCATAAGATGCACAGCGGCTGCCTTGTGGATGAGCCGCTCAGTCAGGGGTGAGTTGGGTTTCAAGGCATCACGCTCCATCAGAAGGCTCCTGTGGAAACACAAGGAATTTTTTGTTATAGACCCTTCTAGAAGAAGGTAAAAGCATGACTGGCAGGAGCAAATGGGTACAGTCAGCTGGATGGTACTTTGGTTCTACCTTACAGACAAACACTAGCGATAAGGACTCCAGTGTCGGGCTGTCACTGTGGCTTTGCCTGTCTTAGGCGGAAGCCATGGCTCAAGATGTCATATCTCAAGCTCCTGTCACAGTCTAATGCTGAGGACCAGAGGGACAAGAGGCCTGGTGTCTGGCAGGAAGCCACATGTGAGACTGATTCAGGAAAAGCAAGAAAAAGAATAGGTAGGTAGGTAGGTAGGTGTAGGGAAGCCTTGATTTAAAGAAAGTAAGCATAGGACCAACCAGAGATAAAGTCCCTGCTGCAGCTAAATGTTGATACCCTTGTCATCAGCATGACTTAGGAGGTAGGGCCTCTGGATGACCCTTACAGTGGGGTTAGTGTTCCTATAAGAAACATATGAGAATCTGTTCTCTTAAGTGCTCGTGGGAAGCAGTCCATAGTGAGAAGCTTTGTGTCCGGAAGAGGAGCACATCAGAAACTGAACCCTGCTGGACACTGGTGTGAGACATTTCAGCACTACACAATGAGTTGTCTCGCTGAATTCAGACCGGTGTGTGAGCAACCACCATGTCTATGTTTGGTTTGTTTTAGTAACACCCAAAGAGATTAAGATAGTAGCAGATTAACAGTGGTGGGTCCATGGGGAGTGAGTGAGGTGAAGGGGCTGGGGCTTGGTACGCACGTAGGGACAACGCCACAGCCAGGGTAGGAATGTATCAGTCTACTTTCTGCTGCTATGACAAATATCTGAGGCTGGGTACTTTGTAAAATTAAAGGTTTTACTTAGCTAGGTTTCAGAGATTGGAAGTCTAATATGGAGGTCCTATCTGGCTCCAGATGAGGCTCCTTGGCTGGGAAGAGAGGCAGAGAGGCAAATGGCTGTATACAGAAGAGGCCATGCAAACCAAGGGGCTCTCCTGTATAGAGTACTAAATAGGGTCCCTCGAGAATGGCTTTAATATCTTCTGGGGGCGGGCCCCAGGACCCCATTCCAGGGGTTCTCATCTCCCAACCCTCTTCCCTTTCTCAACACTTACAACCTGGGGAACACATTGTCTAGCACATGAAACCCAGGAGGCCATGCACAAACCATCCCAGACCACAGCAGATGGCTTTTGCCTGTGCAGGAGATGGGCTGCAAAGGGAGGCAAGGCACTTGGAAGGAATGCCCCACCACTGCAGTGTCTTCCTAGGTAGTTGGGCTGCCTCTCTCCCCTGCACTACCTCACCTCTCCTGAGTAGGACCTGAGCTGCATTATGTCTATTCCAGTATTGGCCATCCCGCACCCTAGAATCTGCCTCAACCCGCTACTCTGTCCACACAGCCCACATCATTCTCACTGTGACCGCAGGCCCCACCTTTTACCCACAGCAGGTCCCCCAGGAGGCTCAACCACTACAGCATCACATGTGGCTTTTTGCATGTGGACATGGAATGACAAAAATGGGGGCATGTGTCCATGGCATTTCTGAGTTCAAAGTAGTTCAAATGCTCCCAGCCATCACCTGCACGGCTGCGGGTCTGGCCCAATAGCCAGGGCACCTGCCTAGACCTCTTCTCACAGGACAAGGATGCAGGGGCCCTCTCCTTGGCAGAGTGGGTGGTGAGCCAGGGGAATGAAGGATAATGGTTAGGGCTGCAGGAATTCCTTTCCTGAGTGTTCCAGACACCTCCAGCTTCTAGATCTATGACTTTCTCCTAACCAGGCCCACTGGCTAAGTGCACTGGGCATTTAGTCTCCCTACACCCCTCCATGGGACACCCCTTTGTTCCTTTACCCCCTCGCCCGACCCACTGTCATCCTCCCTGTAGCGATTACGTGACTGCCCAGATATTTGCGTGATGAACTAGTTATTTTTCATAGGATCCACATATCCACCTACTCAGTATTGCATCTCACACTCAGCACAGGTAGCTAAGATCCTGCAAGAGGAGGCCTAAAGAAGCAGACGAAAAGGGAGACAGGGCGTCCCAGGCAGAGGGCACAGGACATGCAAGGACCAGAGAGCAGGTGTACTGGATTTCTGTGTAGCTCAACATGACCAAATGGGATGAAGACTGAGGAGGCAGGAGGGTGGGCAAAAGGGTAGCATGGGCTGTACCCTTTGGTCAAGTTGAACCTGCTAATGAAAGAGAACCGAATCCCCATTTGCTCCCTGCTTTCTGAACCCCACAAGCAGAAGTACACATGCCAAGGCAGGTGTGCGCATGCATACGGAGATCCTGTGTAGGGAACTAATCCACGCCCGGCTGACCATAGGAAGGGCAGTGCTCACCGGGCCACATTCTTATGGACGCTGGAAGTGCAGGTGAGGGCCGCATGAATCAACAGCTGGTTGAAGACGTCTCTCTATGATGGCAGTTAGGCAAGTTAGGCACTTGCAATGCGGACCAGGGATGGGCTCCCAACCCAAAGGAACCCCTTAGACACACACCCACCCTCATCACAAACCCTGGTGTCAGCGTAAAACGGTACACCTACCCCACAAGAACCAACTACATAGGAGACACTCGGCTGCTAGGCCAGGCTCTCCAGTTTCTGGTTCCCTGTCCACAGCTGGCTTACCTGGGCGTTGCTGCCCCCAATCTGGACGATTTGGTAGCGGATTGGCAAGAGAAGTTCTAGGACTCGGTCAGGGTTCCCGTTCTCGGCCTCCACAAGGGCCTGGCACAGGGGCAGCCCCACATCTTGTGCCAACCGGTGCTGGCAGTTCTCTCCTGGGGACCTGTCACCAAGAACAAAGCTCAGCATCCACTCTACAAAGTCCCGTCCTGGCAAGAAATGCAAATTTAGGGCCTTTCACAGTTGCCTGATGGGAAAAGGAGACATCTGCCCAATGTAGGGACAAAATGGTGTAACAGCACAGCAGAGAGATCAATACTGCAGACCTTGCCGGCAAAGCCTGGACATCAACAGCCAGCACTACCATGGATACCAAAGTATCCTCCCAGGACTCCCTTGTCAGTCCAGAAGGCACCATTTCCAACAGATAAACTGAGGCTCAGAGCAAAGAAGACACCAATTGGGGTCCTGGAAGCAGATACCTATGAAATATACACCTGCATGGGCACCCACCTGGGGAATAACCATCTAGAAGCATGGATATCTTCAAAGCCATGCTCACCAGCAAGACCTCACTCTAAGGTTCCCCCAAGAAGGCAGGGTGACCCCAAGCAGGCCTTGGCTCAGCCCTTGCACTCCTTCACCCTCTCAGCTGGCAGACTGCATGGTCTCAGGGTCTCACGTACTCGCTGGCCTCCTTCAGGGTGGTCAGCAGCTCCTGTGTGGTCTGGAGGTCCCGGGCACCCAGAGAGGCCATCAGGAAGTGAGCGTCATTGAACAGAAGGACGTGGTCCTGGGTATGCTTCTTAGTCACCGGTAGGACAGCCTGCCACCGCTGGCCAAGGGACACCCCTAGGGGGACAAGAAGAGGAGCCAAGGGCTTGGTGTGAGGCAGCAGTGTGTCTTACACTTGGTCCTGCACCCATATCCCTCAGAAGCCTATCCAATCTTGTCCCAGTGAGAGGCAGGGTGACGAGTGGGGCCACCAAGGCCTGTGCCTTCCTTGTCTCCCTAGAAAAGCAACAAATCCATGAGGCAAAAGCAAATTCGAAAAATTGTCACGGGCTATCAAACTATTCCTAGCTCCCTGAGACCCCCCAAAAACATGTTTCATATTTTCCCTATGTAATCACAAGTCTAGTACCTGTGGAGAGATGGTTCAGTGGTTAAGAGCACTGGCTGTTTTCTAGAGGACCTGGGTTTGGTTCCCAGTACCTGCAGGTGGCTCACAGCCTTTTATAACTCCATTTCCAGGGAAGACAATACCCACTTTTGGCCTCCAGAGGCAGCAGGCACACAAACAGTCCAGAGGCATACATGCAGGTAAAATACTCACATACAAAATATAAGTCCATTGTTTAACTGTAGCGCCTGATACACAATGGGCACTCAATGAAAGCCAGTGGCATCAATAAATAGCACCCTTCTCCTTAAATCTGAATCTTCCTACACTAGACAGTCCCCACCTCTGCCCCAGACTCCAGCCTCCACCTCCTTTTCTTCCCTCTCAGCCCTCAGATGCTAGGTTCAGGTTTCTTCTCTACGGCATCCCCAACCACCCAGAGGACCCTGAACATCTATTTATTGGTCTATCAGATTGAACAGAGAGGGCCAGGTAGTGGCAGCACACGCCTTTACTCCCAGCACTCAGGAGGCAGAGACAGGAGTGGGTTTAAGGTCAGCCTGGTCTACAGCGTGAGTTCCAGGACAGTTGGAGTTACACAGAAAAAAAAACCTGTCTCAAACACTCCCCCGCTTCCAGAAAAAAAGTGAACAATGATCTTTGCCTCATAACAATGAGGATGTGAGAGGCTTCTCACAGCCTGCCAGCCACTCAGGACCCCACCTCTCCCCTCACAGTGGGGATCTGGAGCTCTGGCCTTCCTCAGCATCTCTCTCTGTGGGGCATCATTTGGCCTCCAGCCATGGGCAGGAAGCCAGACCTGTCAGGGCAACTGTGAAGCCTAGGGTGACAGGCTGAGAAGCCTCTGCAATGTCAGAGTTGGGAAATTAGCACCTCCTGTGATCTAGGAAAAAGAGGCATCAGCCAGTAGCCAGGTGTCCTGAAAGGCCTGCCAGGCAGGCTATGGGAATGGCATGGTTCACAGCCTAAGGTTACTGCACTAAGGAGGGGTGGAGAATAGTAAAGGACAGCTGAGGCCCTTTGCCTTGGACTGACACGAGACCACTGCATAAGCTCGCAAGCAAAGCTATAGGCAGATGCATTCATCCCGAGGCCTGTGGTTTGGGCACCCACCCTTAGGACCAGTAATCACACATTTCTCTCATTGTGTAGAGAAAGGGAAGAGACTCGGCTACCTTCCATCTGGAGACGGTAGAGCATGGAGCAGCTGTTCACCATATCCAGAATGGAACCACTGGCCTGAAGGCTGGGGAGGATCTGGAAGACAAGAGTCAAGGGAGGCCAGGCTCAGAGGGCCAAACAAACAACACGGCCATGGGTACAGCCAGAGTTGTCATCTGAGCCACAAGTGTGGCCTGCACAGAGAAAGAGCACTGACTGCTTTCCAGAGGATCAGGGTTCGATTCTCAACACTCATAAATGTGGTGGTTTGAATAGGTATGCCCCCCCCGCGCCTAGAATCATATATTTAAATGCTCGGCTCATAGAGAGTGGCGCTATTAGGCGGCATGGCCTTGTTGGAGGAAGTGTGTCACTGTGGGGATGGGCTTTGAGGTCTTACATGCTAGGCCTAGTGGGGCAATCTCCTTCTCCTGCCTGTGGATCCAGATGCAGAACTCTCAGCTACCTCTCCAGTACCATGTCTGCCTGCATGCCACCATGTTTCCCACCATGCAATAACAGACTAAACCTCTGCACTGTAAGTCAGTCCCAATTAGACATTTTCCTTTATAAGAGTGGCCATGGTCATGGTGTCTCTTTACAGCAATAAAAATCTTAACTAAGGGAACATGGTAGCTTACAAACTATCTATATCTCCAGTTTTAGGGGATCTGGCCCCCTCTTCTGACTTCTGCAGGCACCAGGCATGGAAGCAGTGCACATACATACATGTGTGCAAAAGGCATAAAATAAATAAATCTTTAAGCAATTAAGGCACACATTCATATGCACAAACAACTGGCCATGTGGCTCAGCAAAGGTACTTGTAAGCCCGAGTCTGATCTGATGCCTGGAACTCACATAGTAGAAGGAAAGAACCGACTTCTGCAAGTTGTTCTCTGACTCTCACATGTCATGACATACATACACATACAAAATATATGTAATTTTTTTTGAGACAGGATCTCACTATGTAGCTCTGGCTGTCCTAGAACTCACTAAAAAGACCAGGCTGGCCTCACACTCAGAGAAATCTGTCTGCCTCTGCCTCCTGAGTCCTGGGATCAAGGAGTGTGTACTAGGCCTGGCTCTTGATTTTTTTAAAAAAACGTTAAAAATAAGTGAACAAGCCCGGCGGTGGTGGTGCACACTTTTAATCCCAGTACTCAGGGGGCAGAGGAATGCGGATCTCTGTGAGTTTAGGCCACCCTGGTCTACAAGGCGAGTTCTAAGACAGTCAGGGTTTTACAGAGAGAAATCCTGTCACAAAAACAAAACAAGCTGGGCAGTGGTGGCGCACGACTTTAATCCCAGCACTTGGAAGGCAGAGGCAGGCGGATCTCTGCGAGTTCGAGTACAGCCTGGTCAACAAGGGCTAGTTCCAGGACAGGCTCCAAAGCTACAGAGAAACCTTGTCTCGAAAAAAAAAAAAAGGAGGAGGAGGAGGAGAAGGGAGAGGAGGAGAAGGAAGAGAAGGAGGAGGAGGAGGAGAAGAAAGAGGAAGAGGAGGAGGAGGAGGAG